TGTGTTTCGTGGATGGCTGTCTGCAGGATGGAAGAAGGCTTTTTGCCGAGCTATGTCGAACTCGCCCACGACACGCCCACTTTTCTGGTAAACAAATCGTCTCTGCCAGCCTACCCCTGTTTTCAGGCCTCCGAATTTGACGCCGATTTCGCAGGACAGCACGTTGAACCTGCTTGGGGCAGTTAGACGGGCTGACAAAGCAGGAAACAGGCCCATCAACTGGCCACACGGGCATCATTGGACAGGGAAAGAGCCGGGCACCTCCTCCGCCTACGGTACGTGGCTTTTAAAGGACTATTCAAAGGCAAAATCTGTGGGCCAGGCCCCCTTTAAAGGGCCGTTGAAGGCCGGAAATCCATAAGGAAATTCGGCTAGTTTAGGCCATTTAAAGAGGCGTTGAAGCCAAAAATCCATAGATAAATTAGCTTGAAGGGACTGGAACACCTGGGAATTCGCCTAGGCCACGCCCCTTTTAAAGAGATAGGGGCGGCATAAGTCAATCGATTACGCGTGGGAAAGAAAATGTCTCTGCGCCTCTCCCCTGGGCGCCCTCTCTCGCCGCCGGTCGCGCTGGGACCTGTTGAACCCCCCCTCCCCAAGGGGGGGTTCAACGAATGCCGTCCTCATCTCTTTAAGGCCCATTGAACGTTTATAATCGAGTGTTTTTCCAGGTGCGCGACCAGTTGCGCCGAATGACGTTCCTCGACTCGGTGCACCAGATGATGAGCACGGTGGTGGGCAGGGAGAGGCAGATGAAGACCGCCAGGGCTGTGGTAAGCGAAGGGGTGGTTAGCAGGGGTTTTTGGGGAATTTGGGCAGATTAGCAGCGATTTTTGGGGAAATTTTGAATCCCGGGCAGGCTTTCCTAGACGCTTTAGGAATAGGAAAAAAATTCCTGGCGACCTGGCGGCGATTTTTGGGGAATTTCAACATCGGGCAAGCTAGCAGAGACCATTTAGGAATTTGGGGCAAGCCAGCAGAAACCTTTGCGGAATTCCACCCTCAATTTCCAGGCCAATCTCCTCCTCCATCGCGTCTGCGGCGATTCCGTTGGAGCCGATTACGCGTTCGCCGACTACGACCTGGAGAAAGAGATGATCAACAGGTCCGGCAGGGGCGGGCAGGGCAGGGCAGGCTAGCAGTGATTTTTGAGGAATCCATAATTTTCCATTTTTTTAGATACGTGGTGATCTCGCGGCGGCTGTCGACGTCGGTTTGCGATGGTCTACTGGGGGCGCTCTCCTTTTTCTACCCAATCACCCACTACCTCATCCCCGTCATCAAGGCGGCTATTCTCGAATCTATGGTGAGTGGAGGGTTTTTTGACTTCAATGTGCCTTTAAAAGCCGTTAACTATTTTCGCCTTTCATGGTCCTTTAAACTCGCTTCTTTTGAAGGCTCTCCTCGAATCGTCGTACGACCGCCTCGTCCAGCCGCCCGGCGAGAAAATCCTCCACAAAATCGACACCTGGATGCGAATGGGACTCAAGGTGAGCTAGCAGCGACAATTGGGGATTTCCCAGATGTCACTGCACCTTTAAAATTGGAAAGCAGGCTAGCTGAAGCAATTTGGGGAATCCGGCTTAGCCTTTTCCTACCGTAATCGGTTCTAAAACCTCGTTTTTCAGGCCGGTCTCCTCCCCGCCTGCCTGTGCCACATTGGTGAGCTGCTGTCGCTGTGCTCCTCCTACGAGGCATTCCTCATCATCCACGAAATATACAACCATTTCAAGGTATACTGTAGCTATTGACGGGGTTACGGTACCCTTTCCAGCTTCAACCCGACCTCCACGCCGACGCCGAGGAGATGTTCGCGCGAGCCGTCAGGGGCGAGGCGTGCAGGCAACAGGTGGGGTAGCTAGCGGAGGTCTTTGAGGAATCCATTCGATTCAGGAAACGATGCGCACCCCGGCCCTGTACGAGTTGATGATCGCCATCCTGCAGCGGGACATGGCCCAGCGGGGCCGCTTCTTCGAGGAGATCTCCCTGCTCATGCCGGTCGGTTTTTGTAGTTTGTAGCTGAGGCAACAAACTACAAAAATTGTTCTAATCCCTGTTTTTTTCAGTCAGCCGACGCGCTAATGGAGACTGAGGCGAACGGCTCGAGCTCGGCGGCCGCCACGGTACAGGATATTGCTGAACCGCTACATTAATCCATCAGCTTTTTCGTCAATTTTTTGACTTGCCAGTCCCTTTAGAATGTCATTTTTGGCTTTTTCTAGCATTCCTTTATCTTTACAGTAATTCCGAAGAAAAATTGGAATTTTTCCGCCATTCCTCTGACTTGCCGGTCCCTTTAAAATGTTAATTTTTGCCGTTTTTCCAGTCTTTTTTGGTTGTTAATGTTGTCTTTCGATTGTTTCTCTCTATTTCTCCGCGGGTACCGTATCCACTTTCCACTCCCCCCAATTTGTCGTGTCGAATAAACGTGTAATTTGTCATTTTTGCGGTTTTTTTGGTTTTGTTGTATGCTAGAAGATATCGGGATTTCGGCTTTCGTTGCATTAAATTTAGTTTTTTGAAATGTTGGCATTTTTAAAATTGGATTTTGAATACATGTCACTGTTTTAAAAAAAACTATTTTTTTTAGTTTTGGGGTACGGTATTCCTGAGAATTTGAAATTTTTGCAACTTGTCAACCCCTCTAAGATTGTCCTTCAATTTTTGCGCGAAGAAATCCCGTATTTGCCATTTTTGAGGGATTTTGGGGTTACGGCAGGCTTTTCCAAATTTTCCCCTAGCCACCAACCGATCGATACTGTCCGCTCGTGCCTCCATCGCCGTCTCCAGCACGGCCACCCCCGCATTATTCACCAGACCGTCGTAAGGAGCGTGCTGGAATAATTTTAAAGGTGGTGGAACAAAAGGCTCGGCTCGGAATTTCATGTCGTAATCGATTTTTTTCAGCTTTTTGGGGTTTTTTTTGAAAAACGGCTTCCAGGATGCCATTTTAGCCCTATAACAACTTTTAGGCAAAAAGCAAACAGTTTCTCGCGGTTGGGGGGTCGAACCCGGGTCGTCAGATTTGCAGGCAAGGCCGCTAACCACTTGGCCACGAGTTTCGGAGCAAGTTTTTTATTGGTTTTTCGATTTTTCTCTCGCTGTCTCTCTTGCTTAAGCCACAGCGGCCCGGCGCCTAATAAAACGTCCGGTAGAATTGGAAACCAAGAAAGACCGCAACGCGTGCGATAGACGCGTCGCGTCATTGCGAAAGCAAGCCTGCGCAGCTAAAACCATGCTGCTATTTCGCGCCCTAGGCAAAAGCCCGTACAGTACGCCTTTTCCTGGGAGCCATTGGGACCGAACCCATGGGCGGTTGTGAAGCCAATACCCGAATACAGGGCGTAATCGATTCGTAATTAGTAATTTCCTACCGGCGCCAAAATAGCCTCCAATTCCTCGATTGGTGCCGTCACGTCGCAAACCAGTGGAATGATGTTGGAGGGGAACTGAAAATTCGGGTTTTGAGAGTTGGGGCAGGCTAGCAGGGATCTTTGCGGAATGCGGGGGCAAACTAGCAGGGATTCTTTGAGGAATTGCGCCCACCTTTTTCTGCAGCTCCTCCAGCGCCTGCCCGTTTCTGGCCATCGCGTATACGGTAGCCCCGCTCGCGGCGAGACTCTCGCAGATATCGCGTCCAATTCCTGAAATTGGGCTTGTGCTTAGCTTAGGCTTAGGCTAAGGCTTCGGCTTACCCTGGCTTCCGCCGGTGACGACAATCTTCTTGCCCGAAAAGTCGAAGCGGCACGACATCTGAATCTGGGGAGATAGGAGAGAGAGAGAGAGAGAGAGAGAGAGAGTGAGCGAGAGAGAGAGGCTTAGGCGTCATTTTTACACTATTATGCTTTCTGAATCGTGCTCTAACCCTAGAAACTACAAAAGCGAGAGTTTCATGGCGTAATCGCATCGAAAAATCGCGAAAAATCACCTTTTTTACATGTTTGCGGTTTTTTACTAAATTTAACCATTTTTTGAGGCTTAAGATTTTCGGGAATATTTTTTCCTTTCTGAATCGCATTCTCAGCCTACAAACTACAAAAAAATTGGGACACCGAAAAATTCAGAATTGAACATTTTTATCATTGTTTTCGGTCCGGTTACGCCATGAAAATCACGATAATGGGAGGTGACCTCGCTGGGCGAAATGAATGCTGATAAAAATCGTGGAGAGAAGATGGCGCATCGACCGAATGATAACCTATCGATTTCCGGCCATAAGATGTGATTGCCCCGCCCACCCCTTCGAATCACCTGCAAAAAAAACACGTTACGACATGGAATTCGCGATCGGACGACGTAATTCCTGAATTTCCACTGCTAGCCTGCCCGCTGGCTGTCGGTTGGTCAGGATTTCCGCAAAGAATCTCTGCTAGCTAGCCCATTTTTTGTTGGAACTTTTAAGAATTTTCGTTACCCGTTTCCCCCCAAAAAACGCTCCAATTTCCTCTGCTAGCCTGCCCGCGGCCTCCCAGTTTAGCGAAGTTTGAGTCTAAAATGGTCCCTGGTAGCTAGCTGCCTGTTTTTTGCTGTTTTTCAGCATTTTTTTAACGATTTTGTGCAGAAAAACGCTGAAATTTCGACATTGGCCGATCTTTCGCCAAATTTTGAATGCTAGCCTGCCCACCGCCTCCCATTTTTCCGCAATAATCTCTGCTGGCTTGCCGCGTGTTTTGTAGCCGCGGTTTTTAGGAATTTTCATGCCATTTTTTCAGGAAAAACCTTCTAATTTCCGTTTCTAGCCGCTTTTCCGCAAATTGCCACTGCTAGCCTGCCCGCTAATTCGCAGTTTAGCGAATTCCCATTTCTAAATGGCCTCCGCTAGGCCTCCCCAATTTTATGGCCATTTTTTCCACCACCCCGTAGGATGGCCGTGATGGCATTTGGAGGTTGTCTCTCTCCCTCTCTCGCTCTCTCGCCCAATTTCTCTCGCCGCTCCCCTCCTCTCCCACTCTCTCGACCCTTCCGCGTCGATAGGATCCCGGTGTCCACTTTACAAATTCAATACACCAGCCCCCAGCCAGCCCCCAGCAGCTGCAGCCCGGTACCGGCCAGCCACCGCGGTTTTATGCATTTTTCTCGAAAATTCGTGATTTAAAATTTATAGAAAATAGTTAACAACCTAAATTGACTTACAGTACGCCAAATTGCATAAAAAAAGCTGAAAAAAATGGACCGGATTTTGTAGCCTAATCGATTAAGGTTTTTGGGGGGATTTAGCTGAACTTTCTGGCCTAAAAACGCTATGGAAATCCTTAGAAAGTACTCGAAGTTCTAAGCCAGCATACGGTCGATTAAACTGAAAGGCCAGAAATCGAAAAATCGATATCTTATTTGCATTGCGTAATCTATTAGGGTTTTTGGGGGAGAAATCCGCAATTTTTGACCGAAAAACGCTATAAAATTCTGTAAAAGAAGGTTTAAAAAGTTGTCTAAACGCTAAACTAACAAATCGACAACCTAAAAATCAATGCCTCATTTTCGTTGCGTAATCCATTCGCTTTTTTCAACGTTAAAATCGAAATTTCCAAAAAATTCCCAATTTCATGTGCGAGTTTTTGATGATTTTGGCCTAAAAACGCTATAAAATCGGTTAAAAAGCGCTCTAAACTTTAAACTGTGATACGGTAGTCTAAATTAGCCAACGAGCTACTCAAAAATCGATACCACATTTTCATTGCGTAATCGATTACCCTCTTTTTTAAACCATTAAAATCCAAATTTCCAAAAAACCCCATTCTCAGGTGCGAGTTTTTGATGGACGTGGATGACACGGGGGATACCGTGGACACCGTCGTCGCTCAATTCGAGAATCTCGACTCACGCGTCGGACAGGTCAGCTAGCAGAGGCAATTTGCGGAAAACCGATCGATTTTAGAGCTCATCCTCCTCAGCTGCTGCTCTCCCGCTCCTCCTCCTCCCATCGATTTCAGCCATCTCCTGCTCGCCACCGCCGCTGCCACGCCCCGCAGATCGTGCATCCACCTCGCCGGCTCGTCGACATCTACAGCCTCGACTTCGGTGAGTTCACCCCTGAAAATTGCGAAAAATTGGGTCTAGAAGCTATAAAAATTGAAAAAGATGGAAAATTCGATATTTCTAAGCTTATCACCACTTTCTAAACATGCCAATCTACCTTTTTGAAAGCTAAAAATTGCTAAAAACCCCTAAAAAAATCCTTTTGTAGCCCAAAAAATTAGTCCGGATCCGCTCAGAAAATCGCCATCAAAAACCCCTATAAAAATCGAGGAATCGTTAATATTCTGGACTGCTACCCTTCATACTATGATCTACATCTGCCATGTTGGCTATTAAAACAAAAATAAACTAAAAAACCGCTTTTTCAAGCCCAACTTTCGAAAATCGATGATAAAACGTGAATTCCAGGACGCCGAAGGCCCCTAAGGGTCTGGAAAACCTTGCCAAACGGGCCTTACATAATTTTACATCTTTTCTATACTCTAAAATAACTGAATTGGCTTTGTAAAACACGAGAAACGCCTGAAAACATTTTTATTTTCATGCCGCTGCCACGGGGGCCCTGGGCTGTTTTCTAAACAGCACCTAGCTGCGTTCAGAGGAGCCTCATGAGCTTCTTCTCCCGGGCTTTCGGCTTTTTCTCCTAAATTTTTCCAAGTTTTGCGAGCGATTTTGATGCTTTTTAAGTTATGCTTTTTCTGTAATTTAATTTCGATAATTTTTGACCTTTTGGAGGCCCATTTCTTCTCGTCGATTTCACGAAGTTTTTAGCGTTTTCAACCAAATCGCTACACTATTTTCTGATTTTTAGCATTTTTGGTTTTTGTCGAAGCTTTTTCTTCAGGTTTTAGCGTCCAAAATCGTTGCCAAACCTTGGCTAACACTTTTCGTAGGGGTCTAGGCTGTTTTCGGGTTTTTATTTGCTTCAGTGGCTCGTTTTTAGCGCGATACTTCGGGTTCTGGGCTTTTTTTTGAAACGCGACGTATTTCCCAGTGATTTTCCATGCTTGTCTCGGGGTTCTATAAAGTTTTTTAGATCTTTAGTCGCTGGTCTTTTGTCTTTCTCTCGATTCCAGGTCTTTTTTGCGCCCTAAAACCTTCAGTGCTAGCTTTCCCGGGGGTCTTTACGCGTTGCCTGAGTTTTTTTCTATTTCACTCGCTTTCACTTCTTTGTTAACCTTTTTTTTGCAGACGATTGCGAAGCGCAAGTGGTCAACGGGCGCCACCAACGCCGACGCAAGTGCCAGCAAGCAGATGAAGGCCGCCGGGTACGTTTCGAGTTTTTCCTTTTCATTCTGGGCCCCCTCCGCTCCCGGGCAGGCTAGCAGAGGTCATTTGGGGAAATTTGTCGCTTCTATTGCTTCTTTCTTGTTCTAAATAATTGTTTTTGCATGAGAAAAGCGGAAAATAGCTTTTTTAGGCTTTTGAAACTTTTCTAGGCGTTCTAAAGGCTGAAAAAGCTGTAGAAAAGCGAGGCAGGCTAGCAGAAAGCTTTTAGGAATCTAGGAAATCTTCTAAATTGCGTTTTGCGTATTTTTTAGGGGGTGTAAAGTAGAAAATGGCTTTTCTAGGTCTTTGAAACTTTTCTAAACGTTCAAAAAGCAGAGAAAATTTTTAGAAACCCGAGGCAGGCTAGCAGAAATCTTTCGGGAACTTTTTAAGCGTTCCCCCGGGTTCCTTATCAATCTCGTGCTCCTCTATCCCCCACCCTCGACCCGCTAATGTGATGTTTGGATTCCCGGGTTCCCCGGCGCGCTCTCTTTTTCTCCCCGAAAGTCGATCGATTTGGGTTTAAAACCAATTTTTGGGCCCCAAAATTTTTCTAAAATATTTTTTTGCAGAGATTACTGTGGAATGGACAGCGACACGCCACCCGAGAGTCAAGATGCCGTTTGCCAACAACAACAGCAGCAGCAGCCCGGCGCCGGTGATGCTGAAGAGACGGCCGTCGCCCTCAACTGGATCGCCGGCTTTGGGGTGAGGTTTTAGAGCTTTTTTCGCGTGAATGTTGATGATAATTGTATTTTTTAGCTTTTGGTTTTTGATTTTATTTTTAATAATTTTTCTTTGCAGCAAATGTCGATGGCGCAGCAGAGCACGGCCCTGCGCAACCTCCTCTACCGCCTGCCCGACCATCACCTCCGCACGCTGCGCCACCTCATCGAGCCCATGTTCCAGAAGGATTTCCTCGGCATACTACCCGATGAGGTACATTTTTGCGCGGTTTTTAGGGCGTAATCGGTCGAGGCGGGTTGATTTTCAGGGCGTAATCGGTTTGAGCCCGTCGATTTTCGTAGCGTATTCGTTTAGCCTGTCCCAAATTTTTATTTTCTTGAACTTTTTCGTTGCGTTGAAGACTTGGAACGGTTTTCATGGCATGATTGATTAGCCTACCCCCGATTTTCGTAGCGTAATCGATCAAAAGGCGAATTTTCGACTTTTTTTTTTTCTTTGCTTTGATCTCGCCCCCCTATTTTATTGGCGTAACCGGATACCAGCTCTAATTTTCGAGGGTTCGAGGGAGGAGAGGAGGACCCTATAAATTCTAGTTTTTCAGTTGGCCCTGCTGATCATCTCGTACTTCGAGCCGAAGGACATGATCGCGTGCGCGGGCGTCTCCCACACGTGGCGTCGCCTGTGCGAGGAGGAGCGGATATGGAAGGCGAAATGCCTCGCCGCCGGCTACACCACCACCAACATCAAAAAGGATCGACCTAGGTGATTTTCTAGCCTTTTTAAAGAGTTGAAAGTTGTTGAAATTTGTAGATTTTCTCTGATTCGTGTTTTAGAACTTTTTTAATTTGAAACAAATAGCTAAGGGTTTCTCAGCGGCAAAAACGTCTGAAATTCTTGAAAAATTGCGTTTTTAACGTTTTTGTAGTGGAAAACACGGAATTTGGGCCTTTTTTGAAGCAAAAAAAACTCAGAAAAGCTTAAAACAACATTTATTCACTAAACCTTTCCATTTCAGTTTCCGGTTCTGCGGCGGCTGGGCCGAGTTTCCGGCGAACAAGCAGACGGGCATCACGGTCCACGGGCACATGTCAACGGACGAATGCTATGCGAACAAGCAGGCACGCGAGACGCCATATGGGAAATGCTCGGAGAGAAGCCCCTACAAGGCACTCTACATCAGGAAGAGGAGGATTGTCGCCAATTGGAGGAGTCAGAAGATACAGTCCAGCGTCGTTCTCAAGGTATCGTGGTGTGATTTTTGTTGCGCAATCGGTTGCGAGCAAAAATCGGCGTTTTTAGAATTTTTTGGAAATTTAGATTTTTAAAAAGTTGAGAATCGATTTTCTCGGTTTTTATAGCTTGATTTTCGTTGCGTAATCGGCGCCTGGGGCCTAGAAAATGCATAAAAATCTCGAAAATTTAGTTTGTAGCTTTCAAAAACTGTCTTTTTTTGTATTTTATAAAATTAGCGAGGTTTTTCCTTGCGTAATCGGTTTTCTTTCGCGATTTTCGTGGCGTAATCGGTTCCTGGATGCCTTGAAGCAGAACACCTGGAAATTTTAGCTTTCGAAAATGCATTTTTTGCTTTTTGCCAATTATCGCAGTTTTTTCATCGCGTAATCGGTTTTTTTCGGGCCAATTTCCGTCGTTTTTATTTCTTTTTAAAATTTCAATTTTTCAGGGCCACGACGAGCACGTGATAACGTGCCTCCAGATCCACGCCGGCCGCATCGTCACCGGCTCCGACGACAACACGTTACGGGTATGGGACGTCGAACGGGCACGACTCCTCTTCACACTCACCGGCCATCTGGGAGGAGTATGGACATCACAAGTCAGCGATGACGGGAAGTATATTGTTAGGTGAGCATTGCTCTCTCTCTCTCTCTCTCTCTCTCTCTCTCTCTCTCTTTGGTTTTGATAGTTTAGAGCAAAAAGCAAAAATTCGTCACGGCCGGGAGTGGAACCCGGGTCGTCAGATTGGCAGACCGCTCCACTAACCACTTGGCCACGCGTTTCAGTGCGAATTTTTTGAAGAAATAGTATTTTCCTTCTCTTTCTCTCTCTCTCTGAATTCAACATTCTATTCCCATTTTTTCAGCGGCTCCACGGATCGTACGGTTCGCGTGTGGAACGGGAAGGACGGCAAGCAGCTCCACATCCTCCAAGGGCACACCAGCACCGTCCGCTGCATGAGCTTGAACGGGAAAATGTAAGGGAATTTCTGGTTCGTTCAAATGGTCTCGGCTAGTTGCCCTATTTTCCTAAATGTTCTCTGCTCATTGACGCTTGCTTTCAGAATTTTTTCTTCTGGCTTTCCTTAAATTCCAAATTCTTTCTGCTTGCCTGCCCTCGAAATTTTGAATTTTTTTTACTGGTGCATTTTAAATCCCCGCTTTTTCAGCCTGGTCTCCGGCTCTCGTGACCAAAACCTTCGCGTGTGGGACATCGAGACGGGCCAATGCCTCAACGTGCTCACCGGCCACCTCGCCGCCGTCCGTTGCGTCCAGTTCGACGGCAAGCGCGTCATCTCCGGCGCCTACGACTTTACCGTCAAGGTAAATTTTGGCTTTCTCTTCCAAAATTTTGTGTTTAGGTATGGAACGTGGAGACGGGCGTCTGCATCCACACCCTCACCGGCCACACCAACCGCGTCTACTCGTTGCTGGTCGGTTTTTGACGTGAATTACGGGGCGCAAATGGTCCCTGCTAGCTCGCCTGAGCTTTTTGAGGAGTTTTTGCTGTTTTGATTTTGATTTTGAAAATCCTCCAAAAATCCTTGCTAGCCTGCCCAACATTTTTTCAAAAGTTTTTCTGACGTCCTGCCAAATTTTCAAAATTCCCCAGAAATCCCTGCTAGCTTGCCCCCAACTAATTCCATTTTTTGCAGTTCGAGCCGGAGCGTGACCTGGTGGTGTCGGGCAGCCTGGATACGACGATCCGCGTCTGGGACATTGTCAGAGGGATCTCGATCGCCGTCCTCGTCGGCCATCAGAGTCTCACCTCCGGCATGCAGCTCAAGGGCGACATTCTCGTGTCGTGCAACGCCGACTCCGAAGTTCGGGTCAGTTTTTCGAATTTTGAAAATTCTTTGGCTTCCACAAGATTCGCTGCTAGGTTGCCTCTTATTCCCAAATGCTCTGCTAGCGCATTCTAGTTCCTCAAGAATATTTGCTAGTAGCCCCTGCATTTCCTCAAGGAAACCCTGCTAACCTGCCTCTCGTTCTCTAAAGATCTCTGCTAGCCTCCCTCTTTTCCTTCCAATTTAGCCCTTTTTTCCAGGTGTGGGACATTCGCGATGGTGGAAAGTGCCTTCATCGCCTCCAGGGCCCCTATGGCCACACCTCGGCCATCACATCACTTCATCTACTCGAGAGCGGACTCCTTGCCACCTCCTCCGACGACGGCACCGTCAAGCTGTGGGACGTCGAGAATGGTACACTATTTTCACGTTTACTTGATTTTGCCTTTGAAGGGGTCGCGAAGGCAAAAGCGTCCCCAACCGGATCGATTACGCCATGAAAATCGGTGTTTTGCATTAATCGCATGCCTAATTTCATGGCGTAATCGTTTTGCGGAGAAGCTTTTTTGCCTTTTGCAGTCCCTTTAAAAGGCGTCTAATTTAATTGCGTAATGGTTTGAGGGGAATGTTTTTGACTTCTCAGGCCCTGTAAAATATTTTATCGAGTTTTAATGGCGTAAGCGTTTGGGTTTTTTGCCTTCCTAAGGACCTTCAGAAAATTATAAGAATTTTATTTATTTAAAAAAATGCTATAATTCTAATAAAATGCTTTTTAATTCTATTTTTTTATATGATTTTTGCAGGCCAATTCGTGCGCGATCTGGTGCGGCTGCAGTCGGGCGGTTCGGGCGGTTGCATCTGGCGGTTGAAGGCGACGGAGACGCTGCTCGTGTGCGCCGTCGGCTCGCGGAATGGCACCGAGGACACGAAGCTCATACTCCTCGACTTTGACTCGGCATATCCATAGAGCGTGTAATGTGTGATACAGTTTTTCCTCGCGGGGCGTCACGCTCCCTTTAGTGGGCCTTAAAAAAATAAAAATCGCTACTAGGGCAAAATTTCAAGATTTTTCGAAGTAAAATTTCTCTGCTGGTTTGCCAGGGCATGCTAGCAGGGATTTTTGAGGAAATTTTCATAGAGCTAGGGCAAACTTGCAGCGATTTTGGAGGAAAAGGCAGCTAAAAAGCCTAGAAAACTAGCGTCGATTCTTGAGGAAATCAAAGAACCTAGGGCAAACTAGCAGCGATTTTTGAGGAAATGGAATTTTCGATTTTTTAAGCCTTTTAAAGGGAGCGTGACACCTGCGGTAGCCTCAGTCTTTCTCCCCCCGCTATTTCGTCTGCAATGCTGGTCCTCTTCCTCCCCATCACTCACTCACCCTCCCCTCCCTCTTTTCTATATTTTGCCAACTATCCCCCGAGCCTATATATATCGATCGATTTTTGTGGTGTCATTTCGTGTGTTTGCGTATTCGCGTCGTCTTTTTGATCTCTCATCGGGTCCCTCTGTCTCTACTCTCTATCTCTCTGTGTTTTCTCTGTCCCTCTCCTCTTTCTATGCGTCTCTCTCCCCCCTCATTCATTTTGCGCGCGCGCTCTTAACCGGTTACGCGAGGTATATATTTCATCATTTACCCTACTATGCACCCACCCGCCCACATAAAGAAACATGAGATAAAATGCTACTCACCCGATCTGATCTGATCCGATTACGACTGGAAATTACGTTCCAACGCCGGTGCGCTGACGGGCTGATTATTGTGGATTTTCCGGGGTTTTTTTTTTGATACGATTACGCTAGGGAATTCATAGCTCCCCGCCTTCCCTGGGCCTTTAAAATCTGGTTTTTAGCCTGTGGACTATGTCCGATTTTTAAGGCGATTCGATTACGCCAGGAAATCCATAGAGGCCTAGTCGCTTCAATGGGCCTTTAAAATCGCGTTTTCCGTTGGAATCGGGCATTCGATGACAGCAGGAAATTCCTTGCGCGTCCCTTTAAACCAGCAAATAGGCAAAGTTCAAAAAAACTGATTTTCCACTTTTCTGGGCATTCGATGACGCTACCAAATCCACAGCCCCGGTCTTCAATGGTCCTTTAAAACGTCTTTTTCTCTCGTGTAAATAGCCCGGATCGACACTTTATTAACGACAAGTAGGCGAAAAACACGAGATATGGGGGGGGGGGGGGCGATCGCTTTTGCTGAACGACTTGGAGACGTCGGCCCGCCGCCGGCCTAGGCGCTCAGGAACTCGAACAGGTACTCGGAGCGCAGTACCGGCGGGATCTGCGTCTCCGCGCACTCCCACACGTCAATCTTCTTCTCCTTCTGCAAAAAACGGCGGGAAATTCGGAGCAAAAGCAAAAAGCAAAAAATTCTGCCGCGGCCGGGATTCGAACCAGCGACCCTCATAACATGTCGTAATCGTTTGCAAATTCGATTTTTAAGCTACTTGCTATGTTTTCGACAGCCAGCTAGCCAATTCTAAGCTTTTCAGACAAAAAGCAAAGACCCCGTCCCGGGCGGGAGTCGAACCCGGACCCTCAGATTGGCAGCCAAGCGCGCTAGCCACTCGACCACCTCAGCCAATTATACCTTTTTCGACGACGACGAATTGCCGGCGGTGTTGGCTGCGGGGATGGGTTGCTGCTGTTCGTGTTGCGGGGGTTGTTGCTGTTTCTGAAAAACAAGAGTTTTTAATTTTATTTTTGTAGACTTACTGTATTTTGCTAATGTTAATCTTGATCTTGTAGAGTTTTTGAATGGCTTTCGAATGATACAAAAATCATGACGCTACCGTAATCCTAGCACAAGTTAAATTTTTTTAAAGTTTGTGCCCCAGGGCTACAAACGACAATCGCCCGTATCTCGGGCTACAAATATCAAACGTTCACGTTTTATAGCTCATTTTGTAGCATTTTTCACGCGCTTTCGAATGAGCTATATTACATCACGCCATCTAATTGCTAGAAAAAGTTATGTGGGCTTGAAGATCGAATTCGATGAACTAGGCTACAAACTACAAAACTAAACAAACTAGGCTAAACTACAAACTACAACTAGAACCAGATACCGATTTGAGGGATTTGCTGGTGAGCGTCTCGACCTGCTGGATCTCGTGCGGCGACGGGGGGCGCTTCGCCTTCGCCGGCGAGGGCGCCTTCTTCGGCGGGGGCGTCGCCCGGGTGGCCGACGCTGCTGGCGCCGGTGTCGCTGAATTTTTAGGTTTTACGCTTCAAATTTTAATTTTTTTACAAAATTGCCACACCTTGGCCGAGGGGCTAAGCGGTTTGGCTGCCAAACCGAGGGTCCGGGTTCGAATTCTGCCGAGGGCAAATTTTTTGCTTTTTGGATTTTGATCTCGTAACTGGTTAAACTGCGCTTCAGACAAAAAATCGTTTTACAGCAAAAAGCAAAAACCCTGGCGCGGCCGGGGTCGAACCCGTGTCGCCAGGTTGGTAGGCCAGGCCACTAACCACTCGGCCATGGTTTGAAGGCCGATTTTTTTGACAAAAATGGTTTCCAGATAGCCTAGACTCGGCGAAGCCCAAATAGTCGTAAATCCGTTTAAAACGTAAAATCATCAATAAGGTACCCTTTTTGGGTGTTGTTTTGGGGGTGGGCGTCTTGTGCTTGGGTGTTTTTGTGCCGGCCGGTGTCCCGCCGGGCGGTCGTTTCTTCTTCTTGCCGGCGCAGCAGCCTCCTCCGCCGCCCTTTGCCTTGCCTTTGGCGCCGCCGTGGCCCTTCTGAAAGGCGAGGAATTGCGTGGCGTAATCGATTACGACATGGAAAACAACAAGCGCCAACGGTTACGACACTAAACTGTCAAGAATTATCAGATCCACACGTAACAATACGACGCTGAAACGCTCGAGGCACGGAATTAGACGTCGTAATCGATTACGTCATGAAAATCGAGGCTAAAAACGATGAATTATGCGTCGTGATCGATTACCTTCGCCCGATCGCCCTTGGTGCATCCGATGAGAAGAAGGGCGGGGAGCAGGAGAAGCCACACCACCGACAGCCAACAGTCGTCAATCTGGAAACGATTTTGTCAAAAAAAATCGGCGTTTAACCTGTGGCCAAGTGGTTAGTGGCCTGGCCTACCAATCTGAGGGTCCGAGTTCGATCCCCGGCCGCGGAAAATTTTTTGCTTTTTGCCTCAAACTCTCAGAATAGGTTGTCTGGTGGCCAGAAAGCAAGGCTGAGCAATTAAAATCCGATTTCTAACCGATTACGCGACGCCATTAGGATCGCGGGTTCGACTCCGGGGCTCGGCAAACTTTTTGCTTTTTGCTCAAGATGCTGAGAATAGGCTAGCAAAGGCCATTTGAGAGCACGAAACGCCGCCAATCACGAATCTAAAAAAATCGGCACGGAATCCGTGGCCAAGTGGTTAGTGGGCTGGCCTACCAATCTGAGGATCCAGGTTCGACTCCCGGGACGTACAAACTTTTTGCTTTTTGCTAAAAATTCTCGGAAACGGTTAGCAGAGACCAATTGAGAGCCACTCACCACGAAAATGCTTTGTAAAAGTGAGCGCATCCACATTCTCTGAAGGGGGTAATTGATAGGGGGCGTGTCCAGAGGAGTGGAGCGGAGCCAACCAATAAAAAGGGGGGAGACGGTAGAAAATGGGCGGCTGGGGGTACGGTAGCCAATCGCTGTAGCTCAGCAAGCAGCTCCGGCATTCAATTACGACATGTAAATTGGATTCGAGAGAAATTTTACGTCGTAATCGGATCCCGGATTTTCGTAGCGTAATCGATTTTCAGCTATTTTCATTGCGTAATCGATTTTTCGAAAATTTCATGGCGTAATTGATTGCCTGAATTGATTTTCCAGAAATTGCACGTCGTAATCAAATGTTCAGTTTTGTGGCGTAATCGATTTTATGGAATTTCATAGCGTAATCGATTTTTCACGAATTTAAGGGCGTAATCGATTGCCTGAATTTCATAGCGTCACCGTTTTTTTCGTCAATTTCATGGCGTAATCGGTTGCCTGAATTTCATAGCGTAATCGATTTGTCTAGCAGAGATTCCTTAGGAAGCCTAAAGGGACAGCGACACCTAGCATTTTCGCTTTTCCGAGCCACTTGCCATTGCGTAATGCATTACAACCGCTTCGCGGGGATTTTGGGGATTCTAAAGGCGCGGCGCAACCGTTTTTCGCTTTTGCCGAAGCTATAATTTTCGTTTTTCGGGCTAACAAGCAGCGATTCTTTGCGGAAGGAACCGGACCTCCCGGCTCTCGTTTCATAACCCCTAAAATGACTCTCCTGCTTCATTCTAGGCGATAAGGCAAGGCCAAAAAGAAGCGGAAATCAGTTCACAGAATAGCCGAGATGACGAAGCCCCTCCACTCTTCTTCTTCCCTCCCCCCCTGATAAGCGGAAGCGTCACAACCCCTGCACTGCCCCGAGTCGGCTTTAAAGCCAGCTGGCCCCTCAATTTCTATCAATTTCGCGGCCATTATGCGTTCTTCCTACCATTTTTTACGATAGACGCTTTAAAAATTGATTCAGAATCGATTACGCAATGAAATTCGGGTCTCGGGTTCGACCCCCGCGCGCGGCAAAACTTTTTGCTTTTTGCTTAAAACTTTCTTAAGCTTTCAGAAACGCTATTCTCTCTTTTATTTTACATTTTTGAGTCCGAAATTCGCTTCCAGTTCCCGGAAAATGGGCGGAGCACCAGTGGAGCTGCGCGGGGTGAACGAGCTGGAGACGTGCGAGGCCCCGCCCCCTTATACGCAGAATCCGGTAGGTGGGGGGGGGCAGGCTAGCAGGGATTCTTTGAGGAAATAAGGGGCAGGCTAGCAGAGATTCCTTGCGGAACGGCAGCGTTTTAAAGGCCCATTGAAGTCTGTTTTCCAGCTGGACGCCCCGCCCCTCCCCTCGACTACTATCGTCGTCCAGCCAACTACCATTGTCATCGAAGAGAGATGCAGAAAAGGAGAGAGGTCGGTATTTCTCAAAAAATTTCCACAAAAACCGCTGCTATCTAGCCCTGTTCTTTTCCTCAAAGAATCACTACTAGCCTGCCCCTACTTTCAATTTTTTTCAGATGCCGTTAGGGGAAGCCATTGCTCGGTGCATGGCCACGATGATAGCGGATGTCTGATTTGTTGCTGTGGCAAGTTTTTCGAGTGAAAAGCAAAAAGCAAAAAATTCTGCCGCGGCGGGGAGTCGAACCAACGACCCCAATAACCTGGCGTAATCGATTCGAAATCGCATTTTTTCGACGGGAGCAGGCTTCCAGGGTGCCACCTAGACGATCATACAAGTTTGGTGCAAAAAGCAAAACGTTTGACGCTTCTGCCGCGGCCGGGAGTCGAACCCACGATGCGAATTCCATAGCGTAATCGAATGAAAACCAGTGTTTTTAGTTGGCCCCCGTATCTGCATCGTGCCAGGGCCAGTCTATAGTGGCGGAGGAGGTGGCGGAGGAGGTGGATGTTGCTGCTGTACCGGATGCGGGGGATGCGGAAATGTAAGTTTCCGGCAGGCTAGCAGAGACCAATTGCCCTCCGAAAAACTCTCGATTTCAGTGCAAAATGGACGGCCGATCGTTGCTGATCGCCCTTGTCTGCGCCGTGCTGCTCGTTGGTAAGTTTTTCGTGATTTTTAAGCATGGCCGAGTCGCCGAGTGACTGCCGGGCGGAGGGCCCGGGTTCGATTCCCTCCGACGTAAAACCTTTTGCTTTTTGGATTTTTTTGCGTAACTGGTCAACCTGGCTGCCCGGGGGCCCAGAAAGCCACTTTTCGAGGCCGATGCAGCGGCGGGGGGTCGAATCCGGGTCATCAACCTGGCAGCCAAGCCACTTAGCTTTTTAACTTAGCCCCTCTGCCATGGTTTGTAGCCCAAAAATGTTGATTTTGTCGTCTATAGTCTATCCAATTTCATTTTAGGCGTGGTGATGATGGTGATCGCGTGGCGGATGAAGAAGAGCAGCCCGCCCGGGTCGAAAAAGTGGCTTCTCCTGTTCGTTCCGGGGGTTATTCTGGCGGTTGCCCTCCCAGCTGTCGCCGTCACCCTGATTGTCGTCTACTGGGATCAGATTTCGACGATTTTTGACGACGATAGCAGCTAAGAGAAGGGTAGGGTAGCCCTGTTCTCTGTACTTTGTAGTTTGTGATTTTGCGCTACGGGTTGGGTTTTTGTGTTTTTTGACGAATTTATGAATAAATTTTTACGTTTTACGAATTGATTAAGCCCTGAAATTCGAGTTTAATCGATTACGCTCTGAAATTGGCGTTTAAACGACGCCATAAAAATAGTTTAATCGATTGCGCCCGATCGAGTTTAATCGATTACGTCCTGAAATTCGCATTTAATCAATTACGCGCTGAAATTCTTGCTGGTTAATCGATGAAAATGTATTCGATTACGATACTTTATTCAAAACCAAAAAACAGGGCAAAAACTACAAAATACAGACAGGCTACAGGGCACAAAAATTGAGGTACTGTAGGAAGGGCACCGAATAGGGGAGAGTGAGAGAGCGAGAGAGAGAGAAAGAGAAGGAGAAAGAAAGGACGAGTGTGAGATCAATCTATGCCTGCACAGGCACTTCAGCCGTCTTTGGCGCTTCCGCGCTGGGCGCGGAGGCGTCGGGCGGGGCGTCAGCGCTGAGATTCGCCGGCTTCTCGCCGCACATCAACGCTGCCTTCTCCTCGGCCCGTTCGGCCTTCTTTTGCTCTGCAAAAAAATGGTCTCTGCTAGCTGGCCTTTGGTTTTAAAGGCACCTAGCAGTGAAGAATCTAACCAAATGATCTCTGCTAGCTTGCCCAGCTCTTGAAATTATTTTAAAGGGACAGTGACAGCTAGAAAAAAGCTTTTTAAGGTCCCCACAAGTGAAAAAAGTTATCCAAAGTGGTCTCTGCTAGCTTGCCCAGCTCTTGAAATTATTTTAAAGGGACGGTGACACCCCAAAAACCAGCTTAAAAGCACTCACTGAGTCTGGACTCGTTGATCTGCCTGTTCAGCCTCAATACGTGGGCTCGGCTCTCGTCGTAGAGTTGCCGTAGATCGTACATGCGGTGTAGTACGTACTCGTAGATCTGGCGGGCTTCGGGGAGATTCTGGGGGACGTGGTCGTAGTCCCAGGCTGAAAAAAAGGGGATTAAAACCGCCATCAGCAGCTTTAAGGGGTCGTTTGATTCGATTACGACGTGAAAATACGTACGCAACGCGTCGAGGCCGAGGATACGGTAGTCGTCGAGGGTCCCATCGGTCTCTAGGGTCTTCAGAAGGCCCTTCCGGATCGAGGTGAACGTGTCCTTCGTGATTGTCACTTCTGTAAAAATGTTTTTTTGACCGATTACGCCATGTAAATAGGGCCGCGGCCGGGGGGTTAAACTTTTTACTTTTTGTCTCAAAGCGTCAGTATTACGCCATGAAAAAAATGCCGAAACTCGTGGTCAAGTGGTTAGTGACCCCGTCTGCCAATCTGACTACCCGGGTTCGACTCCCAGCCGCGGCAGCCTTTTTGCTTTTTGCCTCAAACTCTCGGAAATGACTGGCTAGGTGCCAGAAAAGATTTTACAAGCAAAGCGGACCAACGATTACGCAATGTTATTAGCCTCCAAAGCTGCTGCTCAAGCCCACCATCGCTATCCGAGTCGTCGTCCTCGTTCTCCAGCGGTTTCTCCTCCTCCTCCCGCTTCTTTTTGAGGTTGAGAGGCTGTCTCCCCAGCAGTCGCTTCCGTTTCCCGCGATAACCACGAGGAGAGACACCGGCTGAGCCGGTAGTTCCCGCTCCAGATTGGTCCGAGATGCTCCATTTGTCGTCTGGAAATTATTCGCGTAAATCAGGTCAATTCCACGGTCCTTTAAACCGTTTAAAGGGCTCTTGAAGGCAACACCATACCCTCGTTCTCCTCCCGTGTCGGCGTGTTCGCGCCGGACGGGGTTTCCGGTGCGTCGGCGGCTGCCGCAGCGGCAGCGGCGCGGCGCCGGGTGGTGGCGCAGAGTTCTTTGGCTTCTGGAAATTTTTGGGCGTTGCTGTCCCTTTAAAATCCGGCCAGAATTTCTGCTAGTTACCCCAAGAAAATCGCTGAAAACCCATGTGTCCCTGCGCCTTTAAAAGACCTATTCCTCAAAGAATCTCTGCAACCTACCCTGAACCAGCCGATCGGTCTCTTCTTCTCTGTCCTCTCCTCCATCTCCCTCATCCATCTCCTCTCTCTCGTCGTCTGCCCCCTCCTCTTCTTCCTCCATCTCCTCGCGGCGCGGAGCGCGTCGCGGAGAGATCTGGGGCCGGGATTCTGATGATGTCGTGCTGCTTTTCACTGAAACGGGCTTGGCTTAGGCATGGCTTAGGCTTAGGCTTAGGCTTAGGCTTAGGCATAGGCTTAGGCTTAGGCTTAGGCTTAGGCTTAGGCTTAGGCTTAGGCTTAGGCATGGCTTAGGCTTAGGCTTAGGCTTAGGCTTAGGCTTAGGCATAGGCTTAGGCTTAGGCTTAGGCTTAGGCTTAGGCTTAGGCATAGGCTTAGGCTTAGGTTAGGCTTAGGCTTAGGCTTAGGCTTAGGTTTAGGCTTAGGCTTAGGCTTAGGCTTAGGCTTAGGCTTAGGCTTAGGCTTAGGCTTAGAGGTCGTCCATGGAAATCGGCCATATCGATAGGCTTACGAAAAATTTCGCAATTTTTTCTGCATTTTACTTTTTAAATGACTACATCTTATAGAGCTTTTCAAGGGCTATCAAACGATATCTAAATTATTACTCTACCGTAATCCTAGCGCAATTTATAACCATTTAAAGTGTTTGCTCCGAGCTACAAACTACAATCGACCGTATCTCCGGATACAAACGTCAGTTTGGGATGTTTTATAGCCTATTTTGTAGAGCTTTTCATGCGCTTTCGAATGAGGGATAAGGCTTAGGTGTAACAAGCCATTTTAAAGGACCGCTGAAGGCACAAGTTCTCAAAATCCTACCAGAAGCGGCTCTCTCCTCTCCCCTTCTCCTCTTGATAGGCGGCTCCTCCTTGGCATCCGCTTTTTCCGGGCTTTCCGGTTGTTCAGCCGCTTCGCGGGCTTTTCGCTCTTCGGCCTAGAAAACCGGGTTTTAGCCAGGTGGCACCGTCCTTTGAAAATTCCTCGAAAATCTCTGCTAGCTCCCCAATTTTCTCAAGACTCCCTGCTAGCTCACCTTCCGCTTCTCTGCCTCCTCCTCTTCCCTTTGCCTCTTTTCCCGCTCCTCCCGCTCCGCTCTCTCTTTCTCTGCCCTTTCCTCTGTCTCTCTCCTCTCTCGCTCCATCGCCTCCTCCTCTTCTTGCTTTCGTTTTTCGGCTTCTTTCCGCTTCTTGTCTTCTTCCTGGAAAAAGGATTGGATTACGTTCTGAAATTCGACTTCAGCTATTCGATTAGGCTATGAAATTTGGTTTAATCGGTTACGCTATGAAATCTGAATTCAGAGAATGGATTACGCGATTAAATTGGAGCTCGGCTATTCGATAACGATAGGAAATCCTATCCGATTACGCCATGAAATCCCTTACCTTCAGCTTCTCCTCGGCCTCCTTTCGCGCCTTTTCCTCGCGTAATCGGTTAGCCTCGGCGTCTTCCGAAGGCTTCGGCTTGCCGGAAGCCGGCTTCTCCTCCTTTTTAGGAGCAGTGGAGGCCGGCTGGGCAACGCGCGAATCCTAAAAACGCGGTTCTTAAGCGGTCGGCAAGCCAAAAATCCGCGAAATTAGGGTCGCGGGTTCGACCCCCATCCTATGCTGACATGAGAATCGCATAGCTTCATCAAAAGCCCGGCTTTTAAAGGACGTGACAGGAGGCTAGGCTCTAGACTACAGGCTACAAAGTACAATGTATAAGCTACCTTACATACCTTATCCTTAGCAGCCTGCTGCGGAATCTCCTTAACTGGTGTCCGCATCCGCATCTTCATCGCCACCTCCTCTTTCGCCTCCTCCTTTGGAGTCTGTAGTCCGGTGGGGGTGGAGGCTACGGTGGTTGGCACACTGCCAACCACCGTATTGGTCTTCTGGGGAGTGCCACTCGCCGTGGGGACCATTTTGCTGGGCGATGGGGTCGAGCGCTGCTGAAAAATGGGGTTTAAACGAGCTAATCTTAGCTGTCACCATCCCCTCAAAAACCGATTACGCCCTGAAAAATCGAAATATACTGAAAGCTACAGTACCTGAGTCGGGGGTCCCGCCGCGAGCAAAGCTGGCTGATCCCCGGAAGTCGGCTCCTCCCGTTGCTGCATGTTTTTGAGCTGAAAAACGCAAAAATAAGGGTGGGGGTTTTGGTTTTTTTGTGGGGGGGGTTTGGGTTGGGTTGGGGGGGTTTTTTTGTTTTTTTGGGTTTTTTTTGGGGGGGGTGGGGTTTGGGTTGTGGTGAGGCTTGGCTTGGCTTAGGCTAAGACTTAAGCCTAGGCATGGCTTAGGCTTAGGCTTGGTTCAGGCCTAGGCTTCGGCTTATGCTTGGCTTAGGCTTGGCTGAGGCTTAGGCCTAGGCTTGGCTTAGGCTTAGACTTTGAAAAAAACTGACCTGCAAGCTCTCGGAGATCTGTTCCACTTGGGTGATGGAGAAGCGGCGAGGGCGGTAGGGACCCTAAAAAACCGATTACGCAATGAACGCTTTCGAGCTGTCACCACCCCTTCAAAACGTGAAAAATTATATTTTTTTCGATTTTTTTGGAGCGAAAAAGTTAATTAAACGATTACGACATAAAATTCGGACAAAATTAATCAATTACGCTATCAAAGCCGATATTTTCTCGCTGTCCCACCACCTTTAATCCCCTAAAAAACCTTACAATGGTCTGCAGGAAGCTCTTCTTCTCGTCGACCGGACACTGCCGGAACAGCTCCATCCCTTCGGGTGAGGAGGACCACCTGAAAACGGGATTTTCGAGGTGTTGCCGTCCCAAAAACATATTAGGGCCACAAGGCTGGGCAAGCTAGCAGAAATCATTAGGGAACCCATTTTTGTCTTCATTGGTCCTTTAAACTCGATTTTCCAGGTCCCTTTAAAACGTTTTCTAGGCCCAGGGAAGGCTCGGCAAGCTGGCAGAGATAATTTTTGCCTTCAAGGGCCCGTCAAAATCGATTTTGTCGGTTTTAAAGGACCATTGAAGGCAAAAAAGCCGATGGACAATCGATTACGCAACGTAATACGCGAAAAAACCTACTCCTGGAAGAGCTGAATCCGCTCGGCGGGCAGCTTGTCCCCGATGGCGGCTATCGTCTTGTTCCGCGACTCCTCCTCGTCCTGAAATTTCATGGCGTAATCGGATGGGGTTAGGCCAGCAGAGATTCTTTAGGAAAAACGGCAACGAGCAGAGATTCTTTAGGAAAACGGCCGCAAAGGCAACGAGTAGAAATCTTTGAGGAATTCTAAATGGACCAAAATAAGACTTTAGTGAGTGAATTTTCATAGCGTAATCGGTTTAAAGGGACCGTGACATGGGCCAGCTAGCAGAGATTCTTTGAAAAACGCACCTTAATCGTGACGCGAATCATATGAAGCGGTATGAACTCGTCGTATCTGCTGTTCCACCCCAGATAATGCACGAACGCGCCGGCCTTCTTGATGGCGTCGCGCAGGGCGACGATCGCTTCGGCCGAGAGCCCAGTCTAGAATTTTATGCCGTAATCGGTTGCAGAAGGTCTATTTTGGCTTCAATGGTCCTTTAAAACAGAAAAATTGGCTTTTAAAGGCCCATTGAAGGCAAAGTTCATATAAATTTGGGAATTAGATGTCGTAATCGGTTCCAGGAGGTCGATTTTCGCTTCAATGGTCCTTGAAAAGCTCAAAAATCTGGTTTTAAAGGACCATTGAAGCCAAATATCGCTATGGATTTTCGATTTTCATGTCGTAATCGGATCCCAAATCGAATTTTGGACCTTTCTGGCCCTTTAAAATGTTAAAATGGGCCTGGACACCTAGAAAATTGACTTTAAAGAAATATTGAAGGCAAAGTATTTCAATTCCGCGCAGGCAGGCCAGCAGAGACCATTTGCAGAAACTCACCTCTCCTCCTTTTGCCTTTAGCATCGAGACGAGCTGGTCGACTTTTGGCGTCTCACTCGTCAGCACCCGAGCCATGTACCAGCTAAAAAAAAACAGATAAAACATTTCAGGGCAAGCTAGCAAAGCAACTTTGCGGAAAATCGCAAAAATGCGTTTTTAACGTTTTTCTCACCTCCCACAGTGCAGCGCCCGCACGTTTTGGCCCTGGCGGAACTGGCAGAGCCTGAAAAAAATAGGTTGGAAAAAATTTGGGCAAAAAGCGAAAAATTTGGCGCGGCCGGGGGTCGAACCCGCGACCCAAATTTCGTGGATTTTTGGCTTGCCGGGCCCTTTAAAAGCTAAAGAAATTGCTTAATTTGCAACTTACAAATGACTATGCAGATATCCGGTCTCAGTATCCTCCTGGATCGGCTGATTTGCATCCAGAATCGCCGAAGCCAGCGGGCCGCCCCGCTCCCGCTCGACGCTCTTCTCCTTGGGCCCCAGGCCGGGTCCCGAGGAGCCGGAAGGCCCTCCCGGGTGCAGCGAAAAGCTCTTCCGCTTCTCCTTCCGTTTGCGCGCTGAAAAATGTGCATTAAAAAGTTATTTCACCAAAAAATTGATTTTTCAAAAAATTTCCAGAAATCGTTTTCTTAAAAAAATTCTATAAAATTGAGGTTACTTAATTTTCTAAAGTATTCTAGCTCATTTTGTAGCCCTTGAGCTGCTCTATTTTAAGCAAAATATTTGAAATCTTAAAAATCAAATATGTCCGAGATACCGGCCCTAGAAGCCTAATCCTGGAGCCCCAACTTCTACCCGCTATATCTCGGCCCTGAAATATGCTATCGTAATGGGATAAACAGCATTCGAAAGAGCGCAAAAAACTCTACAAGACAACGTCGCTGTTTTTAAATTTCCTCAATAATCCCGGCTACCCTGCTCCCATCCAAAAACGGGCTTTTTTTCAGACGCTATCAAATTCCGAAATTCCTCAAAACTCTCTGCTAGCCCCACTTACACTCCTCATCACTGGTCGTCGACAGCGAGTCGGTCCGCTTCCGCTCCCTCCTCTGCGCCGTCAGCTCCCGGGCTACGCTACGTTCCCGTTTACGGTCCTGGAATGGTATGGTTTAGGGGAATCACTTTTTCAAAAAGTTTGGAATAGCCCTGTAAGATAACTCATTCGAAAGAGCAGGAAAAACTCTACGAAATGATGTAGTTTTCATTAAAATCCGATGTTTGTAGCCCGAGATACGGTCGATTGTAGCTTGTAGTCAGAGGGTGCAAACTTTAAATGGCTATAAATTGTGCTAGGAATTAGCTAGCGTAATGGGAAGTATACCATTCGAAAGCCCTTGCAAAACTCTACAAAACCTCATTAAAACGAAAGTTTGTAGTCCATAATTCGAGTTTGTAGTCTACCCGTGTAGTCTGTAGCCCAGCCCCAAAATGCCTACCCTGGCCGTCGAATCGCTCCTCTTTAGCGTGACCGGCTGCTCAATATTCGGGGTTGTAGCTTGCAGCTGGGCCGGCTTGGGACTCTCTTTCTCTCGCTCTCTCTCCCTGCCGTGCTCTCTCGCCTCGCGGGCCACGCTCTTTCCCTTGGACACCTTTTGACGGCGGGCCTCGTCGTCTTTGGAGGCGGATGAAGCCGTGGAGCGGGCGGGCGAGGGGGACGGGTGCTCCCTGAAAAAAATATATTGCTATTTTTGCCTTCAATAGGCCTCTAAATGTTGGGCATGCGAGCAGAGATCATTTAGGAGCCCTGAGGGCATTTTTTCGAGGTCTAGCCATCCCCTTAAAACGCTTTAAAGGGCCCTTGAAGGCTAAAAATGGTCCCTCGGATCCGATTACGCCATGTAATTCCATCAAAATCTTGATTTTTGGCTTCAGCGGCCCTTTAAAATCGATTGTCTGGGTGTCTCAGTCCCCTGAAAATTATCTAAAGGACCGTTGAAGGCAAAAATGGTCTCCCAAATCCGATTACGTCATGTAATTCCCTCAAAATCTCGGCTGGGTTTCAGCGGCCCTTTAAAATCTATTTTCTAGGTATGACAGCCCCGACAAACCGTTTTAAAGGAGCGTTGAAGGCCAAAAATGGTCTCTCGGATCCGATTACGCAACGTAAGATAAAACGCCGTTTCGCCTCAATGTTCCCTAAAGACACCAGAACGATGGAACGCGCACTGTCACCCCGAGGGTGCTGCCCCCAAGAACGCGCAGAGAGAGGCGTCATTAGTGGTGTTCCGTATTGGGAAAAGACCCTCTGGGGTTTGGGGCACCTCTGACTCCCTTCCCACTTGGCCCTGTGGTATAGTGGCAGCGCGTCGGACGGGAGCGAACCACGCGGGTTCGACCCCCGCCCGGTGCGCAACTTTCTTGCTCTCAACGGAATTTCATCATTCTGGCGGTCTTTAAAGTCGATTTTTCGCGTTTTAACGGGCCGTCAAAGGGTGGACAAAATTTTGGGATGCGATTACGCAATCTAATTCACCTTATTCGAGGGCAGGCTAGCAGAGATTCCTTACCGTTTCACCTTGTCCTTCGACACGACATCCTTGTCCTTCTCGCGACGGGGTTCCGATTTTTCCGCTTTATCGGCGTCTCGCGGAGGTTTTTCTGGAGTAGAAAAAAACGTAAATTTCCGAAGTAGCGTACCATCTACTGCGTCCGGCTCCAATTTCGGCGTTTTCTCGACGATCGGCTCATCGGTTCGATTCGACGCGACGGAGCTCTCCTTCTCCCGGCTTCCCTCCTTTCGCCGCTTCTCCTTGTCGTCTTTTTTTCGGTTTCTGAAGCGAAAATTGGTTGTAGAAATCCACAATGATCCCTGCTAGCTCCCCGTTCCTCAAGAATCTCTGCTAGCTGACCTTTTCCGAGGGATTGATCCTCTGGACGGCCCTTCCGGCCCGCTTCCCCTCCGGCATCGTCAGCTCGTTCAACGACCACCCCAGCCGGGTATACTGCTGGCTGAACGACAGCAGATACCTGAAAAAAGGCCATACGAAATAGTAAAGCTCAAAAGTTACCGATTATACGCATTTTTGACGGTTACGGCCGTAGCACCGGGGCATCCCTCGAGTTTCATGTGGATCAGCACCTTTTTCCACTTGTTCTTCGTGCACACCTGCTTGTAGCCGCCCAGGCGACGAACCACCTGAAAAAGAGAATCGATTACGCTACGAAAATCCTCGATTACGCTAGGCAAACAAAAGGTAGGAAAATCTAATCGATTACGCTATGAATATCTGCTCAAATGCCATCTGATTACGTTAGCAAAAGCTATTTCATTACGAGACGTCGGTCAAGCGATTACGTCACTAAAATCATTCGATTACGCCATGGAATAATTACCCGGTAAAAGCGGTAGATGTCGAGCGGCTTCCCGCCGAGCACCGGCTGCTTGTTGATTGGGGTCGCTGAAAAAAAGAAAAATACCTAATTGCAATCCATTACGCCATGAAAATCGGCGTCGGGTTCGACTCCCGCCCCAGGCAGAACGGTCTAGTGTTTTGCTTTTTGCCCCAAAACTTGAGAATTAACTAACGGGCCCCCAGAAAACCGATAAAAGCTTTGAAAACGGAATTATCAAAAATTGCCCGTGGCCAAGTGGTTAGTGGTCTTGCCTGCCAATCTGACGACCCGGGTTCGACCCCCGGTCGCGGCTAGCTTTTTGCTACTTGCTTCAGAGTTTTGGGGCGGCTTCTAGGTACCATTAAACTTCAAAAAATTACCGTTCTCCTCCTGGAACTTGTAGAAGTGGGCGACAAACGCGTCGCGGGCCTCGCCAAACTCCTTGTCGGTCTCGTCGTCGCTCGACTCCTCCTCGTCCGACTCGCTCGAGGAGGTCGAGCTGAAAAATTGGGATAATTCCTCAAAAATCTCTGCTAAACCGCCTCTAGAAATCCTCAAAGAATCTCTGCTAGCCTGCCCCTAAAAATCCTAAAAAATCTCTGCTAGCTAGCTCCCAATCTCCCCAAAAATCCCTGATGGCACTCACTCGCTCTGGTCCTGCTTTTCCTCCTTTTTCTCGGGCTTCTTCTCCGATTTCTCCGTTTTCTCCGATTTTTCCGGCTTTTCCGGTTTCTCGGCCTTTTCCGCCTTTTCCTGCTTTTCCGGCTTCGGCTTCTCCGGTTTTTCCGGTTTCTCGGCTTTCCGCATCGCTCCGTCGGCCAGGATGTGCTTGTTCAGGTCCCACGACGCCGGCAGCGTCTTGCCGTTCGCTGAAAAATGGGTGTCATACTCCCTTTAAAATTAGTGAATGGTCTCTGCTAGCTCGCCCCTGCCTTCAATGGTCCTTTAAAATCCGCAAATGGACTCTGGTAGCCTGCCCCTGGCTTTAACGGGCCTTTAAACCGTTTTAAAGGGACGGCAACACCTAGAAAATCGGGTTTAAAGGTCCAGTGAAGCCAGAAAAAGGCTATGGATTCGAGAAATACATGCCGTAATCGGATCCAAAATAGAATTTCTGGCTTAAACGGCCCTTTAAAACAGTTTAAAGGACCATTGAAGGCAAAAATCGCCTCCCAATCATTTACGCCATAAAATCCCTCACAATCGTGGAAATCCTTGGCCTTGGCGAAGGCGGAGCGCATCGACTCCTTCTCGATCGTCAGCGGCCCGCCGGTATACAACTTCAGCGAGGAGGTCGAGGCGGTGAAACTGAAAAACAATCGATTAGAGCAGGCTAGCAGGGATTATTGAGGAAAATAGAGGCGCAAAAACCGACTATCTGCCCTCGTTGAGGAAGCCGCGGACGGGGAGTTCGGAGGGGAGGAGGGGACGATTCTTGGCGGCCGGCATGTTTTTGTAGATCTGAAAAATGGGGGCTTAGGCTTAGGCTTCGGCTTAGCTTAGGTTTGGGCTTAGGCTTAGGCCTGGGCTTGAGCTTAGGCTTAGGCTTCGGCTTAGGCTGAGCTTAGACTTGGCTTAGGCTTAGGCCTAGGCTGAGCTTAGACTTGGCTAGGCTTAGGCTTAGGCTTAGGCTTAGGCTTCGGCTAGGCTGAGCTTAGACTTGGCTTAGGCTTAGGCCTAGGCTGAGCTTAGACTTGGCTTAGGCTTAGGCTTAGGCTTAGGCTTAGGCTTAGGCTTAGGCTTAGGCTTAGGCTGAGCTTAGGCTTGGCTTAGACTTAGGCTTAAGCTCGCTCTCACCTTCTGATTGACGACAACTGCCGGCACAGAAGCGCCCGTCTTCTTCGCGTCGCTGAAGACGAGCACGACGTCGCCAGGGTACTGTAATGGGCATATTTCATCGCGTAATCGATTTCTTTGCCGTGTCACACTCCCTTTAAAACGGATTTTTCAGGTGTTATCACCCCTTTAAAGCGTTTAAAGGACCGTTAAAGGCAAAATCGACCCCCAGGAAAATCGATTACGCCATGAAATTCCCGAAAACTCACGAATTTCGACTTTTCCCTCTTCGTCGGCTCCTCCTCCTTGCCGCGCTGCCTCTCCGCCGCTTTCTCCTTGGTGGGGGTGCGTGACGTGTCGCTGCGCGTCGACTTTTCCCGCAGTCGCTCGGGCCTGAAAATTGAGGTGTAACTCCGCCTTTAAAAACGAGAATTCCTCAAAAATCTCTGCTAGTTGCCTTCTTCCAATTCCCCAAGAAGCCTGCCAGTTACCCACTTTTCCTCCTCCTCTTCAGACGTTTCCCTGTCGCTGTCACTGCCCGATTCGCTGCCGTCCTCGTCTTCCGAAGACACGCCCACATTTGACGTCTTCTCCGCCTCCTTGACCGCTTCTTTCGCCTTTCTGGCTAGCAGTTTTTCTGAAAAAAAACGGATTTTGAATCGATTGCGACATGTTTTTTGGTCGCGCGTTCGACCCCCGCCCGCGGCAGCCGCGTCGAAAGTTTTGCTTTTTGCCCCAAAAACCTCAGAAACATCTAGATGGCAACCAAGAAGTCAATTGGCGCTTTAAAAATTTAATTTTCAATCGATAACGTCATAAAAAATGACCTCGGGTTCGACCCCCAGCCGCGGTAAACTTGTTGCTTTTTGGAATTTGGGCCATTTCCGACCGGCTGGACATGAAAAACGTACTCTTGAGCAGCCACTTCCGCCTGTCCTCCTCCTCGGCCTTCTTCTCCGTCTTTGCCGGCGTTTTTCCTAAAAATTCGAATTTTTTCATGCCCAAAAGTTTTTTCTAACTAAAGTCAAAGCCACACGAATAGCCGAGAAATGAGGGGGTGAAGCTGATTATAATGGCGTTTTTAAAGGAACAGAGAAAATTTGGGGAAACTTCCACCTAGCTCAGTCGGTTAGTGAGTTGCGGATCAGGCTGAGGGTCCGGGTTCGGTTCCTTCCGATGCCAAAATTTTGCTTTTTGGACTTTAACGTTTTCTAGTGATTTTCTGGGGTCCAGAAAGCTTTTTGCCCCGAAAATGTCGAAAAAGTGGCGCAATCGGTTAGCGCTAGGGTATCAGGCTTGCGACCCAGGTTCGAATCCTCACGACGTCGAACTTTTTGCTTTTTAGATTTTAACGTTTTCTAGTGATTTTCTGAGATACGAACAGCCTTTCTATCAACTGATAGTCCCGAAAAAAGTAGCGCAATTGGTTAGCGTCCAGCTATCAAGCGGAGGGTCCGGGTTCGATTCCTGACAGAGCCAAATTTTTTGCTTTTTGGGTCTCTATCAGCCTCCTAGACTTCTCTGTTCCTTTAAAAGCTCAAAACTAAAGCCTGTGAGGGTGGAGGATACAGACTACAGACTACACCAAGTGACACCACCCGAAAAAAGTGAGAGAAACGAAAGCAAGGAAACTGGCCTCTGGTGGCCATTCGGGAACCTGGAAGTGACAAAAATACTTTAGAAAAGAGGTTTTTCATGCCGTAATCGATTAGCGAGACCTTCACGACCCCTTTAAACCGATTACGCCATGAAAATGGACGCACCCCGGCTGGAGGAGGGCTTCTCGTCGTCGCTATAGTTGCCCGAGTGGTCGTGCCGCGGGTGCTCCTTGCGCGGCGTGTTCGCCACGCTGCGCGCCTCGCGCTCGCGCCGGCTGAAAAAAAGGGGGATTAGGACACAGAGGTTTCGGCAAAGAATTTCTGCTAGATAGCCTGAAATCTGAGATCTAGGCGTCATACTTTCTTTAAAATGCCTCAAAAACCTCTGCTGCCAGGTGTCACGCCGCCTTTAAAACGGTGAATTCCCCAAGGATCTCTGCTAGTTGTCGACCCCGGAAACTCCCCAAAAATCTCTGCTAGTCTGTCCCAAAATAACGAAAATCCTGGTGTCACGCTCCCTTTAAAATGGCTGAAAAATCTCCGCTATCTGCTAGATGTCACCTCTCCTTAAAAGACCGAAATTCCTCAAGAATCTATGCTAGCTTCCTTCAGAATACTGAAAATTAAGTGTCACTCCCCCTTAAAACGTAATTCCTCAAAAATGCCATGCCTGCCTCAAAAACTGAAAATCTTTGTGTCCCTATCCCTTTAAAAGTCCCCAAAAACCTCCGCTAGCTGCTAGTTGTCCCCCACCCTTTAAAAGCCTCACTTTTCCAGCTTGTTCTTCTTGATAATCTTCGCCACAACAGGACTGGAGAACTGTTCGGGGTTGTAGAGGGGAAGTGCGTCCAGCGAGTGCTCTTCATTGTAGTGCTTCGCTCCCTTCAGCACCATCTGCGTCCGCTTCAGCCGCTTCTCGTCGCCGTCATCGAAAACTGCAAAAAAATCCGATTGCAAACCGATTACGCCATGAAAGTGGGTCGAGTGGTTAGCGCCTTAGGCTGTCAATCGGGCGGTCCGGGTTCGACCCCCGGCCGCGGCACATGGGTTAAGCTTTTGCTTTTTGCTTCCAAAGCTCGGAAACAGCTATCTGGCTTCTAGAAAACCAATTTCCTGTTTAAAAATTAAATTCCCAATCAATTACGCCATGAAAATGGGTCGCGGGTTCGACCCCCCGCCGCGGCCGAGGTGTTAAACGTTTTGCTTTTTGCTTCAAAAGCTCAGAATACGCTATCTGGCATCTAGTAAAGCGATTTCCTGTTTAAAAATTAAATTTCAATCCGATTCCGGTCTGTAATTAGTGCAGAAAAGTACTGACCAACATCGTAGGTGCTGTAGTCTTTGATGTTCAAGATCTGCCCTCGTACCACCTTGCCGCCGTGTTGCACCTAAAAATAATTCTGTTTTTTTTTGAAGGGAACTAACTCTAAACCTTTTAAAATAAATTTCTACAAATCCAAAAATCCAATTTTCAACTTTAACTTTTTTGCAGTACCTCGACAAGCTGATTCAATTCGTAGACGGCATCCCCGCGCAAATGGCTCTCGTCCATGGTGTGCGTGCCGCCCGGGTGCTCTTTTAGCAGCACCTGAAACATGGCTCAATCGGTTAGTGAATAGGGCATCAGCCGGGGGTCCGGGTTCGAATCCCGCCCGCGCCAATTTTTTGCTTTTCGGAACTGAAGTTTTCGCGGATTTTCAGACCTCTAGAAAGCCCAAAACTCGACCAAAAACGGCAAAAAATGGCTCAATCGGTTAGAGTTCGATTTCAGGCGAGTCACCCGGGTTCGATTCCGGCCCACGCCAAAATGTTTGCTTTTTGAATTTTAACTCGTTTTCTGGCTTTTCTGAGGTCCTGAAGATCCCAAAACCGATCAAAAATTTCGAAACGTGGCGTAATCGGGAGGAAATTTCGCCATGAATCTGACTACCCGAGTTCGAATCCTACCGACGTCAAAATTTGTTGCTTTTTGAATTTTAACTTGTTTTCCAGAATTTTCCCGTCCAATTAGCATAAACCCACCTTGAACTTGATGGTCTTGAAGACCTTCTTGACGCGGGCCTCGCAGAAGGCGCCCTTGAACTTGGCCGACACCTCGGTGCCCACCTTCAGGAATGGCGGGTCGTCAGACTACAAAGTATACCGGTTGTAATTTGTAGTCTAAATTCACTCACCGCCATTTTGCTGCTTCAAAATCGATAAAAGGCCGACGAAAACTCGAGAAATCCCGGCGTTGATCGCTCTAAAAAATGGAGATTTCGCCTAGACCACAAGATACAACGCTCTACATCGAAATTCAGGTCCACTAATATCTAGAAAACGCAAAAACGACAATAAAAAGAGCAACCAACTTCCGATACTTGAAGAGCGCGAAAAAAACGCTACGAAATGCTGTAAAAGCATAAAAATTCAGATTTTCCAGCATTTTTAGAAGCGAGTCTAGAAATTATTAGAAAACGTATTAACACCGTTAATACTAGCTAAAAACTATAGACGCGACAATGTGATATATTTTATCTTATAGAGCGCGAAAAACGCTACAAAATGATGTAAAAATCATTGAAAAAATAAGGCTCCTACGATTTTCTACAAATTTTAGAAGCTAAGTCTGGGGAATCGAATTAGCATAGTTTTAATGCTGGAAAATCATATAAAAATAACTATTAAAGAAGAAAAAGCTTCCGGCGTTACGTTATATTTTTGGCGGCTTGGCCCCTTGCCCCGGGCCGTCGAAATGGGTGAGGTGAGGCAACGCGACGATACTATCTACACGGGGGAGGGCGAGAGAGCGGGGCGAGAGTGGAGGGCGCAGAGAACGGGCCGCGGCCCTTTGAATCCTGAGGTGATACGGAAGTGGTTTTTGGCTTATAAGTTCCGGTAGAAACGTCAAAACGTGACGATTTTTACACCAATAGAACGCCCTTGATCAGGCGAACAAGATGAAGCCGTTTAAAAGTTAAACTTTCGTATTCTCGAAATTTTTTCAAGTTTTTTCCTGCTCAAAAATTGGATTTTTTGCGTAGAATTTTTTTTAAGAAAATAGGGTTTTTTTCTTAAATTAAAAAATAAAATTTTTAAAATTTAAAACAAAAAAATATAAATATAAAAAAATCAACAAAAAAAAAATGCTGTTCTTAAGAATTTCTCGCGTTTTCTAGCGCTCTCTCCCCACTTAAAAAAACCCGAAAAAACGCATAAACGCATAAATTTATTAACATTTCCCGATCAACGAACACGCGAGGCACACAAAAAAGGCAGAAAAAGAGAAAGCAGACATTTTTTCGATTTTCAAGTAGAGGAAAAAACCGGAAAAACGGGACCCGATCGAGGAGGACGAGAGGAGAATCGGGGGGAGGGGGAGGAGACATGCTCACGAATCGATTACGACATTAAAATCGGCCGAAAGGGGGTGGCGGAATCGATTACGACACCAAAAATTACGGGGGAATCGATTACGGCATTAAAAATCGCTCGTTTTCGAGGGGTGGGGGTGAGAGAGCACTTAAAGGGGGAGGGACTGGAGAGATATAGAGGGATATATTATAGGGATAATTATAGAAAATGGGGGGAATTTAATAGCGCGGGTTCCAGACGTAGCTATGCTGAATGGGGGCACACGAACCACCAAAAGACATCGCAGAGTGGCCGCCGCCCATCGCCGAGAAATTGGGGAACGGCGAGGAGGGGTGAGAAGCCGATGAGGAGGAGGAGCCCGGGTGAACGAGCTCGTGATGATGGTGCTGACGGTGCTCGCGGCGCATACGCTGCAGCCTGGAAATGAAATTCATAGCGAGAGGGCAGAGAGAGAAAGCGAAAATAATCCACTTTTTTTGTAAATTTTCGACCCGGAAAATCGTGGCCAAGTGGTCAGTTAGGCTAGCGAGAAAAAGCGAAAGAGAGAGAGAGAAGAGAAAACAAAAAGAGCCTCAAATCATAAAAAAAACCAAATTTCGAAAAAATTCGGCGTGGCCAAGTGGCTAGTGGCCTCGCCTGCCAATTTGGTGACCCGGGTTCGACTCCCGGTCGCGGCGAATTTTTTGCGTTTTGCTCAAAGCGCTCAGAATCGAACTTCTGAAGGCCAGGAACCCAACAACAACCTCAAAGGCTGCATTTTTAACAGATGTTCTCAGGGTCTCGGGTTCGACTCCCGGCCGCGGCAGAATTTTTTGCTTTTTGCTCATCTGGCGGCTAGGAGCGGGGTGAGGCGGGGAGAGAGAGGGAGGGAGAGAGAGGGAGAGATACCATCAAAACGTACCGCTGGCTATTGCTGTGGTGGAGATGGTCATCGGCGCCGAGCAGTTGTTGGGCGTCGCCTTCGTGGAGGACGCTGGGGGCAATGTAGGTGAAGCCGGCGAACGGGTTCGCGACGCCCTCCTGCAGGAACGTGGCCAGCGAGTGCTCGCACGGGGTGTCAACCTGAAAAACATAAATAAAAATTCGAAAAATCCACAGATTTGCTGCCTTGAATGGTCCTTTATAGGGACGCGACACGGAAAGTCAGAATCTATAGATTTTTTAGTGGAAAAATCCATATCCCTGCCTTCAATGGTCCTATAAACAAAAACCCGCTCACCGCCGGCATGCTGGTGAACTGGGTGTCAAAGTTGGAGACGTCCTCGGCATGGGTGAGGTTCGGCACGAACGGCGGCTTGCTCTAAAGATACCGGGAAGTCAAGAGGAACCGGAAGTTGATGCTCACCTCCCTGGAAGCCACCTGGACCCAGTTGACGTTGGCCACGAAGAACGGGTGAGCCTTCAGGTCGTCGATACCGTTCGGGCCGGCGCCTGAAAAATACAAGGCGTCAGCGATCAGTTCAGGGGTTCAGTTCAGCTAAAGTTAAAAGTCCAAGTAAAGCTCAAAAAAAATAAAAATTCGGACGTCATCGAGCAGTTCAGCGTGTGATCGTGATTTACGTGTTTTTTGAGGCGCAACGAGACCGCACGCGCAGAAAATCCCTTCTAAAGGACCGCCAAAATCAGAAACCCTTTTAAACGCCAAAAAATTAAAATTGCCGACGTCAGCGAGCAGTCGCAAAGGCGCAAAACGTACCTATGCGGGATTCCGGGTTGCGCTTCAGGAGATGGCGGAGCAGATCACGGGCGTCCGAGCCCAGGTAGGCGGGCAGCGTGATGCGGCTCTGGAAAAAAAGAGTGTAAACAAGAATCGCTAAATACCTTGAGAATCTTGTCGATGGTCTTCTTGCGGTTCTCGGCGATGAATGGAGGGGATCCGGTCAACATGTCGAACATCAACGTGCCGAGGCTCCACCAATCGACGGCCTGGTTGTGGCCCTGGCGCGTCAGGATCTCCGGGGCCATGTATTCTGCAAAAAAATAGCGATTAAAAAAATCCATCGATAATCGATCTAAATTTAAAATTCCAAAATTAACAACATTTTCTGCAAATGGGATTTTTTAATTTCGATTTTCTGAATGGTCGACATTTTTAAATTTCGAAGGGAAATTTAAAATTCGAAATTTTTCAATTTTGGCAAAACTAAGTTTGATTTTCAAAATCCGGACATTTTCAATTTTATGATTCACGAATTTTTTAATTTCGGGTTATTTCGATTTCGATATCTTGCCATTTTTCGACGTTTTGATCGATACAAACGAATTAAAATTAGTCCTAGTAATTAGTACAAATCTGCAAAAATTGATAAAAACCCGCTGAAAATGTACCAATGGTTCCGCAGAAGGTGTGCGTCTTGATGTCGCCCTCAATGGCCTCCTTGCTCAGCCCGAAATCCGTCAGCTTGATGTGACCTGGAAAAAGAAAGTAGAAAACGCCGGAAATACGTGGCGTAATCGGTTACGCCCGATTTTCATCGCGTAACGGATCTGCGAAATAACTCAATTTCATGGCGTAATCGATTGCCTCGAGCCGAATATCACGACGCAATCGGTTATCCGAAATTTCCGGAAATTACTCCTTATTTCAGATCACGAATTTCATAGCGTAATGGATCAGCGCAACAAACTAAAAACGGCCAGAATTATGTGGCGTAATCAGTTGCCTTCAATTTTCATAGCGTAACGAATCAGGGGAAAAAACGCCAAATTCCCTGTCGTAACCAAATAATCCCTCACCAGCCGAGTCGAGGATGATGTTCTCCGGCTTCAGATCGCGGTAGATGATGCCGTTGCGGTGGAGGTGCTCGAGGGCCAGCGTGATCTCGGCCAGGTAGAAGGCCGCCGTCCGCTCGGGGAAGATGCCTAAAAAAACACCCGCATTTTTCGAACCCGGAAATCGTCGCTTACCCTCCTTCTCGAGACAGGCGAACAGCTCGCCGCCGCTGAGGTACTCGAGCACCAGATACAGTTTGCCCTCCGTCTGGAAGGCGTAGTGGAGGCTGCAGATGAACGGATTGCGCACCGCCTCCAGGATGTGACGCTCAGACTGAAAAAATCGATTAAAAAAGCGGAGTTAGGGTAGAATTTTTCGGCGATTCTGAATCTGGCTTCAGAATTTTGCAGGAAACGGCTATGACAAAGTTAGAAGTGAACTGCGATGAAAAATTAGGAAACAAATCAAATTCAGCAAATTTGGCGCCAAAAAAGTCAAAAGACGCCAAAAAAATTTTTGGAAGTGAAATTCAGCAAATTCTGAGGTCGATCAAGCACAGAATTTCTCAGCGATTCCGAATCTGGCGTCAGAATGCTTTAAATTCCTGTATTTACATCGTTACGACAAGAAACGGCACGAAAAATTAGGTTAAAAAATCAAAATACGTCATAAACTTTAAAAAAGTTCTTATTTTGAAGGCAATTTTGTGTAAAATTTCACGCCGATTCTGAATTTCGCTTCAAAATGCTCTAAATTACTGTATTTACAAAGTTGCAACAAAAATACGGCCAAAAATCCCAAAAAACGTTTTAAACTTTTCAAAACACAGTTTTTCATGAATTTTGAAGCCAGATCCAAAATCCCTGAAAATTTCTCGACAATCGGATGGATACCTTAACATGAGCGGTGTCCTTCTGGTTCTGCACAAGCGTCGCCTTCTTCAGCACCTTCATCGCGTACAGCGTGCCCTCGTCCGGCCCGGACGTCTTCCGAACTTGGAAAACCTAAAACATGAATAGATTTTCTCGAAAAAAGAATATTCCCTTACCTTGGCAAAGCCGCCCTTTCCGAGCAGGCTGAGCAGCTCAAAGTCGCCCTTGCCCACCTTCACGCCGGCCGGGTTGATGGCGGCGGCGACGGCGCCGAGGTCGGTGGCCTCCATGTCCGGCTCGAACATGTAGTCGGTGGGCGGGGGCGGGGACGAGATTTCGCCCTGAAAATGGGGAAAATTAGACAGGAAACACCGTAAATACAAAAAAAAACGCTGATTTCTGGCCTAAAAACTCTCAAAAAAGCAAAAAAATACTTTTTAAAAGGATTTTTTTATCCATTTAAAAGCCTAGTTACATTCGTTCGTCATGAAAAAGGAGTTGAAAAAAACAAATAGGCCAATTTTGAGCTTTAGGCCTGAAGAAGCTTTGAACTAAACGCTGAAAAGCTCAAAAAACCTAAATTCACCTAAAACCAAGCCAACGAGCTCGGGAAAAGCCAATTTCGCGAACGCAAAACCTCGAACTATAAGTTTAAAACCATTACGTACATCAGGCACGCGCTGGTAGGTGGCCAAATCGTCGTCATCATCGGCAGCACACGCGGCGTCGACCATCGGCCTGCCCCATCCGTCGACGTCTCGGCCATACGGATGCACGTGGCCGTCCAGATCCATTGGGAACAGGTGCGTCATCTGAAAAAAGAACTTCGTAAAATGCGTTTAGCAAAGAAAAGAACGCGAAAATTGGCTTGGAAAAGCGAAAAATCGAGTTTGAAGTTTGGAAAACGCGTTTAGAAACGCATAAAACGGGAAAAATTGTTTAGAGAAGCGACAAATCTAGGTAAAAAGGCGAAAAACTGTTCTCTGGCATATAAAAATTAATTTTTAAGTTCCCCGACTTCATAAACGATCGTTCTCCATAGTTTTTGGCATTTAGAATGGGAAAACACAAAACACAAACGTTTTTTTGAACGTTTATAACTTTTAAAAACGGCTCAAAAAAAGCAAAAACGGCTCTTTCACATCTAGAAATGGATTTCAAAGCTTTTAAAAGCAGAAAACTAGCCTTTTCCATAGTTTTTGGCATTTAGAATGAGAAAATAAGAAAGGCAAAGGTTTTTTGAAAGTTTTTAGGCTTTAAAATGACCAAAATCGGCCAAAACATGCCAAACGTTCGAGATGAAACAAAAATGACCTATATTTTCGTGTAAAAAGCACAAAACAAGCATAACTTTGCTAAAAAAGCGAAAGCTTGCAAAATTGGGTATGTGAAATGCAAAGATCAGGCGGAGAAGCGCGCGGTGAAAACAAAAAGGAGAGGAATAAAAACAAAACAAAACGCGCGTGCGCACGATTTTTCATAAAATGTGACTTTTATAGAAAACACATGACGAGGGGATATTTCTTGATCAAAAGATCTAAATTAGCATGTTTAGCGGTTAGAAAACAAAAGATGAAGTAAAAAAGAGGTTAGGGATTGAAAATTTTCACTTTTGAGAGGGAAAGCTGAACATTTTCAAAACCTCATAAAACCAACGTTTTCAGTGTTTTTGAAGTATTTTTTAAATTTCTACGTAAATGAATAAAAGTAAAGAGGAAATCCATGTTATTTTAGCATTTTTAAGCGGCTTTCAATAGTTGTAATACCCAGGTACTCGAAAAAAGAAGTGAAAAAGCCAGATCGAATGTGATAAACGCATGAATGGAGTATATTTTAGGGCGCATCTGCCGGGTTATTGATTTTTTTAGCATTAACGCAACAAAAATCATTTAAAAAACGTTAGGGGCCGTTTAAAAACTTCTATTTAGCGATGCGAAACGATGGAGAATAAACTTTAGAGAAAAAATGCTTTAGAAAATGCATTGGATCGTCGGAAAGAAAGGGAAAACTATTTGATTAACATTTTTGGCATTTTTAAGTGATTTTTAATAAATCTAAAAACTGAAAACTTCGAAAAAAGAGGCGAATAAGAATAAGAAGAAGCCCCCGCGATGAAACATCGCAAAAGCCATATGACCGGCGGCAGACATTCGCTCTTTTTTGCAGAAACCACCCACCCACACATCGATTATCGGAAGGAGATCGCCGGAGTGGCCAAAGTGTACGCGCTTCTCCTCTTCTTCTTCTTCGTCTCGACCTCGCCGCGGCAGCCCATTGACGACAACAAAATCCAGGGCACATTTCAATGGTGGGAAGAAGCTGATGGTCATGACGCGCGGCATAAAACTGCATGAAGCTGCAGAAAAAACGGAAATGGCACTGAAAACAAGGTTTTTAACGATCCAGACTTTTTGGGAAATACATTGCCTAATGGGTTGAATCGTAATTTCGACTTTTTACGTCGTTTCTAGTCCATTTTCAGCGTTTTGGACCTACAGTAACCCCTGTCAAATCTTTGGATCCATCTGGCCGTGTTCCATCTCCCCCCAAATATTGCGATGGACTGGATAGATACCCCGAGGCGACACCGATTCGGCTGTCAATATGCGCCCAGGGCATTTAGGGTGCAATTTCTAGCCGTTCATTTGCTATTCTGCCACCCTGGCTGTCAGGTGAGTCGAAAATTTAAGCAGGGCAAGCTAGCAGAGATCATTTATACTTTGAAATCGAGGATTTTGACTTCTATCGCTCAGTTTTAACGCGGAAATCTAAGAATCTTTGGGGAAAATTTACTTTTATGGTCCCCGTCCGAAAAGTGCTTTTTCGTGTCGGAATCGATAGAGAACTGTTCGAAATGTGGTTTACAGTCGAAAAAAAAGGTCGGAAAGATGTTTTTAATAGGAAATAAGCAGTTTTTTACGAAAATTTGAGGACCATAAAATGGGGTACGGGGGACTGAAGTTTATGGTCCTCGGCCGAAAATCAATTTTTCTTGTCGGAAACTATCCAGAAATGTTCAAAATATCGTTTGCAGTTCAAAAAAATCGTCGGAAAGAAGTTTTTTTTGGGAGAAAATCAGTTTTTTCACGAAAATTTGAGGACCATAAAGGGGGGTACGGGGGACTGAAGTTTATGGTCCTCACCTGAAAAACGTTTTTTTTTTACTAACTCAATAGATTATCGTTGGAAATGCATAGTAAATCGAAAAAAGTGCCGGAAAGATTCTTGGTCCCCTCAGGCTTCTGAACAGCGTGCGGTACGTAGCATTGTCAGGCAAGGCGGGCCGTCGCTTCGGATGGGCTGCCGCTCCACTCTTCCGAAGCGACTAGGCCCCGGGTGGCACGAAGCCTTATTTTTAGGCTAAAATTGGGCTGAATGAATTTTTGTAACAAAATATTTTTTGAAGCTAATAAAGGTCTTTCCGACGATTTTTTTGAACTGCAAACGATATTTTGAACATTTCTGGATAGTTTCCGACAAGAAAAATTGATTTTCGGCCGAGGACCATAAACTTCAGTCCCCCGTACCCCATTTTATGGTCCTCAAATTTTCGTAAAAAACTGCTTATTTCCTATTAAAAACATCTTTCCGACCCTTTTTTTCGACTGTAAACCACATTTCGAACAGTTCTCTAACGATTCCGACACGAAAAACCACTTTTCGGACGGGGACCATAAAAGTAAATCAAGCCAATCTTTGCTAGTTGCCACGTTTTTCACACAGAATTGTCTAAAATAAAGCCCAATTGATCAATTGAGCACAAAATTTTGGACAAGGCAGGCTAGCAGAGACCATTTGTCCTTTGAAATCGAGAATTTTGGCATCTTCCAGATTTTTTGGTGGAAAAGTCTCAAAATCTCTGCTAGCCTGCCCGGCTCTCATCGTTTTTTCTCGTAGCCTGACCGCCAATAAACACTCTCTGCTAGCCTGCCCTCCTCCAGGATGTCGTCCATCATCCGGCTGAACGTGTGTGCCGTGGTCGGGTCGATGGCGTGCATCTCGCTGTGCGTGCTCCTCTTTGCCGCCGTCTTCGAGGAGTGCCAGCAGCTCGAGCAGCTGCTCAATCACGAGATGTTGCTCTTACAGGTCTGGATTCATGGAACTGAGTTTTTCGGGCAAAAAGCACAAAGTTTGGCGCGGCCCGGGCTCGAACCCGCGACCCTAAAAACATGGCGTAATCGATTCTAAATTTCATTTTTTGACGTCATCTTGCTCGTTGTCTGTCCGATTATAAATTCTGAAATCCTGGAGCAAAATCTCAAACTACAAACTTCAGAAAGACGAGGTTCACGTGGTGTCGATGATGGCCGAGATTCAAAAAGACATTGGCGTCCAACAACTCAGAAAACCCAGACAGGTACTCTTTAACAACGAGCAGAGAGCATTTGGGAACTATTTCTTTACTTCAATTCCTCAAAGATTCTCTGCTAGATTGCCCGCTCCTTCTTCCAAGGCTACCACGGCTACCCGGCCAAGCGGATCGCTTTTGGCGCGAAAACGGTGGGTTCTACAGCGCTTTTCATGTCGTAATCAGTAAATCGGACGCCAGTTAACGTGAAAAAGATACTATGTAACTTAAATTATGCCTTTAGAAAGAAGATGATGCTCAAAATCCGGAAAAACTTGGCGAAACGACGAATGAAGAGTACCAGGATGAGGCGGGTTTTTAGAGCTTTGCAGAGGCTTTTTTAATGTTTTTAAACTAATTTTCTGGCTTTATAAATGCTAAATAATCTAAATATACCGTAATCCGGGCGAAAAATTGCGTTTTTGAGCTTTTCTGGCAGTGCCCCCTCTGTGCCCCCGAAACACGCGCCACCTGGCCCACCCCCGGGGAGGGGGGTATATAAGAGACCACGTCCCTCCCAGGCAGACTGGAAATGATGACTCGAACGTGTTGTGGGAATCTCGATGAAATCCCGTGATTCGAAAGCTCGTAATATAAACGACTGATCTCTTTTTGCAATTTTTTAGGGGGCAGGCTAGCAGGGATTATTGAGGAATTTCGATCAAAAAATACTTTTTTAGGGCTACAACAATTTCGAGGAAGATCGCGTTGTCGAGGGAGCCGACTACGAAGAGCCCGGGGTAACTTTTAAAGGGCCTATGAAGGCAAAATCGTCTCAGGCTGCCCCTCCATCCTTTGGACCCCCAAAAACCATCGTATCTTCTTCCGAAACCACCGTACCCCCCTCCACCACCACCGTATCCCCCACAACCCTCATGGCATCGGTGGCGTCGGCCGTGGAGCGTCTCGTAGCCCTCATCCCCGAACCGATTACGACGCCAAAACCGGTGATAGTACAACCGAATTTCCCGAGGTATCTTAGGCGCATTTTTCGCAAATAATCTCTGCTAGACCGCCCCCGGTGTCGAGCTACGAGTTCAACCCGATTGGGCCCACGAGGGGGCCGCTGCCCTCGAGGCGGCCATTCTTTTCGACCACGGTAGCCCCGCCGCCACAACCGAAGCAGTGCGGTGAGTACGGTGGCTTAGACTTGGGCTTAGGTTTAGGCTTAGGCTTGGGCTTCCGCTTGCCTTCAATGGCCCTTTAAAACCCAGTTTTCAGTCTTCAAAACGCCAGAAGAGTGCCCCAGAGGTCCTCCAGGTCCTCCTGGAGAACGAGGATCCGATGGATCGGCTGGAGAAGACGGAAAACCCGGCCCCGCCGGAAATGACGCCGAAGACTTGCAGTTGGAGGTAGCGTGCGAATTTAAGCTTTATGAAACCTATCTTGTCGCCTAAATCTTTTAACTGGATGCCTATTTAGCTCCAACAATTATTTTCAGCCTCCCCAGCACGCCGGCTGCACCACTTGCCCCCAGGGACCCCCCCGGCCCGCCTGGTGCTCTTGGAAAGAAGGGTAGGCCTTTTTGGAGTTTGTAGTTTGTAGTTTGTAGCTTGTAGCCTGGATAAAGCTCTAAGCTTTGCTACAGACTACAATTTCGACAAGCCTCGTCCCCCAAAATTACCCTAATTTCCAGGTGCGCGCGGGCTGCGGGGAGCGATGGGAACCCCGGGCGTCCCCGGCCGAAATGGAGCCCCAGGAATGCCAGGTTCGAGCTTTAGTGTTTCTGGGTGTCATCTGACCCTAAACCTACTCAAAACCCAAAAAGCAAAAAGTTTTCCGAGGCCGCGGGTCGAACTCGGACCCTGAGATTTTGACACTAGCTCGCTAACCACTTGACCAAGTCGGGCGGGAGGGGGTCAAAACTTGCGTAAGCGTTCTAGAATTTGATTTTTCAGATCTCAGTTTTCATTGTACTTGCCAGATACCCGATTCTGAGTGTTTGAGGCAAAAAGCAAAAAGCCAAACCTCCAGGCCGCGGCCGGGGGTCGAACCCGAGCCCGATTTTGATGCCGTAATCGGTTATTTTGCAGGCGTAACTGGTGGCGAGGGGCCAATGGGGCCAGACGGCGAGCAGGGACCGGAGGGGATGGCCGGCATTGACGGGACGGCCGGGGTGGGCCCCCGTGGGCCCCAAGGAATACAGGGAGCACCAGGGGACGCTGGAGAGCAGGGAGATGAGGGAAGAGAGGGGCCGATGGGTGGAAGAGGTGAGAAAACGACCTAGGAACGTAGTAGGCAATTTTTGGAGCTCAACATTCAAAAAGCAAAAAGTTATGACCCCGGCCGGGATCGAACCCTCGGGATCCGATTACGCCAGGAAATTCCGTTTCAGGCCGCCCGGGCGATCGAGGAGCTGATGGAGAAGCCGGGCAAGAGGGCGCCGAAGGACCAGCAGGAGATCGAGGAGAGGAGGGTGAACCGGGTAAGGCTACAGAATTACAGTCTACAGACTACAGACAAGGCTACAGACTACAAATTCTCACACAAAAGACTACAACGCTACAAAAATGCGCCCAATGGCTGAATTGGAGGCCAGATTAGCGAAATCTGGAAGGCTACAGGCTACAATTTCAAACGTCCGGGCTACAAACTACAAAAACGCCCTCCTAGGTGCCGACTCGGAATATTGCCCGTGCCCGCATCGCGTCTACTCCCGCGTCGAGCTGCTCCGATCGATTGTGTAGTCTGTAGTACAGAATTTGTACTTTGTAGTCTATATTTTGTAGCCTACGATACGGAATAAATATAATTTATTAAATACAGGGTTAGATGCAAATATTGTATCCACAGCCTGAGGGGCAGCACTTTGTCCCCTTCGTGCAGTGAGTGTCGTTTGAGCACCAGGACACCTAAAATGTGCTTTTTTGGTTTTTCCGGGTTTGCTAGCGCTCAATACCACCTATTAAAGGGACAGTGACACTCACCAGTCGTGCCGTCTTCGAGCAAACGATGCCGAGCTGCTCCTGGGTGGGGCACTGGTCGGGGCCCGGCTTGCAGCACAGGTTGTTCGAGACGTCACGGCACATCTTAATCCATATTTTATGCTTTCAATGGGCCTTTAAAAGCCGAAAAATTGGTTTAAAGGATTTGGCAAGGCAAGATTCAACGAAACCACGTCCCTTATTGCCTTCAACGGCCTTTAAAAGCCAAAAATTATTTTTAAAAGGCTTGGCAAGACAAAGCCCATAGCGTCCGGACCCATTTTTGCCTTCAATGGTCCTTTAAAAGCCACAAAAATAATTTTAAGGGGATTGGCAAGGCAAAGCCCATAGCGTGCGGACCAATTTTTGCCTTCAATGGTCCTTTAAGCCCTAATAATCCCTACTAGCCTGCCCCCTTTCTTACCATTCCTCCCTGAACGCATTGCGGATGTGGGCGGCAGCGGTCTTGGTAGAATTTCCGTTGGCAGGTGGGTGGCGGGGCTGGAAATGTTGTAGTTTGTAGTCGGCGCCTTTTGATGGCGTAATCGGATGGCCTAGCGTCTCCAAACTACAAATAAAGCCTAATTAGCTGACGGCTTGGCGCTTTTCAAAAGAAAAATCGAATTTTTAGCTAAAATAGCGCGTTTAGGTTTTCCTGGCGTAATCAATTCGGAAACAGGCCCTTTAATGGCGTAATCGGTTATCCCAAAGGCTCTAAACTACAAATTTGGCCTAATTGGTTGACGACTTGGCGATTTTCAAAAGAAAAAAAATTGAATTTGAGCAAAAATAACGATTTTACGATTTCATGGCGTAATCGATTAGGCCATGTATTTTTCTCGGGTTCCGCTGCATTCCTATCGACTCACGGGGTACTGTAGTGGTCGTCGGGGCCTCTGTGGGAGGCGAATACCCCTTCGCCTCGCATTCCGGGGTGTAGATGCCCAACAAGTGCAGATACTCGCACCGCTCCATCCGGTCTGGGGCGGCCCTAAAATTGTAGTTTCTAGCCTAGCGGGTTTTTCGGGTTGGAATCTGTAGTCTAGCTGCCAGTAAGACGAAAAATTGCCTTAACCCACCCATTGCTGTTCTTCCGGCTGCGCAGGATCACGAACTCGTCCCCGTTGGCCGCCTCCAGCTCGGAGGACGACTCTGCAATGGCTTCAATGGTCCTTTAAAATTGAGGTTCTATGTTTTTGGACAAATTGGACGATAGATAGATCAACGCAAAAAAAACTAGAGACTCAGATTGGCAATCCAAGCCGAGTTTGGGAGTCGAGGGTTCGATCCCGCCCGAGGTAAAAGTTTTTTGCTGTTTGCTAAAAACGCGATTTTTACGTGGATTTTTAGGGTAGCTACTGGAAGCTGAGTCACAACAAGCAAAAACGCAAAAAAAAGCTTTTAAAGGGACCAGGAAGCCAATAAATTCGGATCGAGGGTTCGATCCCTTCCGAGGTCAAAATTTTTTGCTTTTTGCCAAAAATCCAATTTTTTTGCGCGATTCGATAGTAGACCTACCAGTCGGCTGCCCGTCCCAGGGAAAAGCCTGGGTGGCCGTGAGGAACATCGGGAGGAGGCAGGAGACGAGCATGGCTTCCGGTACCCTGGTCCCAACAGGGCAGCTGCCATTTATACCGGCCACATTCAGATCCGGATGATGATGATGAGGGGGGAGGGCACTAAGGAGTGGACAAACAACTAGCGTCACACAGACAGAGAGACAGAGAAAGGGGGCAAACAAACAGACAGAGAGTGATACCAGGGGGGATCAGCCATTGTCCCGCACAAGGTGGGGGGGGGGGCAAAGATGCCGTTGCGGGACCCAAATCTGATTAGCGCTTAGGCTATCAGCTTGGCAGCATGCCAGATCAGACATTGGCAGCGAAAAAAAAGCAAAAAAAAAACCGGATTTTCCAGAAAATTTTGAAAAATTAGCTTTTGGGGCCATTACGACATGAAATTCGGGTCAAAATTTCTCAAAATTTGTAGTTTGTGGGCTTTGACGGGCTGGCAGCCGGCCATAAAAGCCAGTGACACAAAAAAAGCAATCGAAAAAAGGTAACATTTTTGACAAAAAATTAGATTTCCGAAGTTTTCGACATTCGATTACGCTAGGAAAATGGAAACCTCCATAATGGGCTAAAAATGGGATTTTAGTTAATGGCTCTACCAGTTGGCAGGTATAGGTGGAAAATAAAAACTGGTCGTCGCGAAAACCCCCCGTTAACAGTCCAGTACCGAAATTTCGAAATTTGCATCCCGAACCGGGATCCCGAGAGGACGGAAGAGAAAAATCTGCACAAAATCGCCACTTTCCCGCCCGGCTTCATCTCGTTCGGTAGTTTCTCCTCGTTTTAAAGGGACAGCGACACCTCTACAGTATGCCCTCCGAGAAGAAGGGCTCGTACCTGACGCTGAAGCGGATGCGCAACTCGTCGCAGACCCCCGGCGAGCCGTTGCCCGACTACCCGTCAGCGAAATGCCCGGAGGGATGCCCGCCGCCGGTCCGCGGCACCGTCACCCTCAAGGAGCGCAACAAGCGCTGGCGCCGCACGCGCAGGTGATTTTTATGGCGTAATCGAATCCCAAATCCCGAATTCCATGGCGTAACCAATTATCCCCTTGCTCAGGTTCTACGCCGAGCTGGCCCGCGGCCACCTGAAGCTGTGGAAAAACAAGAAGGAGAAGGAGGACAAGGACGCCGGGCTCACGTCGGCATGGTCGACAAAGATTGATATCGGCGCCGTGACGGTGGTGCCCGAGAAGAAGCAGCAACGCTTTGCCCTCCAATTCCCCAAGAATACACAGGTAAAGTAGAGGCTTGGTAGAGTTTTTCAAGCGCTTTCGAATGGTGTATAAAACATTACGCTAGGTAATTCCCGGAGAAAGTTATAGCTGTTTAAAGCCTCAACCCTGGACTACAAACTACAATCGACCACATCTTGAGATAGGAATGTCGGATTTTTATGTTTTATAGCTCGTTTTGTAGAGTTTTTCAAGGGCTTTCGAATGGTGTATCTTACGTGACGATAGCTAATTCATACAGAAAGTTCTGCGGGTTTAAAGGGATAGTGACAGCGATTTACCTATCGTAATCGATTGCAGATCCTGGCCCCGGTGGACGCGTCGACGTACGACGTGTGGCTGGAAGGACTGCGCCACCATCGCCTCTACAAACAGGCCGGAGGAGGAGGAGCGGCTGAAGGGTAGGTCTCTCTCTCTCTCTCTCTCTCTCTCTCTCTCTCTCTCTCTCTCTCCGTCACTTCCTGACTGGCAGATATCCGATTCTGAAAGTTTGAAGCAAAAAGCAAAAGATCTGCCGCGGCCGGGGGTCGAACCCGGGTCGTCAGATTGTCGGCAAACCTCTTATCCACTCGGCCATGAGTTCAGCCCCATTTTTCTCGTAAAACTGTGTCTAATTTCCTCCTCAGTACCAGCGGAGCCACCTCGCCGCCGCAGGACGCCTCCGGCGAGCTCGACGAGAATGACAACCCGTGGGTTTTGCCAAGAAGCCGCCGAATTTCAGAGCGTAATCGATTGGTCTCTAGGGTTTCCGGTGCCCTTAAAAGTGTAAAAACTTGATTTTTGGCCATAATGGCATACAGTCAGATCCGGAACATCGAAAAAACGGGGGTTTTTTGGTCCCACCCCAAATTCCGAATTTCATGGCGTAATCGATTGGCTTCTGGGTTCCGGGTGCCTTTAAAAGTGCAAAAATTTGTACTTTTCAGCGTAGCCGCCCACTCCCCGGATGACGGCTCGGCCCCTGCCAACGAGGAGAAGAAGATGTGCGAGGGGCTCGAGGCGACCGCCAAGGTGATGGACGACGCGAAGGAGCTGTTCGCCATGTCGTTGGAAGTGGCGTCGAGTCTCGTCGGGACCGCCGAACAGCTCAACAAGTTGCAGCGGCAGATGAAGGTCCGATTTTCATGCAAAAAAAGCAAAAAGCAAAAAAATTGTCGTGGGCGGGGGTTGAACCCGGACCGCCAGATTGATAGCCAACCTCGCTAACCACTTGACTCTGCCGTTTCAGGGCACCCTCGTCGAGATGAAGCGTGAGGTGATGGCGATCAAGGCGGGAGGGCGAGGGCTGCAGCTGACGCCCGAGTCGTCGATGCACACCGCTCGATTCAGTAAGCGGGAGAGAGCGAGAGAGAGAGAGAGAGAGAGAGAGAGAGAGAGAGAGAGAGAGAGAGCGAGAGAGAGAGAGAGAGAGAGAAAGAGAGAGAGAGAACGAGAGACAAAACCCTTTTCCAGAATCGGCCGAGGAGCTCGAGGCGTTCGAGGACGCGAAGGAGAAGCAGAGCGCCGTCGCCCTGGAGCAGGAGAAGAAGTGAGCCGACGTCTTCAAGCCGTTCACCCTCCCCCCTTTCCAGCGATCTGCTCGAGCGCTCGCGCAAAGTGTTGGAGGAGACGCAGCGCGTGGCCGAGCCCCCGTCCGATCAGATGAGCCAGACGTCCGGGGCCGTCGAGGAGGCCGTCACCGCCCCCATGCAGGTGGGCGAGCAGTTCAACAGGATTTCATAGCGTAACCTAATTTTTCAGCCGGTCGTTTTCTGCGCGCCGCGGCCGCGTCGCACCTGCCTGCCCGCGAAGATGATGGCCGCCGAGGGGCTCGGGATGGGCGGGCTGGCCAGGATGGCCCTCAGCAGGTACTTTTTTGCCTTCAGCGGACCTTTATAAGTTGAAAAATCCGTTTTAAAGGGACGTAGAAGGCAAAATCCATAGCCCGGGCGTCGTCTTGTGCCTTCAATAGGTCTTAAAAACCACTAAAGTAGTTTTAAAGGGACAAAGATGGCAAAATCCATAGCGGGACACGCGTTTCCGACTTAAATGGGCCTTTAAACCCCCCGCCGATAACAGAACAGTACCATCGTTTCCCCCTCCCAGGGCCGGCCTCCCCGTCTCCTTCTTCGAGCCGCTGTCGGCCATCCAGTTCCTATGCGAGGAGCTGCGCTACAATCAGCTGCTGGCCCAGGCCGTCTCCGCCCGGGATCCCGTCGATAGGATGGTACGGAATTTTGAGATTTTCATGGCGTAATTCATCCCAAAATTGCGAAAATTCCGGGAAACAGCCGATTACGGTAGGAAATCCGTTGCTTTCTGTAGGCGTTGGTGGCGGCGTTTGCCGTCTCGGGCTACTCGAACACGAAGGGACGCTCCCGGAAACCGCTGAACCCCATCCTCGGCGAGTCGTTCGACTACGTCGAGCCGACGTGGCGCTTCCATGGGGAACAGGTAAGCCGAAGCCTAAGCCAAGCCTAAGCTAAGCCTGTTCAGGTCTCCCACCATCCCCCGATCACGGCTGGCTTTGCCGAGGGCACGGGCTGGGTGTGGTGGCAGACGATGGACCCGGTCACCACCACCTCCAAGCTGTCCGGAACCATCGAGGTGGGCCGGAGTTTTGTAGAGCTTTTCAAGGGCTTTCGAATGGTGTAGGTCACGCTACGAAAGGTAATTCTTAGCCAAAGTTATGGCCATTTTAAGTTTGTGCCCCAGGCCACAAACTACAATCGATCGTATCTCGGGATACAAACATCAGATTTTCATGTTTTATAGCTCATTTTGTAGCGTTTTTAAAGAGCTTTCGAATGAGGTATATAACGTTACGATAGCTAATTCCTGGACAAAGTTATAGGGCCTAGTAGGTTCAATCGATTACGCCATGTAATTCACCCGTCTTCAGCTGACCCAAAGCCTGCCGATCCGCCTGAAACTGGCGACCGCCGACGGGATGGAGCAGTACGCCATCGAAAAGGTGCACACCACCATCGAGAAGCCAACGGACCCCGAGAAGAGGAAGGTACGCAGCAGAGAGCATTTGCGGAACGGAGGCCACGCCCCCTTTTCGTCTAGGTGAGCCACACGGGCAAGATGGTGATCACGTCGACGAACGGGTACTCGTGCGAGCTGCACTTTGTCGCGAATAGGGAGGTGAGCATGACTGAATCTCTCTCTTTCTCTCTTTCTCTCTCTCTCTCTCTCTCTCTCTCTCGCTCTCTCTCTCTATCGCTCTATTTGCTTCAATGGCGATTCTGAGCTTTTGGAGCAAAAAGCAAAAAGTTTGTAAGTCCCGGGAGTCGAACCCGGGTCATCAGATTGGTAGACAAGACCATGAATTTCGGGGCTGGCTTTTTGGCGAAAACTCGTGTTTTTTGCAGCTTCGCGGCGACATCTTCAAGGGCGAGGTGGTGGCCTGTCGGCTGGCCGGCCACTGGGACAAGCAGTTGACCAAGTAGGGTTTTTCTGTCTCTCTCTCTGTCTCTCTCTCTCACTCTCTCTCTCTCTCTTTCGCTCACTCTCTCACTCCAGGGTCGCCACCACCGGTGCGCAGTCGTCCCTCTTCCAGGCGGCCGACGAGGAGTTCGGCGAGTACTATGGCTTCAAGTAGGGGGAAAGGCTAGAAACTACAAACTACACCTTTTTACAGCTCGTTCACGATGACGCTGAACGAGCCGGTGACGCCGGCCGACTCGGCCCCGCCTACCGACTCCCGGCTGCGCCCCGACCAGCGGGCCCTCGAGAACGGCAATCCCGGGCAGGCGGCCAAGCTGAAGAAGAAGCTCGAGGAGGTCAGCCAGGGGGGAACTGATTACGACATGAAAATGGCCGATTTTCATGGTGTAATCGATTGAAAAATGCAGAATTTCCGGGCGTAACCGATTACGCCACGTATTTTTTTGCAGGCGCAGCGCGTCCGCGGCAAGTCGCACGCCTTCACGCCGCTGTGGTTCGACAACATGGGCGACGAGATGACGCAGAAGAGCATCTACATGCCCAATATGAAGTGGGTAGATGAAGTCGAAGCCACGCCCAAGCTACAGACTACAAACTACAAATTCTAGGTACTGGACCGAGAAGGAGCGCCACTTTGCCGGCGTCCACTTTCCCGACATTTTCACCGTCTGAGCCGCCCGGCCGGCTACAGGCTACACACTCCACTCCAATCGACCATTAACCCCCCCGACAATTCATCCCTGGAATTTGGCTCTCTCGCTCTCTATCTGTTCTCTCTCTCGCTCTCTGCGTGTCTCTCTCCCCCACTCTCTCGCCACTCGCTACTCGCTACCGCCTGTGATTAAGCCCCGCCCCTTTTTCTCTTTTTTTCTATCGCTAAAGTGAGAAAACGCTCAATATGTTTCCCGCGCCCCGGCAAATGGTCTCTGCTAGCCTGCCCCGCCCCTTCTCGGTGTACTCGAATAAATGACTTTGCGTTAGAGGAGTGGGCAACGAGCAGAGATTCTTGAGGAAACGGGCCGATACTGCCAGATGCAGTGTCGTAATCGGTTGCTGTCGGCGCGTTGGTGATTTCATGGCGTAATCGGTTGGAATTTAGTGGCGTAATCGATTGAACGCGAATTTCATCGCGTAATCGCTAAATCTGCAATTTCTGGGCGTAATTGGATGGGTGCGAATTTCGTGGCGTAATCGATAGCGCGTTTCAGCAAGAGGCCCAAAAGGATAGTGAGGGAGAGAGAGCGAGCGAGCGAGAGAGAAAGAGAGAGAGAGAGAGAGAGAGAGAGAGAGATGGATAGAGAGAGAGAGAGAGATGGATAGGAGAGAGAGAGAGAGAGAGAGAGAGAGATGGATAGAGAGAGAGATGGATAGAGAGAGAGAGAGAGAGAGATGGATAGAGAGAGAGAGAGAGAGAGATGGATAGAGAGAGAGAGAGAGAGAGAGAGAGAGAGAGAGAGAGATGGATAGAGAAAGAACGTGATAAGGATGATAACCCAAATTCCTAGACCTCCCTATCATGCTCGCCTTCCCGATCCGCGTTCATTAAATCATGAGGGTGGCTATCGGCTGGTGTCTCGTCTTCGCTGGGCTAATCGGTGCAGGTAGGCACAGGCTTGGCTTAGGCTTAAGCTTCCGCTTCAATATCTCTAGAAAACCTCGAGCTCGATCTCGCCAACATCCTCTCCCCCTTCGACCTCGACGCCGAGTTGGCGGCGTTCAGCAACGAGTGCCTGACCGATGACGACCTCGTGGGACTATGGGACCACAAGCTGAAGGCGTTCGCCGCGCGAGCGCTCGGTTCCTACCTACCCCTGGCCGCCGCCGAGACCATAGGTAAATTTTCGGTTTCCAGGTGTCACTGTCCCTTTAAAGTCATTTTAAGGGTTGGGTAGGATAGCAGATATCATTGGGGAAGCGATTTTTGCCTTCTGTGGTCCTTTAAAACCGAATTTCGAGCTGTTAACTTCCACTTAGGGTTTTTAAAGGGATGGTGACACCTAGAAAATCGTCTCTAAAGCTAGCAGAGACCATTGGTGAACGATTTTTGCCTTCCATGGTCCTTTAAAGCGGGTTTTCTAGCTGTTCCCGTCCATTTAGAACCTCTAAAGGGATGGCGACACCCATAAAATTGCGTTTAAAGGGCCACTAAGCCTGACGTACCCATCCTAAATGATCGCTGCTAGCTTGCCCCGGCCATTAAAGGGGTCTGTACACCAAATTTCAGGCCTCCAAGAGCTGCGCTCCGCGCTGAACATGAGCTCGATACCGCCGTGGACCTACTACAGGGATTACTATAATTATCAGGGCCAAGAGCTCGTGGAGAGGAACGCCCAAAGGGAAAGAGAACTCGCCGCCGCCAAGACGCTTGAGGAATACTTCGAGCTGAGAGATCCGAGTAGCCACAGGGTATCGCTGGATAGCACGTTTCTCGTCGAGACAAGCATGCCCCCGGCTGTCGCTTATATGGATACACGATTTCCGGTCATTCGGAGGATTTTTAGGTGGGTCTTTTTCGCTCGCTCTCTCTCACTTTCTCTCTCACTCCCTCTCCCTCTCTCTCTCTCCCCACGTCCCTCAAAAATCCTGCCTTCAATGGTCCTTTAAACCATTTTAAAGGCCGATTGGACTCGGGGCAGGCCAGCAGAGGCGCTTTGGGGAAAATTTCTGACTTCAATGGGCCTTTAAAATCAATTTTCTAACTGTTACCATCCCTTAAAAGCCTCTTAAAGGACAGTTGAAGTCAGGGTAACCTAGTAGAGATCTCTAGGGTCCTTTTCTGCCTTCAATGGCCCTTTAAGACTCGGCAAGCTGGTCGAGATGCTTTGGGAAAAATTTTCCGACTTCGACGGCCCAAAAATTCGATTTTTTACGTGTCACCATCCCTTTAAACCGTTTTAAAGGACCCCTGAAGGCAGGGCAAGCTAGCAAAGACCATCTACACGTAAATTTAGCCACCATTTAGGCACAAAATGGAAGAAGTTGTCCCTCCGGCCGGAACCCCCCTCGACCGCCCCACCATCGACCGCGCCATCACCGAATTTGAGGCCATCTCCCGGCGCGTGGACAAAGCAATCGATAAATTGGTGCTCTTCCCGACCCACAAATGCTACAACCAAATCCATGCTGAAGAAGCAGCCGCGGCCCGGAAACGAAAGATGGTCGAAAACTCGAAATTGATGAAATACTGATGAAAAATAAATACTTGACCACCAAAAATTAGTCTGTTAATGCGTTCAGGACCTGAATTTAAATCCCCCATTTATCATTTTGTTTTGTAGAGTTTTTCAAGGGCTTTCGAATGGTGTATGAAACGTTACGATAGCTAATTCTTGGAGAAAGTTATGACGGCTTGAAGTTGACCCCTCGGCTCGGTAAGCTAGCAGAGATTTTTTAGGAAAGGGGCGTGGCCTGGCCTAATTTTTTGACGCACTTTGCAGAACTTTTTTAGGGCTTTCGAATCGTGTCAAAATCATTACGATAGCTAATTCCTAGCCAAAGGTATGCGGGTTGACTCGCTAGAGGGGAGGCTCTTAGGCGTACAAGGCTTGTTAGGCTCTGGCTTTGGCTTAGGCTTAGGCTTAGGCTTAGGCTTAGGCTTAGGGTTAGGCTTAGGCTTAGGCTTAGGCTTAGGCTTAGGCTTAGGCTTAGGCTTAGGCTTAGGCTTAGGCTTAGGCTTAGGCTTAGGCTTAGGGTTAGGCTTAGGCTTAGGTTTCTCAAACGTTCTCCGCTGGTTTGCCCCAATTTTCCGTAGGGGTAGTGTGGCCTTCGATGCGTGTCAACATAGTAGTTGTATGGAATAGAGGGGGGGTCGAGTCATTCAATGCCCCCCCATACCTAGTCGTAACAAGTTGCGAGAGACGTGGGGGTCCGATTGTCCGCCAATATAAAGGGCATCGGGCAGAGAATGCCCCCCAGGGGGCATGAACCAGATAAATTTGGGTGTACCTGCCCAATTTTGGAGACGAATTTGGTTGCGTAATCGATTCTCAGAGACATTTTGACGTTTTTCATCACGTAATCGGTTCTAGAAGGCCGTTTTCCTGACGTAATCGCTTGGAATGTCCTATTTTGATAATGTAATCGATTTTCGAAACCCGATTTTCATGGTGTAATCAATTTGAAGTCTCGCTTTTCATAGCGTAATCGCTTCAAAAAGTTGATTTTCATAGCATAACCGATTGAAAAGCGCGATTTTCCTCGCGTAATAGCTTGGAATGCCCTATTTTGATAATGTAATCGATTTCCAAAACTTCCTTTTCGTGGCATAATCGATTGGAACTCCTGATTTTCATGGCGTAATCGATTGAAAGTCTTATTTTCGTAGCGTCATCGGTTCTAGAACCACATTTCATATCACGATTTTCAGCGTAATCGCTTTCTCCAGCTGTCACAGTCCCTTTAAAATTGGTATACAGATCAAATTTCATAGCGTAATCGATTCGGCTTGGATTTTCATCCTGTAATCGATGCCAGGGAGCCTTTTTCGCGATTTTCCGTGTTTTTCATTGCGTAATCTATTAACCTGAGCTGTCACGCTCCCTTAAAAGTCAATTCTCTAGTCCTTATGGCTCAAATTGGGCCCCCACCAAATAATTAGGGGCCCACTAGAGGGGGCGTGGCGGGGGGTTTTCCGGCCCGGCTTTTCGTGCCTTTTCAGGGTCTCTCCCCTTGGCTAGAATTGAATATAGCCCGAGGGGGCATTTTGAGGGAGGAAGGGGAGGGGAGCTGGGAAAAGACTTGTATACTAGAGGAGTCCGACTCCCTTGGGCCTATTCTAAGGAGTTTCTCTCTCTCTCTCCTTCTCTCTCCCTCCCTCTCTCTCTCTCTCTCTCTCTCTCTCTCTCTCTCTCTTCAAAAATCTGGGCCTTATGATTCCTGCCTCGGAAATTAGCTTCCGATTTCCTCAAGAAATTCTGCTAGCCTCCCCCTCACGGTTCCGACAAGCTAGCAGAGATTCTAGAGGAATTGTGAGTTTTTGGCTTCAATGGCCCTTTAAAGGCAATTTTCCAGGTGTCGCCATCTCTTTAAGAGGGCAGGTTAGCAGAGATTCTTCGCGGAATTGGAGCCAAGAAGTAGTATAGCCTTTAGCTATGCTTTTCGCCGTGTTCTCAGCCCCCCGCTTTTACCCCTAGGGAATGGCTTTTGCCTGGCCGCCCCTCATTGTTATGCCTTCTTACCCGCCCCCCAAAGGCTAAAAGGGCAAACGCCCGCAGAAATTCCCTTTCAACCGCCCGCCTAGCACTGAATTCCTCAAAGAATCTTTGCTAGCTTACCTAGCTTGGGCTTGGGCTTAAGCCTAGTTTTTTTAGGTCAAAACTTAGCTTAGGCTTAGGGTTGGTCCTAAGATTTCGTAAGCGAATACAAATACAAACGCTCCTTTGCCTTCATTGGTCCTTTAAAAACTTTTAAAGGGACAGCGACACCTATAAAATCGTTTTTAAAGGACCATTGAAGCCAAAAAACCCTCTGTTTCGTCCCTTCTTGCCCAATTCCTCAAAGAATCTCTGCTAGCCTGCCTTTTTTTCCAATCGATTACGCCATTTTTTTACCCCGTTTGGCCTCTTGCAGAGATGATTTGGGAATCGATTACGCCATTTTATCCGCTTCCTGGCTATCCATTTACGACATGTATTCCAAATTCAGATGCTGCTCCAGCTCGTGCTCCTCTTCGGTCTCCTAACGGCCGCCGAATCTCTGGATTGCTTCTCATGCGGCGTCTTTCTAACCGCCCCGAGCCAAGGTAATTTTCAGGCAGGCTAGCAGAGATTCTTTGAGGAATCCGGGCCTGCTAATGACTTCTTAAAGGATCTCAGCTAGCCTGCCCTTATCGCTATTTTTCCAGAATGTCGCGGAAGCCCTCTGAACGTCACCTGCCACCCTGATAACCTCGGCTGCGTCAAGATCACCGCCCCGAATACGGTAGGGCAAGCTAGCAGGGATTTTTTTGAGAAATTGGAGGGGCAGGCTAGCAGAAATTCTTTGAGGAAATTTAGCTAGATTTTGCCTTCAATGGTCCTTTAAAACCTGTTTTCAGGACGGAACCTTCTATGTGGAGAAGCGGTGCGCGGAAAAGGAGGACGACCTCGATGGGGGGTGCTCGAAGATCACGATCCGGGGGTGGGTTCTGGGTTTCGATAGCGAAATGGGTTCAGGGGCAGGCTAGCAGAGCATCTTGGGGAATTTCGGCTCGGTTTTTAATGGCGTAATCGATTTTTTTGGCGGCTGGCAGGCTAGCAGAGATAATTTGCGGAAATTCTCAAAACGTTTTCAGGTTAATCGGCGAGCAGTGCGTATGCCACGACGATCTCTGCAACGGCCAGGCTACTATAGCCCAGAATTTTCACCTAATTTTTGGATTTTTAACGTTTTTTAGCTGTTTTACCGCTTACGCCATGTAATGTTTCTGAAGAAAATTTCTACATTTTTTAGAGGAAATTCCATACTTTAAAAGATTATGCGGGTAAAAATGTATAAATAAGCCAAAAAAAATTGATAAATACTTTATTTGCAACAAATTTACATACACAACAAAAAAGCGAGACAGAGAGAGAGAGAGAGAGAGAGAGAGAGAGAGAGAGAGAGAGAGAGAGAGAGAGCGAGCGAGAGAGAGAACGGGGGGGAGAGGGGAGAGAGAGGAGAGGGGGGGAGAACTGAAAGCCCGATTTTGATAGAGTGGGAGCAGAAAAAAGACACAGTAGTAAGTAGTATCATTAGTACGAAGTACAACCCGGACGCCGATATAGTACATTTTTGGCCAATTTACAGAGTTTTTGAGCGAAAAATAGATCTTTTCGGGTTTTAAAGGGACAGTGACAGGGCATTTTCATGCCGTAATCGATTCCCGGCAAGCTAGCAGAGATTCTTTCGGGAATTCTCATGAGTTCGGGGTGAGCAGGGTTGAGCCCCTCGATGGAGCAGGAGCCGGATGGGGCAAATTCGGGTTGGCCGGGTGGAGCGGCGGCAGAATCGGGCCCTGGATGACGCCGATCGCGGCCGGAAGGGGTGGAGGAGGCCCGAGACCCTGGTTCGCCTGAAAATTGGGCCTTAAAGGGCTTATGAAGCCGAAAATCCAAAAAGCAAAAAGATAGCCGTGGCCGGGGGTCGAACCCGGACCCCGAGAATGACAACTAAACACGCTACCCACTTGACTAGGCTGAAAAACATCGCGTAACCGGTTAAACTAGGATCTTAAGCCGCCGTTCTCCTTTTTGGAAGTCAGCCAGCCATTTCTGAGCTTTTGGAGCAAAACGCAAAAAAATTGGCGCAGCCGGGAGTCGAACCCGGACCTGTTAATTCAGCTTAAAACCACAAAACCCAACCTGATCGGCAATATCAAAGTCCTCATCGTCGTACTCGATATCCGGGGCCATGAAATAGTTGAGGGGAGAGAGCCAGATGTCGTCGCGGATGATCTGGAATCGAGGGCAGGCTAGCGGAGATTCTTTGAGGAAACAGAGGCCAGATAGCACAGATTCTTGGCGGATATTACCTCGGCTACGTCATCAAATCGCGGATTCATATTGGTGAATAGCCATCCGCAAAAGGAGAGGCCGAACATGGGCTCCTCCTCGTTGTGCTCGTAGACGCCAATCTGAAAGGCTTGGCTTCGACTTGGCTTTGGCTTTGGCTTAAGTTTAGGCTTAGGCTTAGGCTTAGGCTTAGACTTAAGCTCGGCTTAGGCTTGGGCTTAGGCTTAGGCTTAGGCTTAGGCATAGGCTTAGGCATAGGCTCACTTTCTCCTGCAACCACAAAATCTCGGTCGTCGTGCAGTACGGCTCCGGCTCCGCTCGGGTCCAATAGTCCTTGATCACCTCCTGGTTTTCGATGAAGGGATTGGGGTAGAAGCGGAAGATCAGCTGGAAGCCGTCCCGCGGATCGCCCTTCCACTCGAGCTACAATAAATGGTATTTGCCAGCTTACCACGGCAATTCCGCAAAGAATCTCTGCTAGCTTGTCCTTTTCAATCGATTACGACATTTAATTCCGCGCTAACTAGCAGAGATTCTTTAGGAGCCTAAGAATCTTCCCACTTACCTCAATATTTTTCAAAAAGGACAAAAGCGGCTCCTCGTCCTCCTCGATCAACGAGCTGATTTGGGGATGGTTCATGATCTGAAAAATCCATAAATAGATTTTTTTATAGTTTTAATGATTTTTATAGTGTAATTGGATGCCAGTTAAGATATCCCTAAGCTTTAAAAAGATCGCTCACCACCGTAAACCAAAATTCGGGGATTTTGTCGACGACCTGGGCGCGGTCGGCAAAGTGCGGGGCCCTGCGGAGGCCGAATTTGTGCTCAATCTGCAAAATAAAAGTCTTTAATCCTATTTAAAGCTCTACTAAGTTATACTAGACCACAAACTACACCAAATTCCACCAAAAAAACTCTCACCAATATGACCTCGTCGCTCTCGCGGTCGGCAATCGCGTCAAGTTCTGTCTGCACCTCGTCGAGCTCGCGTAACAACTGAAAGTCGCTTTTCGTATATTTCAGGCGATTATCCTGAAAGAGTTTGCTAGCTTGCTCGCCGGACTTTCCCTAAAAACCGCTGCTAGCTCGCCTGACTCACATTTCGCGCCTCCTCCGGGATCAGGCTGTCCAGCTCCTGCAGCTCGGCCTCGTCGTAGCGTTGCGGCCACTGGGCGGCCATTTTTTTGCAGACCTGGAAAGGATAAACTACAATCTACAGATTTTTTTGCTTCAAAAACGAGAGTATAAACTTCAGATGGCCTAGAAAAAGCGGAAAAATGAGAAAATTCCCAAACATTTGGTATCATTATAAACGTTGCCTATCAGTTTAGCTAAATAAAGTTTTAAAAATTGGAAAACTGGGCAGCCGAGGTGGGAAATTGGGGAAGTGTTGCGATTGGGCGGCCTTGGCGAATCCAGGGCATCGCCGCTTCCTATGAGGGCATGCTATTCGGGTTGTACAAGGAGCCTCGTGTAGCCGCTGCACACGTTTTCTCTGTTTATCCACCCTGACCACCCCCGGTTGCAGACAGCCGCCTAAGTTGCTAAAACACGCACTAAAAACTAAAATTCTTATAGATAACGCTAAAATGAATATTATACTGTAGAATGGGCACTTTTTAGAGCCTTCCTAGACCCAGTTTTATCGATTTTTGATGTCATAAAGTTCTTGTCCCTCGGAAGAAGTTGTAAAATCTCATTTTCCATCCCTAAAATACACTAGAAACTAAAAATTCATATGCTTAGCGTTAAAATTGTTAGATTACAGTATAAAGGGCACTTTTTAGAAGATCACGAGGTCCTCTTTTGTCGATTTTTTAGGACGAAAAGCTTTTTGCGAGTCGAAAAAGGCTGTAAAATCATGATTTTTATATCGTTTTCGATGTTTTGGAAGCTGCTTAACCGTATAAGCTTGTTCTGTGGAGCGGAGGCTTTAAAATATAGGCTGGTTTGGCAAAAAATCGCATATTTTCCAAGCCAATCGATCGATTATCAATTTTCGACCTTCAAAAAGCAATCGAAAAAGTTTAGTTTTATCGTTTTTTTAAGCTTTTCTTCTTTCTATGTGATTTTGAGAGTCTAGACGTCTTTAAATCCATTTTTCCCACTTTCTTTTCTGTATTAAAGATTTAAACTGAGTTTAATTTTCCCTTTTTTCCAGATGGAGCTCTCGTGCGACATCGACGACAATCGTTGGGTGGTCGTCCGGCCCTCCACCTCGTCGGATGGTTCGTTTTTTTGGTTTAACTGTTTTAACCAGGTGATTTATAGCTTAAAAACCAGTTTTTTTAGTTTGATTGGTTTAACTAGGTTTTTGTAGCGTTAAAAATCGGGTTTTATAGATTTAAATTATATGTCCAAAGTTTTACGCCAATATTTAGACCCTCTGTGCCTGGAGCTTCTCCTCCGCTGCAAGCACAACGACGCCATCTTTGCCACCCGCGAAATCAAGTGGACCCCGAAGGAGCCGATGCCGCAAAAGGTTTCTACTTTATTTTATCGCTTCTTGCTAGCTTGCCCCGCCCCGGCAGGCTAGCAGAGCTCGCTAGGGAAAGCCAAAAACCACGGAAAAAGTTTAGGAAAGCAAGAAAAAAAAGTTTTTTGGACGTTTTTTAACGATTTCCGCTTTTGAAAAGTGCTGAAACTGAAAAGCATGAATTTTTTTAAAGCTGAAAAACGTCGAAAAAAGTATTTTTTCCTCCCAAAAGATCTCTGCTAGCTTGCCTCTCCGAGAAAACGTATATTTTTATCAATTCCTAAAAAAACCTATTTTAATGCATTTTTGAACGTTTGCTGTGTTCCCTAGCGATCTCTGCTAGCTTGCCTTTAAAAAAGGCAATTTTCTGAGGCGATACGGTTTTTAAACTTGAGTTTTTCATCTGGAAAACCTAAAATCGTGAAAAACCCCGTCTTTCAGCTCACCTACGACGCCGAGCTGTCGATGATCTCGCTGACGGGCAGCACGATGAAGGTCGACACGCCATATAGGTAATTTTCCGCTAAAAAACCCCAGAAATTTTAATTTTTTTTACAGTATCAAAGCCGCGAAGGTGATCTGCCCGGATTTGGCCGACGCGCCGCAGCGTGTTATCACGTAATTTTGCCCAAATATGTCGAAAAATTATTTTTTTAGGCTAAAATCCTTCCGGAGCGCCGAGCCAGCAGCCGACTCGAGCGATCGTCTCGGCATCTTTCTCGCCATTCTCGACCTCGTCAACTCACAGGTATAGCGGGATTTTAGTGGCGTTATCGATCTGGGATATTTTTATTACTCAAAAACGCCATAAAAAATTGATTTTTGCTTGATTGTGCAGTTTTCGCCAGCTTTTAGTGCCTACTCGATTCCGGGTGGTGGATTTATTAGCGTAATCGATTTTTAGGACTGATTTTAGTGCCATAATCGATTTGGCGGATTTTTATTTGTGAAAACTCCAAAAATTATCGCTTTTCAGTTAGATTTTAGTGACGTAATAGGTTTTGGAGTTGAGAATTTACTAGCGTAATCGTTTTCGCCTCCTGATTTTTGTGGCGCAATCGAAACTGAGGCTATTTTTAATGCCGAGATTTTAGGGCCGGAATCGATTCGGAGCCTATTTTTATTGCTGAAAAAAACCAGAAAATCTCTTTTTAGCTTGATTTTGATGACGTAATCGATTCAGGGATCTTTTTTACCCTCAAAAACGCCAAAAAATCCGCTGTTTAATGGCGTACTCGATTAAAACCTATTTTTTCAAAATATGCTTTTTTTTCAGGGCCGCGACAAGGAGTGGAAGGCCCTGAAAAAGCGGGTGAAGAGCGTGGAGCAGATGCCGGACCTGCGCGGCCACTTTTCGCACTACGAGCAGAAGCGGCTGATCGACTGCCTCGACGCCAAGGAGGACAGCCCCTCGTTTCTCACCATCGCCAAGGCCCTCGCCGCCGCCAATGTTTTTGGGTACCGGTGCGTTTTATGGAGTTTTTAAAAAATTGAAAACGTATTTTTGAGCTTTGGCATTATCGGGGGGGGGGGGTTTAAGGATCCAATTTTTCTGATAAAAATAGAGGAAATGTTTCTAAAACTGTTTTTCTAATATCATTTAGCATAAAAATTTGCAAATTGTGATGAAAAAATACAAAAATATCCATTTTTTTTCTTCCAAAAATACCGATTTTCGACAAAAATTTCGGCTAAAGATGAAAAATGAAAAAAATAATTTTTTCGGCCTGAATTATGTTTATAATTTACTAAAAAGTATTGAACATTTACGATTTAGATTTTTAGGGTTTCAAAGATGCATTTTGGCCATTTTATGTTTAAAAATGCCTAAAAATTTTTGTAATTTTTTTTGTGTTTTTTCACTTGACTAAATTTTACTAAAAACGCTTAAAATACTTGCTCTTACGTTCAAGGAGTTTCTGAATTCATAGGAAAAAATTAGCCCCCCCCCGCTAATGCAGAAGATCCTGTTTTTAACAAAAAAAATCAAGGGTTTCTTTTGTAGTGTAGAGCCTAACCCCCCTTCTTCAGGTACTTCAACAAGTTCGTGGAGCTGCTGACCGACGCCGGCCAGGACGAGCTGCTCGTCGAGATGATGGACGGGATGGCCGTCATGTCCGAGACGCTCTACGCCGGCATCCTGGCCATCATCGCCAAGAAGGACAAGCCGGAGGCGCTGCCCCTTCTCGAACGACTCCTTTCCAGGGCCTATGGCGAGCGGTTTCTCATTGAGGTAAATTTCCACAGTGTTCTCTGCTGGGCTGCCCTCCATTTCCTGAATTTTCTCTGCTAACTCGCTCGCTTTTCAGCAACTCCAATCCCTCGACGCCACCACCGGCGCCCGGCTGGCCGACATGCTGCTGGAGTTGATCGGCGCCGGCAGCGAGGTCGTCTACGGACAGGTAAAATTAAATGCTGATTTTAATTTTGTCGTTTTTAGGCCCTCCGCCTGCTCTCTGTACTGCTCGACGCCCTCGGCAGCCGCTTCATCTGGGGCGACGCCGCCCACGAGCAGCTACTGCCGATGGCGGGAACGATTGGCGATTTGGTCAGTTTTTAGGGGCTAGCTAGCAGATATTTTTGAGGAAATCGGACCAGGTAGCAGATATTTTTAGGAATTGGGGCAGACTAGCAGAGATTTTTGTGGGATGGCCAGCTAGCAGGGATTTTTTGAGGAATTGGAGGGGCAGGCTAGCAGAGTGGTTTTGGGAAAATGGACGACGCTAGCTAGCAGGGACCCTTGAGGCAGTGGATTTGAGATGAGCTAGCAGCGATTTTTGAGGAATTGGAGGGGCGGACAGGCTAGCAGAGATTTTTTAGGAAATGGGGGCATGCTAGCAGGAATTCTTTGAGAAAATGCGGGCCAGCTAGCAAAGATTTTTGAGGAAATGAAGGACGGGGGCAGGCAAGCAGAGATTCTTTGTGGAATTGGAGGGGCAACTAGCAGAGATTCTTTGGGAAATTTAGGGAAATTAGCGGAGATTTTTGAGGAAAATGAAGAATTCCCCCCTTTCCAGGCGGCCCTCATCGACACGTTCATCACGCTGGACTCGTGCCGCCACCGCGAGGAGCAGATCAACGCAGCCATCCCGGCCAAGTCCTACATTATCAGGTGTGAATTTTAAGGCTATTTTTGTTAATTTTGAACATTTAACGGATTTTATGAATAGGAAAAGCTAATTTTAAGGCGAATTTTTATCTATTTTTTGTTAAATTTTTTAATTTTCAATTTAGAGAATTAAAAAATTTTTTTTTGCAGAAAGGTCAAACTCGTGCCGATCGGCGGGAAAAAGAAGAACAAGAAGAAGAAGAGGACGACCTCCATCGCCGGCGACGAACCCCCAAAGCAGCACATCCCCGCCAAGCAGGACGATGGCAAGAAGCCGAAACGGAAGCGCTCGGCCAAACGACCGCAAAAAGACGCCCCGGCAACCCCGGTGCCCCAAGCCACGCCTCTAGCTCAGCGCTCAAGGTACTGTATTTGCAAAACATTTAAAAGGTTGAAAATTAGACAAAAAATTAGTTAGTATTTTAATTATTATTAGTATTTGAGCGGTTTTTCGACTTTTTAAAACTCTGAAATTTGGTCTAAACTTTAGATCAAAAGTTGATTTTTGTTTTTCAAAAATGGGTTGTTTTTGTGATTTTTAGTTTTTCAAGACGCGTCAAAATTATAAAAAAATGCCCTACGGTATTTTTCGATGTAAAAATCGATTTTTTTTGAGATTCTTAGCTGAACAATTATAAAACTGTCGATAAATTTTTACCTTTTTAAAATGCTGAAAGCTGACCAAATCAAAAATCTGAAAATCGATAAAAAAAATCTTAGACAATAACAATAAATTTTTCGTTGTTTTAAAATTAATTTTGGCAATTTTTAACCTTTAAAAGCCAATTTTCGACAAATTCTTAGTATTTAAAAACGTTTTTCATAATTTTTAATTAAAAAAAATTTTCAGGACCACCTCGGCCTCAAAATCCACCGAACACACCCCGCTCGCCTCGCCCACGGCCCCGCCACGCAGCCGCCGCGCCAGCCTCCGCCATTCCATCGGCGCCGACGACATCTTCGGCAAGGAGAACGCCACCGCCTCAGAAACCGGGCGCCGCTCCCGCAACCGGCACTCCACGTCTTCTAACGGAGCCCCAGAAGCCCAGGAATCCGCTAAACTCCCCGATGACGTCGCCAAACCCAGGAAAAGCCGCCGGAGCAGTGGCGCCTCGCTTCCGGATGAGCCAATGGACACCAGCGAGCCGCCGGAGACGCCGAAGACGCACAGGCGGTCGAGGAACGGGCTGTCGGCTTCGTCGAACGGGACGGTAGATGACGTCGTCGAGGTGGAGAAGACGCCAAAATCGGCTCGGCGTGCCCCAGAAGACGCTGTTGACGTTGGAAAAACGCCAAAATCGGCTCGTCGTGCTCCAGAAGTGGTCGACGACGTCGTCAAGTCACCAAAATCGGCTCGTCGTGCTCCCGAAGACGTTGTCGACGTCGGAAAAACGCCAAAATCCGCTCGACGCGCTCCAGAAGCGGTCGACGACATCGTCAAGTCGCCCAAATCGGCCCGCCATGCTCCAGAAGCCGCCGACGACACTGTCAAGTCAGTGCGCCGCACCCAGTTAAACGGCTCCTCCGAGTCGCTCGCCAACGGAAAGCCCGAACACCACGAAGTAGTCGTCGATTCTAAAACCCCGCGCCGCCGCTCCCTGCGCAGCTCGGACAAGGATGTCGAGCCGGTAGATGAACCCCCGAAGAGCACCCGCAGGCGCCAGAAGCAGGAGGAGCAGCACGACGTCGCCAAGGAGAACGGCGACCTGGAAGGTGCCACGCCGGCCGTCTCGAAGACGTCACGGCGATCCCAGAAACTGCCGAACGGGGCTGCCGGCGATGGAGGGGACGACGTCGTGATGGTCGAGTCGACGCCGTCGCTGCGCAGCGCCTCGCGTCGCGGTCGCCGCGAGATGTCCGCCGCGTTGGCGGGTGGGTTGGAGATTTCGATTTTTTAGGCAAACTAGCAGAGATTTTTGAGGAATTGGTGGATTAGCAGAGATTCTTTAGGAATTTTGGCAGGCTAGCAGTGATTTTTGAGGGAATCTGCGAGCAGGCTAGCAGAAATTTTTGAGGAATGCCAGGGGCGAGCTGGCAGGGATTTTTGAGGATTTGGCGGGGCAGGCTAGCAGAGATCTTTGAGGAATTTGTCGGCCATCTAGCAGAGGTTTTTGAGAAATTGGAGGCCAGGCTAGCGGTGATTTTTGGGGAATTTTAGTGGTAAACTAGCAGAGATTCCCTAGGAACTCCGAACTCCTTGAACTCCTCTTTTTTTCAGATGACATGGACGGGCCCTACTGGAAGCCAGCCGCCGAAAATGAGCCGGCCAGCGTCGTCCCCTCTCAACTTCCGGCCGGCACGCCCGCTCGCTTCACCCGTGCCTCGTCGGTGATGTCGGACTGCGGGAGCAGCTACAACCTCCGCAGGCGCCAGTCGAGCCGCGAGCCCGAGCCACAGCCGGTGAGTGGATTTTGGCTTTAGGGGCCTTTTAAAGGCGTTTGGAAGGCCCGGGCAGGCTAGCAGAGAAAATTTGCGGAAATTTGCCTATTTTTTTGCCCTCAGTGACCCTTTAAAAGGGTTTCAAGCCGTTTAAACCGGGGGCAAGCTAGCAGAGACAATTTGCGGAAATTTCAATTTTATCCCTTCCTTTTAGACCAAAACAAGGCCACCCCCGCGAAGGCGAACGGCATCCCCGAGACGCCCAAGCAGCTGGCCCCCATCTTCGAGGAGTCCGCCAAAAGGAAGTCGGCCGCCAGAAAGTCTAAGGTCAGATTTTCGTGGCGTAATCGACCAAAAATTCTTTTTTTTTCAGGTGAACGGCAGCAGCGCCCCGGCCGACGTCATCGAGCTGTCCGACTAGACCCAACCGCCTCGGTGAACTTGTTGCTCCTCTTCTGCCCCACCCCCACCCAGATTGTTGCCTGTTATCTTGTTGCCCCCGCCGGCCCCTATTTTCTGCTGCTGCTCAACTACAGTATATAGCTGTTGCTCGCCTACCGTAGTGCCTTTTTTCCATCGAAATAGTGCCCCCCTTGAGCTCGTTGTTGTTCTACTGCCCCCCAAATTGTTGTTGATCCGTGTTTTTCGTTGTGTTTTCTGGTAGTAGAAAAGTTTAGAAATTTGGCCAGCCTCTGGAAAAGCCTCTAAAAATTTGTTGTTTTTTTTTGCGAAATTTGCCCCCAAAAATCCGCCGTTGTTCCCTTTGTTTCCCCCGAATAAATAGTTTATCTTTCGGCGATTGTTGATTTTTTTTGGAGAAAATTCGATATTAAATCGACGAGAAAACCGTTTTTCTTTTTTTTCATGGAGTGATTGTAGAAACTTGGAGTTATAAATTTATTTAACGTTTTTAGGCGGTAATTTTGATTTTTGGAATGGTTTTCGTGAAAAAAATTTCTGCCCAAAATTTTTTTATCAAAGAAATGTAGTGTTTTTTTTCTTGTTTTTCGCGTTTTCCGGCTATTCTAAATGATGGTAATTCTTGAAATAGTGGTTTTTGTGATTTCTGAAAAGTAGTCGCATTAAAATAACGAAATCTAACCTCAGAAGTAGCACGCGTCTTTCTTTATAGTTTTCGCTCCGAAATTGCAGGAAATTCCATTCTCCGACCCGGTACCGTTGTTTTTCAGGATGCGTCAATGTTGTTGGCGCGGATACTAGTCGCCACATTTGCCGCGATCCTGATACGAAGCGGATGCGCACAACAGCAGCAGCCGGTCAGTATTTTTTTTTATGAATTAAGATCCTTATTTTTCAGGTCTCACCCCTGCCCACCTCGATCCCCATTCCGGTCTCCATCGACGGGCCACAAAATGTTAAACTTCCCGAGGATACGGTGGAATTGACGGCAAAAATTGAAAATGGTAAATTTTTAAAATACCATTTTTTTCTTAATTTTTCTAGAGTTTTATCGATTTTTAAAACGGCATTTTTATTCCAGAAAAATCCTGGGACAACGTGTCGCTGGCGTTCCTGTGGGAGGTGCTCAGCGGTGGTGGCCTCGCTTCTTCGAAAGTCTACACCCATCAAAACCTCGTCCTCAACAAGGTCAGTGGCATTCGATTACGCTGAGAAATTCGTTTTTAGCTAAAACCTGGCACCATCGTCGTCAGGGTCACCGTCTCGGGCGCTGGGATTCTTGGCAAAGCGGGTAAGAATTTTTCTGGATTCCTCAAAGAATCCCTGCTAGCCTGCCCTCCAATTCCTCAAAGAATCTCTGCTAGCCTGTCCCTAGAAGTCCTCAAAGAATCTCTGCTACTGCCCCGAAATTCCGCAAAAAAACCATGCTAGCTGGCCCGGTCCATTTCCTCAAAAATTGATGCTAACCCGCCCCGAGAATTCCTCAAAGAATCTTTGCTAGCCCTAGAATTCCTAAAAAATCCCTGCTAGCTCGCCCTGAGCCCTATTTTGCAGAGCACACCCTCACCGTGACCGACGTCAGCAAGGCGTCCGACCCGCCGAAGGCCGTCATCCGCCCCGAGGGCCCCATCGAGAGCATTGAGGGTAGAATTTCCGCTTTTACAGTCTAATCGATTACGCTAGGAAATACGCTGACGCTGGACGCTGAGGGGAGCGTCACCTCATCGGCCGCCAGCTTCGAATGGGCCCAAATATCCGGCCCGGCCGTCACGCTGGCCGCCACCAACGTGCCCAGCCTCAAGATTGAGCGCCTCGTGAAGGGCGTGTACAAATTTCGGTGCGTTTTTTTGGGGTGGGGCAGGCTAGCGGAGAGCTTTGAGGAATTGGAGGGGCCAGCGTGCAGAGATTCTTTGAGGAATGGATGGGTAGCTAGCAGTGATTTTTGTGGATTGCTACGGGTAGGCTAGCACGTTTTTTGCGAAATTTTGGATGCCAGCTAGCAAAGATTTTTGAAGGAAATCGGGGCCAGCTAGCAGAGAGCATTGAGGAATTTTAGGGGCAAGCTAGCAGAGATATTTTAGGACTTGTTTATATTTTTCGTTTTCAGAATGACGGTGACGGATGCGGAGGGCAGAAAAGACGCGGCTACGGTGAATGTTGTTGTCCGAGAAGGTTTGTGAATTTTAGAGAGAAGAGAGAGAGAGAGAGAGAGAGAGAGAGAGAGGGATTATTTACGATTTTTTTCAGAGCGAGACGACCCTCCAAAAGCCCACATCACTGAATGCGGAATCGGAAGCGCCACGGCAACGGTCACCGTCCGGCTCCCGAAAGACCAAATCCAGCTCTGCGCCAATACCAGCCAGGATGATAAGGTAATTTTTCCGCAATGGTCCCTGCTAGCTTGCGCGAGCTGGCTCTAAAGGACGGTCGAAGGAAAAAATAATTCCCAAAATTGTCGCTGCTAGCCTGCCCAGAGGTCGTGAATTAGCTAAAAATTTTTTGATCGATTTTCTGACGTTTAAAAAGTCATTCAAGGCAAAAATCTATCCCCCAAATTGTCCCTGCTAGCCTGCCCAATTGGAAAAATTCTTCCGAAAATTGATTTGAATCGATTTCGTCGTTTTTAGGTCCTAGAACTTTCCCCAATTTTCGCTGCTAGCCTGCCCGTTTTTTTCTGCAATTTTTACATTCCGGTTTTCAGGGCGTCACTTCCTTCCGGTGGTACCGCGTCGACGATTTTGCCCAGCAGCTAACCGTTGACGTTGAGGGGAGCACGAGCGATGTGTTGGTCCTCAAAAATCTTCAGGTTCGGGGTTTTGGCTTTTTAATTTTTTAAATTAAATTAAAATAAATTTTCGTTTTAATTTTTAATTCATTGAATTACATTGATTTTTCATTTTTTAGCCCACCGAAACGATCGGCGCGTACGAGTTCTCGCTGGACGTCGCCGACGTGAAGGGCCAAAAGGACACGGCCCGCGTGTCGATTTTTGTGCACGCCGCACATAATATGGCGCCTGGTACGTGGTTTTCCGCAAATTGTCTCTGCTAGCCTTCTGCTAGCCTGCCCTCGCCTCAAATTTCTCATTTCCAGTCCCGAACGGCGGCGGCAATCGAACGGTGACCCTGCCGGAGACGTCGCTAGTCCTCGAGGGCAACGCCAAGGACGACGGCGAGATCAAGGCGTTCAACTGGACGCAGATTAGGTGTGTTTTCTTTAGCTTCCGCAAATTGTCTCTGCTAGCTTGCCCCGAAGTTTTAGAGCATGCTAGCAGAGATCATTTGATATCCGGCTTTTAGTGGCCCCAACAACGCCTCGCTCGTCAACGCCAACCAGGCCAAGGCCACCGTGTCCGGGCTGCTCGAGGGCGAGTACTCCTTCCGGTTTGCCGTCGTGGACGACGGCGGGCTGGAGGCGAGTGACGTCGTCTGGGTCACCGTTGCTAGAGGTAGTTTTTCCTCAATGATCCCTGCTAGCCTCCCCGCTTTCCAGGCGAAAACAACCCGCCAGTCGCTGTGGCCGACAACGTGACCGTGGCCCTTCCGGTGTCGATCGTCCGCCTCGACGGCTCGAGGAGCCACGACGACGCGGGGATTGTCAAGTACATCTGGACGCCGGATGATGACGTCCCGTCAGCTATTGTGGGTATTTTTGGTTACTCTAGCAGAGATTCTTTGAAGAATTGGAGAGGCAGACTAACAGGAATTCTTTGACGAAATGCGGGCCAGCTAGCAGCGGCAATTTGCGAAAATCGAGGTCATCCCCTTTTTTTCAGCAACTCCTCGGCGACTCGGCTCGCTCCTCCGTGCTCCTCGTCGGCCGACTAATCGCCGGGACTTTTAAGTGAGTTTTTTAGAGCTTTTGAAATCCAGAATTCCTCAAGGAATCTCCGCTAGCACCCTGATTTTTCCTTTTTCAGGTTCAACTTCACCGTCCGCGACCAGCAGGGCGCCAGCGACGAGCGATGGGTGTGGCTGCACGTCGAGAAAGGTAGGCTTGGGCGCGGGCTTGGACGTAGGCTTAGGCTTCGGCTTACGCTTACGCTGAGCCATGGACCTAGGCTTGGGCTTGGGCTTGGCTTAGCTGGCTTAGGCTTTGGCTTGGGCTTAGCTGGCTTAGGCTTCGGCGTAATTGATTACGACATGTAATTATTTATTTTTTAGGCGAAGCCGAGGAGGAGTCAGTCGAGCTCCTCATCCAACAGTCCATCTCCCAGTTCAGCTTCTTGCTCAAGGAGAAGCTCGAAAATCGGTGAGCCTCGATTTTTAGAGGGTCATTGAAGCCAAATCCTTCAGAATCTCAGCCATCCTGTCGACCGGCCTCTCGGGGGTGAGCGGCGTGAATGTGAATACCGTATCCGTCGACGAGGAGCCGGGCTCCGGGATGATCCGCTACATCTTTTGGGCCGAGTCGAGGGAGCAGACTGGTACGGGATTTTTATAGTGTAATCGATTAAACGCTGTTTTCGCTTCTTTAAGGATCTTTGCTAGCCTTCCTTGAGGACCTGATTTTTATTGCGTAATTGATTAAGCGCGATATTTGGATTCCTCAGGGATCTTTGCTAGCCTGCCACTGATTTTGCATTTCATAGCGTAATCGATTAAGCGCAATTTTTCGATTCCTCAAGGGAATTTTGCTAGCTTGCCTCCTAGGAAAGATCGATTTTGATAGCGTGAGCGATTATACGTTTTTGATTCCCCAAAAATCTTTGCTAGCCTGCCTTCAGGGCCTGATTTTTATTGCGTAATCGATTAAGCTCAGTTTTCGCTTCCCAAACGATCTTGGCTAGCTTTCCGTCATTTTGAGGAGTTATTTTCAGTGCGTAATCGATTACGACGGGCATGCTAGCAGAGAAACTTTGCCATTTTCAGACGAGATGCGCCGTCGGCGGGGCATCCGCTCAACGACGCAGGCCCAAATCCTGAGGGCCGACCTGATCGTGGAGGTGCTGAGGGCGGAGACGACGATGCAGGACAGCTTCTTCATCAAGAGCATCGAGCCCAAATGTGGGGATTTCCTGAATAAGCGCTGCTAGGTTCCTAAAGGATCTCGGCTAGCCTACCCTCCCAATCCGCCATTTTCCAGACTGCCACCTCGACTGCTCGGGCCACGGGCAGTGCTCGGATCAGACGAAGGAGTGCGTGTGCGAGCGCTTCTGGATGGCCAGCCTCATCGGCATCATCCTCTCCGGGGGGAAGCACTACGATTGCGGTACGTCTTATTCTGCATTCTACAGTCCTTTAAAATATGTTATTGAGGTTTTTATTGATTACGCCATGGAATTCTGCCTTCAATTTCTTTTTTTCAGGTTGGTCCTCCGTCTATTTCTGGATCGGCACGTTCATCTTCCTGCTGTCCGTCTTCTACTACGTGTTCGTCCGAAAATCTTCACGATCCTCCTGGTCGAAGAAGGCCAAACGGTTACGGTATGGAAAAGCGATTTTTTAGATTTTCCTTGATTTAGATTCCGCAGAAGAAGGAGATACTCTCCGGTGCATTCAGAAGAGAGTGAGGAGGACAAGCAGGAGAGACCGGGTCAGAGGGGTAAGCTAGCAGAAATTCTTTGAGGAATTTTTGACCATGGGCAGGCTAGCAGCGATCATTTAACTTTCTTTTTCAGGTCGCCACCACGGTGCCCGTCTGCAGCCCCTTCCCCTGCCGCCCTCCTCGGACTCGTTGCTCTCCGAGGGCGAAGATCTTCTCCCGCGCCTCGCGCCGGACAGCTCGCGACGGCCGGGCCGCAACGCCGGCGAGTCGAAGCGGCTCATATGAATTCGGTAGCGTAATTGGTTACGCTGTGTAATTCCTTGTATCTAAATCTTTCCCCCCTTTGTCACAAGACAGCTTTACTTGCTTTAAATTTAACATTTTTCTGTTTTAATGGGAACTGGAAGTCTCTGCTAGCTTACCTTGAGGTGAATCGATTACGCCATGAAATTTGAGGCTGTCAGTGCCCTTTAAAACGCCTAAACATGGTCTTAATGAGCTTGGAGAGTCTATCCGATTACGCCATCAAATTCCAGCCTTCCAAAAACGCCGAAAATACTTTTTAAAGGAGCGTGGCGTGAAGCTAACGGTCTCTGCTAGCTTGCCTAGGGTCTAATCTATTGCGCCATCAAATTTTAGCCTTCCGGAGGCATTTAAAATGCCTAAAAATCCGCTTTTAAAGGGGCATTGAAGTGCTGCACCATCTCGGCAAGCCTTCCTTGCGTTTGATCGCTTACGCCATAAAATCCGGTCTTCCACGTCCCTTTAAAACCCTTCAAAAACCCTCCCAAACATTCCACTTTTTCTAGTTGTGTGGTAGCCAATTTGCCTGTGATTTTTCATTGCCGGTTTTCGCAATTTTTTTCCTCTATCTGCACTTTTTCTCAGCTCTCTCTCTCGCTCTCTAGGTGTCTCTTTCTCTCGCCTTTTCCTGTCTCTCTCACTTTTTCTGTCCCTCTCTCTCACCCACTCTCTCGCCCTCTCCCCTCTGCCCGGGTCAACTCATCTCCTCCCCCCTTATAAACAGCCATGTGATATCATTTTTTCGGACAATAAATAAATAAACAATCCCTGCTTGCTCCCCCACCTCACTTTTTAATTGTTGTTTTCCGCTAATTTTGTTTTTTTTTACGATTTTTCTGATTTTCTGAAACTTTTGGATAAATGGTTTCTGCTCGCGGGCCCGATTTTTCAGCAAACTAAAGGCTGTAGGCCGCTGGAGGATATTTTATTCATTTCCTTGTCACTTTTCTCCTAATTTATGTAGCCTGGTGATGTCAGAATTGCGTGAAAATGCAGGGTTAAAAGGTTAAATCAGAATTTCTGCAACTTTTTGTTGACAAAAACGCCGTTTTTCGATAATAGTCGGCCCAAAGGTTACGAAAATAGCTACAGACGCTGTTTTTGTATTTTTTCAATTCTCAAGATTGCTTTTCTCTTTTAAAAACGACAAACTGTAATTCCCGAAATTTCTTTCGATGATAGTCTACCTAGGAATTACGAAAATTCACTGGAAAAACCTTTTTTTTGTTGTTTTCCATTTCCAAACTTTCATTTCGTTTTAAAAGCAAAAAACTCAAATTCCAGGCTTCTCCTTGCCGAAAAAAACCCATTTTTTAGACGAACGCCGACTTGGAAATCACGAAAATTGATGGCAAAGCTTTTTCTAACCTTTTTCTCGTTTAGAGTTATAAATTCTAGTTCTAGGCGCTGAATGCTCGTTCTAAAAATTGAAATCGACTACCTGCAGGCTTTTCCTTGCCAAAAACTGGATTTTTTTAGACAAAAACCGACATGGAATTCACCAAAATTCACCCAGGGCCTTGTTTTTTTATTGTTTTGCATTTCCAAGCTTTCTTTTCTCATTTAAAAACTATAAACTCCAATTCCAGGCGCCCAATGTCGCTCTAAAATGCTAAAGCTATTTTTTCAATTTTTCTTTGCCAAAAACGCTATTTTTAGACTCGGAAAATGTTGTTTTCCATTTTCCAAGCTTCGTGTTGCTTCTCTATAAACTTTCATTCTTGATTTTCCAGGCGCCACTTCTCGTCTCAACCCCCCCTGTTTTTGATGCGGAAAAATGGATGGCGTGCCGTCAGCTGAAGACCATGCGCGGCTCAACATTCTCGTCAAGCCGGTGCGTCTTTTGGAGTTTGTGTTTTTGCAGTTTTAAAAGCTGTAAAACCTGGTGTTTTTCATTTTAAAACGCTAAATTCGTTTTAAAAAGCTGAAACGCCCAATTTCCCGTTTTCCAGATCGGCTCCCGGAATCCGCAGGCCTTCAACCGCATCCTCGAGCGCCTCAACCGGCAGCAAATCGTCCAGGGTGAGTTTTAACGTAGTTTGTATCTTGTAGTTTGTATTCTAGAGTTTACTGGCTGAATTTTTTAATTTTTATTCTTTAGTCGGCGACCAGCAGCAACCGCGCGTCATCAAGGCCCACTTCACCGCCACCGTCCCACCGGAATCGACGCGATTTGCCGATTTTCAGGTAATAGAAAGTTCAGAAAAGCGTTAAAAAGTAGTAATTTATGTAGCTTATAGTTTTTTGGGCTTTATATAGCGAAAACTGGGCGCTTTTTCCGATCCAGAAACGTTTTTTAGCGTTTTTTCAGAGTTTGAGCTAGAAAATTGGCTAAAAATGGCATTATAACTTTTTTTGTCAATATAACCTGAGCTTCTAAAGTATTACTTAGGCTTGATGCTATGAAAATTGCGAGCTTTTTTCGAGTTCGAAACGTTTTCACACGCTTTTTTAGAGGTTTGAGCCGAAAATTTGTTAAAAAAAGGCATCATGGCTATTTATTCTGAATTTTTTTGCGATTTAGCGTATTGCACTTCTTCTAAAGTATTTTTTAACGCTTTTTTTACTTTTTAAAAGTCATGTTTTGATAGGAACACCCTTTTTTTAGGTGAAAATTCGTTAGAAAAGCTTTTTTGACTTTTTTTAGCGAAGTATTCTCGGATTTTTGCGATGCTAAGTTTTCTAAAGTATCTATTAAACGTTTCAGAACTTTCAAAAATACGCTTTTGACGTCAATAACTTTTAAAATCCCAATTTCCAGATCCACCGTCGCATCGTGGGCGTGATCGGCGTGGCCTGCTGCTCGCCGTCCACGTCGACGGATCCGCCCAAAGAGGCGGGTTTTGCTGAGCTGAATTTAAAGCTTTATAATCTACAGTTTTTGCACTATTTAAATCTGTTTTTAAGTTTTTAAACGTCATTTTTTTCAGAAAGTCGGCGACAAGGTGGTGGCGGCCAGGCGGCGTTCCTCGGTGGGCGTCGTTGTGGGCATCGACGATGTGCGCATATTCTACGAGAATATTAAGGTGGGTTTTGGGTCGAAAAAAAAGAGAAAAATGGAGTAACAAAATATTTTCGCTTTTTTCGAATTTTGCAGGCATTAGGAGCGCAAAATTTTCGATTTTTGGTCGTTTCTTTTTGCACAATAAAGCCATTTTGGCATTTTTACGTCTCTTAGGCTAAAAAGCAGCAAAGCATGAAGGAAAACAAATTTTTGTTGTTGGAAATTTCATAGGTCTTTTGCAGCGCAAAATTTTCTATTTTTAGGTTTTTTTTGGAAGATGAACATTTTCTCGCTGCTGTTTTTTTCGCAATATAAGGCAAATTTAGAGCAAAGAAGGGTTCAAAATAAGTAAAATTTGGGGTTTAAACGTTTTAAAGCTTCATATTATGCATTTTTTGAGGGTTTTTGATGAATCGAAGGTTTTATTAACAATTTTTTGGGGTTTTTTACGCTCTAAGCTTAATTACCTTTTTCTAGTCGGACTTCACGACGTCGATCGTCGACAGCCGGTGCATCCTGATCGGCTACGACGAGGAGCAGTGCTCGACAAGGTTCACCTCCAGGGAGACGCTCTGCTACAACGCCATGGAGGACACTGGTACGTGTTTTTGGGTGTATTTTGTAGTTTGTAGTCTAATTTGTAATTTGTAGCCCGATTTTAACCCCAAATTTAGACACGCTCGAGGAGGAGATTCGCGAATTCCTGCGCAACATCTACTTTGTCTACGAGCAAAAGCGCATGGACGTGGCCTTTGAGAAAGTGGTACGTTTTCGGAATCTAAAACGATTTTTGGCTCAATTGCGCGCTGGGTAAATCCAGGAAATATTTGTCATGCTTTTTACAGCTCCAAAAATTGCGGCAAACGCTTTCAAAAATTTTCTGAAATTTTGAAAATCGCATTTTGAACCATTTCACATCTTTTTTTGGTGTATTTTTAAGCGAGGAAGCCTCAAAATTTAAATTGCTATTTTTTCGAAGCATTTTGAAACAATTTTTCGTGTTTTTGAGTATTTTATCGCACTTAAACGATTGCGCAGTCGGTAAAACTTTGCAAATTAAAAAAAATAACTTTTAACAAATTTTTGCTTTTTTTTTGGCTAATTTTATACGACCAAAAATTCTCAAAACTGATTACGCTATGAAAACGCAATTTTAGGTAATTCCCCGTTTTTCAGGAGCAACCCCCGTGCCCGATACTGCCCGAGGAGGAGAAACTCCGCGTCGGCACCGAGCAGAAAACCTCCAAAACCTACAAGTGCGTTTTTGAAACTGGTAAAATTCAAATTTTTTTTTCAGGCGAAAATGCCTGGGGCGCTGCAAAAAGCAGCAGGCCGACTACACGCTCCTCGCCGGACTCCCTCAACAAGCGCTCGAGCACTACGTCGAAGCCATCGAAATGCTGCGCCAGGCGAACGACCTCCTCTGGCTGGCCGGCGCGCTCGAGGGGTGGTCATGTGCGGCGATGGCCGTCCTTTTCGAGGACGACAGCAGCTTGAGGTAATTCGTTACGCCATGAAAATTAATCTGGTGACGCGGGCGGTTAGGCTACCAAATCCGAGCGATTACGGCATGAAAATCCATCTTTTCTAGATCCCCGATGCACCGCGTCGCCACGATGAGCCCCCAACAAATTCGCGACGCCTCCTCGCAGGGCCGAAATTTGCATCAGCTAGGGTGAGCGAGCTTCCGCAAATTGCCACTGCTAGCTTGCCCCCGGTTCAGGCAGGCTGGCAGGGATTATTGGGGAAATTCGAATTCAATCTTTCGAGATTTTTCCGCAAATTGTCTCTGCTAGCTACCCCGGGTGGGCTAGCAGGGTTTTTTAAGGAAATCGGGGTTTAATGTCTTCATTTTAATTTTTCTGTCTTTTCTTTTCTCTTGGTAGGCTAGCAGAGATTATTGAGAAATTTTTCGCTTTTTGCGGCCATTTTAATGCCATTTTTCAGCGTTGCCCACGGCCACCAGCGCTACCGGAGCGACGAGGACGCGTCGCGGCTGTCCGCCTCCTCCTCCGCGTCGGACAGCGCCGACAGGAGCGGCACGGGCGGCAGGAGGACGGCGCTGTCGTGGATCAAGTCCGACAAGAGGGATAGGCTGGAGCCCCAGGTCATCCTCGAACGATTCGAGACGGCCATCGAGAATTATGGGAAATTTGGGTATTTCGAGTTTTTCGATTTTTTTAGTCTTCTACGTCTTTAGTTTCGCGGCGTACCTGGAATACGAGTGCATGATGAAGGCCTCCGAGCTGCTGCGATATCAAGGGAAGCTCATCGACATGGAGGTGGGTTTTGTCATTGGTTGCGGCGTGAAAGATGGGTTAATATGCGATTACGCCATGAAAATAGGCGAAAAAAATTAGTTTTGGCTTTCCTACCCCTTTAAAATAGTCCAGGGGATCCATTTACGCTAGCAAATTTTATAGGATTATTTTAAAGACGCTTTTGATCGATTACGACGTGTCATTTGGATCTATAAATCCGGTTACGCCATTAAAATTGGCCATCCTTTCCTGAATGGCCATTTCTGGGTGGTTGCCGAGCCCTTTAAAATGCGGCAGCTCTATCCGGCTACGCGATAAAATTCCCTGCTATTTTTAGGCGGTTTTAATACGTTACGACGTCAAAATTGGGGTATCTCGATGCGGTTACGCCATTAAAATCTTTCGAAGTTAATTTTCGACTTGCGGAGGCCTATAAAATGCGGCAGGTTTATCCGATTACGCCACGAAAATTCACCAGGGGTTCTTGGCTTGCAGAGGCCTTTAAAACGACCTAGCATTATCCAGTTACGCGATGTAATTCTGAGGTTTAATCAGTTACGCCATGAAAAATCGGCGATTCAGTTACGCCACTAAAACCCCCCGATTTCAGGAGTTCCACCGCAGCCACGTGGGCAAGTTCCTCGACGACTCGTTCACCCGCTTCGACCACCAGTTCAAGGCCCAGATCTGCTCCAACAGCGCCGAGATGTACAGGAAGGTAGCGATTTTCCGATGTCGAAAAATCACCATTTTTTCAGGTGAACTTCCACCGGAAAGCCTCGTTCTTCTCGCGGCTCGGCGTGCTGTTCCGGCTGCACGTCACCGACGGGGAGACGAGAACCGTCGCCGACTACCGTATCGTGTATCCGGTACGCAGATTTTGCCTTCAGTGGGCCTTTAAAATGGTTTTTGAAATTAAAAAAATAATTTTTTGACTTAAATTTTTTTTAATTAATTAATTCATTAAATTTTGCATTTTTTAGATCCTTTACCGTACCCTGGGCGGCTACGGTATCACGGAGAATCTCGGGCGGGAACCCGCCCAGAATTCGGGGCCGTTCGAGCTGCAGATCAAGGCCCTCCACGAGGTCTACACGTCCGCCCTCAGGGCACAGCTACACGATGCGGCCGTCCGGCATTTGTGCCATTTGTTGCAGGTACTGAATTCCGCAAATTGTCTCTGCTAGCTGACCCAGGCATTCCCTTAAAGAATCTCTGCTAGCTGACCTTCTTTCCTCAAGGAATCTCGGCTAGCCTGCCCCTAAACGATCTCTGCTAGCTTTTCTGACCCAGCCGAAGATCCCAAAGGATCTCTGCTAGCTTGCCCGAGCCAGCCCGGGTTCTGAAATGATCTCTGCTAGCTAGGCCCGATTTTTCCTCCTAAATGATCTCTGCTAGCGAGCCCTGACTTTGCTGATTTCCGAAATAATCTTTGCTAGCTACCCCGGCCCTAGCGTTCCCCAAAAAACATTTTTCCGCAAAAATCCCTGCTAACCTGCCCCCCTCTTTCCAGGCCTACTATCCGCACCTCGACCAGCCGATGCGGAACCGTCTCGTCGGCGAGCTGCAGGGCATGACGTCTTCCCCGGCCCGTCACAACCTCGCTGTTCATCTACCGCTCGAAGAGCTCGGCCTCGGCTCGTCGAATATCGTCCTCCCGCCCATTCAGCTCGTCTCCTTCCCCCAGATACTGTAAGCTGGCACTTTTTTAAAAATTGGGCCATTTTCTAGGTTTTTATCGAAATTTTTTGCAAAATTTCTTTTTGCTATTTTATTTTATTCGCTAGTTTCTATCGATTAGGAAAAAATTGAGCGAATTTTTTTATAAAATTTAGAAAAAATCCAGAATTTTAAAATCTTTTGTAAAATCTAGCGTTTTTTAAAGCATGTTTTTATCGGTTTTTGTACGATAATTTTTCTATTTTTAGGGACCCAGAAGTGCTGCCCCTGCCGTCGCATCTGGCCCCTCGAGTGACGCGCCCCTCCGACAACCACCGCTCCACGTTCATCTACTCCCACTTTGAGAGGGAGGCCGAGGAGAAACGGAGGAGGGAACAGGGTAAGGGAATTTGGGTGGTTTTGCCAAAATGCCGACAGCAAAAATTTGGATCGTCAAAAATGCCGACATCGAAAATCTGGCCGGAATTCGGCATTTTTAGACACTTTGAGGGGTTTACGCTCCCTTTAAAAGCCATTTCGTGTCGAAATGCCGACAACCACGCTGCGAAAGTCAAAAATGCCGAAATTGCTGCCAAAATTTCGACACGATAAACTTCGTTATTTTTCGTTTTGTCGGGATGTTTTTACGTTGTCGGCATTCCATTAGTTGTCGGTAGTTTTTGTTTCCGTTTTTACCTCGTCGGCATTATTCTTATTGTCGGGATTTTGGCTGAAATGCCGAATTTTAGGTTACATTTTTGCTTGTCAGCTTTTTGGCTGTAGCCGCCGATTTTTGTCGGTATTTTCGGGTTGTCGGCATTTCTACTTTTCGGGGTTTTTGTCGGAATTACCAAAAATTTTTGCAGCCATCCCGTGGATCGTCGACGCGCCGTGCAAGGTCAGCGTCCGCGTGCACAACTGCTTGCCCCAGGAGCTCGTCGTCAGGTATGGCTTGTCCGATTACGCCGTGAAAAGACTTTTTTTCTTTCGATTACGCGATCAAAAACCTTTTTCCCCCATTCGATTACGCCATCAAAATCCTTTTTTGAAGCGGTCAACTTGCAGCGTTTTTTCAGGGAATTGTGCGTGCTGGGCGAGGGGGTGCCCTTCGAGGCGGTGCCGCTCAAGTTGACGCTCCCGCCCGCGACTGAAGATCAGCCTCCAAACCACATCCAGCACAACCTGATCCTCGTGCCAAAGTGAGCATTTTTTTGGGGGCCGGGGCAGGCTAGGCCAGCTAACAGAGAGCTTTGAGGAAGGCCATCTCCAGGTGGCACGCTCCCTTTAAATGAATTTTTAGACTATTTTGACTTTCCGGGACTTTTAAAATGAGCGCCTGGACCTTAATTCTTTTACAGGGCGGCCGGCCAGCTGACGCTGAACGGCTACAGCTGCCAGGTGTTTGGGCTGAAGAACGTGTGCAAGATGAGGGCCCCGAAACCGTTGACCGTACGTGGTTTTCAGTACTGCACCGTTAGCGGGGGGAGAAACGCTTTCTGTTTTTCTTCTTAAAAATACCTGTTGGTGGTCTATTTTTTATTTTTATAGTGACGTCTCCCCCCCCCCCCCACTAACAGAACAGAACCGTTTTTGGGACTTTTTCCGGCCACCTCCCATTAATGCGCATTCAGGTGGAGGTGCTCCCATCGCTGCCGCTGCTCTCCATCCTGTCCACGCTGCCCCGCGCACCCGTACACGCCGAGGTTGACGGGGAACAGGGATTCGAGACGACCGTGTATAGTGGCCAAATGTCAGTTTTTTCTCTTCTTAAAAGATCTCTGCTAGCTGAACCTGAAAATTCCCATGTTTTCAGCTTCTCCCATTCGGTTACGCTAGTAAATGCATCGCCGAAGATTGGAATACGCGACGTCAGGATTCAGGCATTTTTTTGCGCGTAAAAAGTGTATTTTTTTGCTTTCAGATTCGCCAGCCTCAAGTCAGCGGCGGCCCGTCGCTGATCCAGATAAAAAAAGCGCCGGCCGCAGCTGAACTGGAGGTATCGCGGGTTTTAAAGGACCATTGAAGACAAACCTCTACTCTAGGAAGCGATCAAGCTCGCCCCGGAAGCCCGCCATCCGCTCGAATTCACGATTTTCGGCGTCGACCCGACGGCCACCACCGATGACGACAAGCCGGGCAATCTGGACGAGTCGAGGGTAGGCTGGCAGAGACGGCTTCGGCCTGGGCTTGGCGTAGGCTTAGGCTTAGGCTTGGGCTTGGGCTTGGGCTAAACCTAGCAAAGACGCTTTGTGGAACCCTTTTTTAGATCCCAGAAGCTTCTGCCCGCCCCCCTTCCCCGTCGCCATCTACCATGTCGGAACTGTCGTCAACCGGGGACCGGATACCCTACACCGGACGACTGCTGACGGCCCAATTCATCTTCGACTACACGGCAGATGTGGAGGGATCGCAGGGAGAGGTAGCAGAGATTCTTTGGGTAATTTCAGGCGAAAAGCCGAAATTGGATATTGTCGAAATTCTAGAAAAATTGGTATTTTCTTCGAAATACGGATTTTTTTTATTTTTACTAGATTTTTACATGTTGAAAAATGGGTTTTGTAGAGTTTTATCTCGATTTTTAAGAAATTAGGTTTTTTTGATTATTCTCGAGCTAAAAAAAATGGATTTATAAATTTTCGGAAAAGTTCTATTTTTATTTTTTTCGATTTTTAAGAAATTGCTTCTTTTAATCGATTTTTGAAATACTGTTTTTTGTGGTTTTTAAATGATTTTTTGAAAAATGATGAAAATTTGGAAAAATGGGGGGTCGATTACGCCACCAAATCCCGATTTTCAGGTCTACTCCCGCACAGCCACCCTGCCCCTGGCCATCACCGTCGTGCCAGCCGTCACCGTAGCGGCGTGGAGTGTCCTCCCCGGCGATGGCCCATTCACCAGGCAAGCTGGCAGAGACCGTTTTGGAAATCTCGATTGTTTTTAGATACATTGTGGTGGACGTGTCGAACTCGACGGATGCCGACGCCGAGTTGGTCTTCTCCGGCTCACGGGCTATGGGCGTCCCGCCGAGGGAGACGTGCAGGTATCCAGGGTGTCGCCGTCCCTTTAAAAACTCTTTTAGGGTCCCACTGCTGTGCCCGTGTTGTACGCAGGTCGCTGGCCGGGCCTTCTACGCCGCCCAGCAGAAGGACAGCAAGGTTATGCAACGGTTCGTTTTTGCTCTGATGGTCTCTGCTAGCTCCCTAGCTGCCCAATTCCGCAAATTTTCTCTGCTAGCCTGCCCTAGACATCCGAAAATGGTTTTGCTAGCTGGTTTGCCCTAAAATTCTTCCAATTTTCTCTGCTAGCCTGCCCTGAAATTCCGCAAATCGTCTCTGCGTTAGCCCTAATTTCTTCAAATCGTCTCTGCTAGCTGACGGCTAAATTCCGCAAATTCTCTCTGCTAGCTAGCCCCGACCCAGAAATTCCACAAATGATCGCTGCTAGCTGATCTCAAAATCCCTCAAATGTTCTCCGCTAGCTGATCTCGAAATTCCGCAAACGATAGCTGCTAGCTTGCCTAAATTCCTCAAATTCTCTCTGCTAGCTGGCCCCCCATTTCCGCAAATGGTCTCTGCTAGCCTGCCCCTGATTATTCTCGCACTTTTCAGGCTCGAAATCGAACGTCTCCGCCAGGTGCTCGAGTCGCACGTCGCTGAACATCTCGGCATCCGGTGGTCGATCCCCAGCAAGGAGGTGCGTCCCGGGTTTCCACAAATCTTCTCTGATAGCCTGCCCTACCGAATTTCTTCGCGTAATCGATTACCGCGGATTTCCTAAATTCTCTTTGCTAGCCTGCCTTGGCGAATTTCATATCGTAATCCATTAAATTTGGAATTCCTAAATTTTCTCTGCTAGCCGCCCACTTTTTCTAGCGTAATCGAGTAAACGCCATTTAGGAACCCTCAAAAACTCTCAAAAACCCCGGCAAGCTAGCAGAGACCATTTAGGAACTTTCAAAACCCCTAGCAAGCTAGCGGAGACCATTTAGGAACTTTCAAAACCCCGGCAAGCTAGCAGAGACCATTTAGAAACTCTCATTTCGTTTCCCACATTTCCCAAATGCTCTCTGCCAGCCCGCCCCACCTATTTTCACGTCGTAATCGAGTCATTTTAGTTGGAAGGCCTGGTCCCAGTCGGAGCGCTCCTCTCCTCGGTGCCGCTCCTCAAACAGCTCGTGCTGCCCGCCATTTCGCTCGGTATCCTTCGATGGTCTGTGAAAAGGCTTTTTTTAGAATTGGAAGTGAACGGGACGCCGTACCTGTCCCAAGACGACCTCGCCACCGCCATCAGTGAGATGACGAGGATTCGCGTGTCCGTCATCTCGTCCCTCGATTGTCAGTCGAGTTTTTGAGCTTCCTAAACGGTCTCTGCTAGCGTGCCCGGGATTTTGAGGATTCCTAAATGGCCTCTGCTAGCCTACCTGGGGTTTTGAAAGTTCTTAAAAGGTCTCTGCTAGCCGACCATCTTTTTTACGATTCCTAAACGATCTCTGCTAGATTGCCAGGGTTTTTGAGGGTTCCTAAATGGTCCCTGCTAGCTTGCCAGGGGGGTTCGAAAGTTCCCAAACGGTCTCTGCTAGCCTGCCGGGGTTTTCGAAAATTCCTAAAAGTTCTCTGCTAGCCGACCATCTTTTTTGACGGTTCCTAAACGTTCTCTGCTAGCTTACGAGGGTTTTTTAGAGTTCCTAGATGGTCTCTGCTAGCTTGCCCCGGGTCTTTGAGGGTTCCTAAGGGATCTCTGCCAGCTTGCCCAACCCATTTTTTTGCAGACCAATTCCACGGCGAGCTGTCGCTGTGCTGCGAGCAAGAGCTGTCCTCCCGCGCCGAGCCCCTCCCTCGCCCGCATAATATGGTCATCGTCGGCTCAAGGAAGCAGCCGTTTATCGTACCACCGAAGGTAATTCTCTCTCTCCCCCTCTCTCTCTCTCTCTCTCTCTCTCTCTCTCTCTCGCTTCAAAGAATCTCTGCCAGATGCCCCTTTTTACCCAAACACCGCTTACGCCACGAAAAAATTTATCTTGCTTTATTTTGCGGTCGATTACGCGAACAAAAGTTTTTTCTCTATCTTTCCCTCTCTCTCTCTCTCTCTCTCTCTCTCTCTCTCTCTCTCTCTCTCGCCTCCCTAATCCCCTTTTTCAGACAACCGACGAGCAAATCCCGGCCCCCCGTTGCGAGCTCACCTTCAACGTCCTCTTCCGCGTCGAGGGCGTCTACAAGGTACACTTCCGCAAATCATCTCTGCTAGCCTGTCCCTCACCCCTCTTTTTCTAGGTACGCCCCGTGATCAAGGCCCTGCTGGGGGATCGTCTCCTTCCCGACGAGGTCTTCGCCTCGCCCATCTCGTTCAACGTGTCCTCGTCCAGATAACGGTACTTTACCTTCGCCAAGATAGCTTAGGCTTCGGCTTAGGCTTAGGCTTAGGCTTGGGCTTAGGCTTAGGCTTAGGCTTAGGCTTAGGCTTAGGCTTAGGCTTGGGCTTAGGCTTGGGCTTAGGCTTAGGCTTGGGCCTAGGCTTAGGCTTGGTCTTAGGTTTGGGCTTAAGCTGCTTAGAGCGTAGGCTTTTCAAATCGTACACAGTTTTTTTGTTGTAAAAAACGCCGAAATATTGTAAATTTTTTTGGCAATTTGGGAAAACGCTATGAAATGCGGCGTCGTCTCGGGAAACCGATTACGCCATGAAATCCGCTGAATTTTGCTCATTTTCAGGCTCGCTCGTGCTCCATCTACGCCACCAAGTGCCCGGAGAAAACTGCCTTCCAGACGTATTGCCTTGAATTTCTCTATATCTCTGTCGCCTTCTCTCTCTCTCTCTCTATCTCTCTCTCTCGCTCGTTTTCTCTCGCCCTCTGCCCCGCTCCGCCGAAGCTGTGATATTTCTCCCGTGATTTCCGGATTTTTCTAGAGTTTTTCCCGATTTTTAAAGACCCCGCCCCGCATCCTCAATTTTGCCATAATACTTTCCCCAAAGACTCTCTGCTCAGTGGCCCATTTTTGCGCGCTGTTTTTGTTTGCGTGTTGATTTCCAAACGAAATTCCGGTCGTATCGAGCATTTTCTTGTGTTTTCCGAGAGCTTTTACCCCCGCAATTTTACACGCCCTTTGCCGAATAAATCTGAATTTTTGAGGCGGAAATTGCAGGCTTGCCAAGTCGTACGCTAACCAGGAAATACCGCTTTCGAAAAATGTCGTACTGTATTACAGTGGGGTTTTCCCGGCGAGAGACAACGGACAATAGCCCCTTTTTGCAGTTCTAAGCTTTTAGCTTGTAGGTTTGTTAGTTTCTTAGATTTTTAGTTTTTTGGCTTTTTTAGTTTATTAGATTTTTTGGTTTATTAGAATTTTTAGTTTCTTAGATTTTTCAGCTTTCAGCTTCTTTTTTGTGTGCCATGAAAATAAAGAATGATACGCGCCTTATTTTTTGTACGTTGATACACGTATCTTATACCCGGAGACCAGAGCCCCCTCCTCTTACTCAGTTTTATGCACCAAAAACGTGAAAAAAATTGGCCCCCATACAAATTCTCGAACTAGGGAAAAGACAGAGAACACAGACCCCATCGAGAAGCCGTGCTGCAGCGATTGCCAAAAAACAAGCCAAAATAAATTCGGCTTCTTTCCATGTCGCGGAATCGCCGGAAGTGGAAGCCATCTGACGGGAGCAGGTGGCTGAAAACTCGTAATAAATTGTTCGAAAAATGTCAGTGAGGCGGCAACACCGGATACGATATTAGCGTCGAAAAAGCTTTGGGGTTATGCAGTTTCCGCAAGTTGCCGGGCACACGTTCCTCCCTACAAAACTCGCCACAAACACCCATTTCCGCACCCCGCCGCGGGTTTTCGTTTCTTTTCCGGTAAACTGGTTGCCAGCCAACATTTCAATACCATAAACTTCGCATTTTCCCCGATTCGAAAATGTTTGAATGCTTTTTTAGGGAGTATGGGTCGGCGGCCGATACCTCCAAAGTGCTAGAATTTCGCCATTTTGGCCTCGTGCTAATTTTTATCGATTGGTTTAGCTTTTCTGGCTGAAAACATATCTAAAAATACCCCCAGTAGCTTCCTTGGGTCTTATTTGTGGTTATGCAGTTTTTGAGGCAGCCGGCTCCCGGTTTATATCTTTCCAAAACCGCTGTTAAAACTCATTTTGCTGTTTCTTTTTTTTTCTTCACGTAACTGCGAACTGGCTGCCAGCGAACATTTCAATACCATAAACATGCCTTTTCCGGCTTCTAAAATGTTTTCGAATGCTTGTTTTAGTGAGCCGGGGTCGGCGGCCAATCACTTAAAAACGCTAGGATTTTCGCATTTTGGTCCCGCGCCCTTTTTTATCGATTGTTTTTGGTTTTGTGGATGAAAATACATCATAATATACTCCCGCCGCTTTTTTGGAACTTTATTTGGGGGTTATGCAGTTACCGTAAGTTGCCGGGCGCACGTTCCTCCCTACAAAACTCGCCATAAAAACCCATTTCCGCCTCCCGCCGGGGGTTTTCCTTTCTTTTCCGGCAAACTGGCTGCCAGCCAGCATTTCAATACCATAAACATAGTTTTTTCCTGATTCTGAAATGTTTGAATGCTTATTTTAGTGAGTTTGGCGTCGCGATCACCTAAAAACGTTAGAATTTCTCGGCTTCGGCCTCGCGCTCAATTTTTTCGATTGGTTTGGCTTTTGTGGTTTTGATTGGTTTTAACTCTTTTTTTTTCAGGGTACACCGCGGCGGGTCGGCCAGACGGGTCGGCGCGGCGGCGCGGTGAGCGGCACGGACAGGCGGGACGGCGCGGCGCGGCGACGCGGTTGGAGACCCGGTGGGCGAGACGTGAAGAACAGCGGCTGGCGCGATAAACAGGTTTTTCTTCGTTTCTTTTCAAATATCCTTTTTTTTGGAAATGGACTCTTTCGCGTTTCGCATTTTGCTTTTAGATTTCAAAAAATGAATGAAAAATTGACATTTTGAAATTTGAAAAAAATAAATTGAAAATTGAAATCGCCGTCAGCCTTCGGCTATTTTTGGGCCTAAAAAGTGTATTTTTTTGCTTTCAGATTCGCCGGCCCGAAGTCCGCGGCAGCCCCTCCCTTCGGGATCCAGGATCATCAAGAATGCGCCGGCCGGAGATGGCCTGGAGGTATCGCGAGTTTTAAAGGACTATTAATGGCAATATAGGAGTCGATCAAGCCCCTCCCGAAAACCCGCCACTCGCTCGACTCGAGCACCACCACCGCGCACCGCCGATGACGACAAGCCGGGCGAGATGGACGAGACGCCCGATGATCTACTTGCCGGTGAGGGCGCGTCGGGGAGCGGCTCTTTGATGATGAAGGTATGGGAGTTTTGCATGGTCTTCTTGGAAAATAAAAATACTTGATCACGCGATTCCGCAAATTTTCTCCGCTAGGGTAGACTTAGACGTAGGCCTGGGCTTAGGCTTAGGCTTAGGTTTAGGCTAGGCTTACGCTTGGGCTTACTATTAGGCTTGGGCTTAGCTTAGGCTTAGGCTTCGGCTTAGGCTTAGGTTCGTGCTCCTTTTTCCTAAGTTTTTTGCGATGGGAATTTCGAATTGAATTTGTCGCAAATCAGAATCTCGTCGAAATTTATATGCCGGGAAGGCATCTCTTTTAGACAATTCTAGAAAAGGAAGATGCTTAGGCTTAGGCTAGGCTTAGGCTTGGGCTTAGCCTTAGCTTGGGCTTGGCTTTGGCTTAGTCTTAAGCTTTGAGATTGGGGCTTAAGCGTTGGCAGGGTTCGAAAAAATGGAGGAAAAATTTCCGAATTTGCAACATTACCTGGCGTAATCAGTTTACCGTTTTCTTCTTTCAGGGTCTCGACGTGTAGCGGCATCGGGTCGTCGTCTTGGTCTACTTCTCTACCTGACGCGCCCGATGATCTACTTGCCGGTGAGGGCGCGTCGGGGGTTCGGCTATTTGACTAGGTATGTGAGTTTTGCATGCTCTTCTTGGAAACTAAAAACGCTTTGATCACGCCATCTAAGCAATTCCGCAAATTTTCTCCGCTAGTTTGCCTCTGGTTATCAGTGGTTCTCCGCTAAATTTTAAGCTGGACGTAGGCTTAGTTTTGCAACATTACCTGGCGTAATCAGTTTACCGTTTCCTTCTTTCAGGTTCTGATCGGATCTCGTCTCGGAGGCGGCGACGCTGACACGCCCGATGATCTACTTGCCGGTGAGGGCTTGTCAGGGAGCGGCTCTTTGATGATGAAGGTATGGGAGTTTTGCATGGTCTTCTTGGCAAATAAAAACACTTTGATCACGCCATCTAAGCAATTCCGCAAATTTTCTCCGCTAGTTTGCCTCTGGTTATCAGTGGTTCTCCGCTAAATTTTAAGCTGGACGTAGGCTTAGTTTTGCAACATTACCTGGCGTAATCAGTTTACCGTTTCCTTCTTTCAGGTTCTGATCGGATCTCGTCTCGGAGGCGGCGACGCTGACACGCCCGATGATCTACTTGCCGGTGAGGGCTTGTCAGGGAGCGGCTCTTTGATGATGAAGGTATGGGAGTTTTGCATGGTCTTCTTGGCAAATAAAAACACTTTGATCACGCCATCTAAGCAATTCCGCAAATTTTCTCCGCTAGTTTGCCTCTAGTGGCAGTGGTTCTCCGCTAAATTTTAAGCTAGGCATTCTTAGGTTTGGGCTTAGACTTCGGCTTAGGCTAGGCTAGGCTTCCACTTGGGTTTGGGTTTACTATTAGTTGGACTTAGGCTTAGGTTTGGCGTCGGCTTTGGCTTAGTCTTAAGCTTTGAGACTGGGTTAAGCGTAGGCAGGGTTCGAGAAAATCGACGAAAAATTTCCGAATTTGCAACATTACCTGGCGTAATCAGTTTACCGTTTTCTTCTTTCAGGGCCTTGGCGGCTCGCAGACGAAGGAAGACACGTCCGATGAACTACTGGTCGGGGAGGACGGGTCAGCAGGACGCGGCTCTTGGACAAGGTATGGGAGTTTTGCATGCTCTTCTTGGAAACTAAAAACGCCTGATCACGCCATCTAAGCAATTCCGCAAATTTTCTCCGCTAGTTTGCCTCTAGTAGCAGTGGTTCTCCGCTAAATTTTAAGCTAGGCTTAGGCTTAGACTTAGGCTTAGGCCTAGGCTTAGGTTCAGGCTTACGCTTGGGCGTAGGCTTTTAGGCTTAGACTTAGGTAATACCTGGGGTAATCAGTTTAACGTTTCTTTTTTCAGTGTCGGCGACAACGAGCGGCTGAAGGAGACGGCGTTTTGGCGACGACGGCCGGCTCGAGGGCCCCCACGCGCGTGCCAACCTACTTGCCGGGTTGGCACTTCCCAGCGCATGGTGGGCGAGTTCGAGGTGTGTGGCTGTTGCTTGAACGGCCCGATCGCTAGCGAAAGTTGCTTGAACGCCATCCCGCTGCCTAGTTTTACCGGGGACTATCACTGCTAGCTTTGCTCCACTAGTATTAGGATCGGGCCCTCCAGCAAAATCCCCCCCCCCGCCTGAAAATGCATAATTACTTGCAGCGCGATTCCCCGGAATCTTTCCTAAAGCCATTTTTCCTAGAAACCATCTTTCCTGTAGGCCATTTTGCGCTTGGCAAAATTTTCCCGGGTCCACGACGTTCATTTTTGCGATTTTTTAGGCGGCTAAACTCTAGTTGCAAGCGGAAGTTTCGACTTTTTAGCTGAAAATTTGTGAAATTTCGCTGGTTTTTCGACTAAAACGTTGTGCGTTTGGTATTTTGGTATATTTTACGGCGCGGTAGCTACCTAGATACAAAAAGCGGTGGTAAAATAATGTCTTTATTGCTCCTGGTGACGTTAGAAGTCACTTCTATTAGAAATAAGCAATGGCAAATCAAAACAGCATCGAAAAACTTCAAAATAGCGCGAGAGACGGCGTCTATGTCTTATACTAGCTTCTCTTTTCATCTAAAACTAAATTGCAACATCGAAATTAGCCATTTGTAGAATTATCATAATTGTGCAGGCACCGCTGGGCTATTACACCGCGCAGGCATCATTTTTGGGGATTTTAGATGGGGTTTATTAGGAAAAATGGCTTTAGGGAAAGAGGACGCTCTCGCTACAGCGCAATGTTAACCTCTATACAACTATATAACCTAAAACCTCAAATTCTGATCAAAATTTGCAAAAAATCCGATATTTTGCGATTTTTCTCGTCAAATCTGGGCGAAAAATGTTGGCACGCCGCCCGACGGCTAAACAGTGCTCCCCCGTCAATAGTGTCTAACGGAACAGACGATTTTCAAGATTTTCCCCATTCGAAGCTGTTGACCATATTGCCTCGTGATTTATTCGGCTTTCACGCCCTGTTTGCAGTCGGCGCACGTGTTGCCCGCGTACATTGTAGCCGCGCGTCGGGGCCAACGCCCACGCATGATTTTCATCGAATTTTCGATTCCTAAAGCGTTTGTTAGTGGCGTGGTACTTCCCCCATAATTATGCCGGGTTTTTTTCCTTCATTTGAGGCTTTTGACCGCTATACTTTCTTATAGTTCTTTGTTTTAGATGGAAGATCGAAGGCTGAAGCAGGATTACGTGACTGTCGCCAAATTCCTGTTGACACATCGCGAATTGAATGAAGCCAAATATGCACGCGCATTGGAGATTGCTGGTCTTTTGAACAAGCCCGGATTGCGCTCATTGATGCTGGCAGAGGTTCTTACAGGTACATTTTCCAGGGTGGTGGTTTTAACATCACTTTTTTCAGAGACCCCCGGCGAACGACTTGAAGCTGCGCGCGAATTCGTGGCTCTTCTTCAGCGGCAAGGTCGTAACAACGTCACAAGTATCCAGAACATCAACGAACTGGCTGCGGCTCAGCTTCCGGCTCCCGAACATGTAAGCCATTTCGCTAGATTTTTAAATTCTGATTTAGGACCTTGAACCAGTGGATGAAGTCGCTGAAGATCAGAGTGATGACAGTGCAATTGACGCCTAAATAATTTCAACAATTCCATTATCTCTGTTCGTTGTTATCATATTGTTACACACATCATATTGTTATGTTGATAAAGCAGTGAGATTTCTTCTTTTCGCGTACGGATACACTAGCATACGCTGCTGAACGTATCAAAATTATGGCCGTTTTGATCTACGCGCTGGTCTTCTACTTCTTGGTCTGATTCCTGCTAATGCTACCGATGTTCTGGACCAGTCGATGGAAGCTCGCTCTTGTTCTGGGCCGCGGGTGATGGGAAGAAAACGACATCACGGCCTAGATCCTGTCTTGGAGAGCGCAATGCTCTTGTTGCTTAGACCCGCGCTTACCACCACTTTAGATTCTGAGGCGATTGGTCATCCTAAGCAGTATTGCGGTAGCGCCGTAGGCCCAGCGGATCGTTTATTGCGGCTTTCGAGCTGTATTTTCAGTTTTAGAATGACTTAATGGCGCATTAACGTATATGAAGGCAAAATTGACGTGTTTTTAGTAGTTTTTAAAGCGTTTTTGAGCCATGGGAAGCATATGAAGCTAAAATTGATGTTTTTAGCGGTTTTTAAAGAGTGTTTGGGCCAGGGGCAGGATATGAAGCCAAAATGGAGAGTTTTTTAGTTGTTTTCGAAGCGTTTTTGAGCCATGGGAAGCATATGAAGCTAAAATTGATGTTTTTAGCGGTTTTTAAAGAGTGTTTGGGCCAGGGGCAGGATATGAAGCCAAAATGGAGAGTTTTTTTAGTTGTTTTCGAAGCGTTTTTGAGCCATGGGAAGCATATGAAGCTAAAATTGATGTTTTTAGCGGTTTTTAAAGAGTGTTTGGGCCAGGGCAGGATATGAAGCCAAAATGGAGAGTTTTTTAGTTGTTTTCGAAGCGTTTTTGAGCCATGGGAAGCATATGAAGCTAAAATTGATGTTTTTAGCGGTTTTTAAAGAGTGTTTGGGCCAGGGGCAGGATATGAAGCCAAAATGGAGAGTTTTTTAGTTGTTTTCGAAGCGTTTTTTGAGCCATGGGAAGCATATGAAGCTAAAATTGATGTTTTTAGCGGTTTTTAAAGAGTGTTTGGGCCAGGGCAGGATATGAAGCCAAAATGGAGAGTTTTTTAGTTGTTTTCGAAGCGTTTTTGAGCCATGGGAAGCATATGAAGCTAAAATTGATGTTTTTAGCGGTTTTTAAAGAGTGTTTGGGCCAGGGGCAGGATATGAAGCCAAAATGGAGAGTTTTTTAGTTGTTTTCGAAGCGTTTTTGAGCCATGGGAAGCATATGAAGCTAAAATTGATGTTTTTAGCGGTTTTTAAAGAGTGTTTGGGCCAGGGGCAGGATATGAAGCCAAAATGGAGAGTTTTTTAGTTGTTTTCGAAGCGTTTTTGAGCCATGGGAAGCATATGAAGCTAAAATTGATGTTTTTAGCGGTTTTTAAAGAGTGTTTGGGCCAGGGGCAGGATATGAAGCCAAAATGGAGAGTTTTTTAGTTGTTTTTCGAAGCGTTTTTGAGCCATGGGAAGCATATGAAGCTAAAATTGATGTTTTTAGCGGTTTTTAAAGAGTGTTTGGGCCAGGGGCAGGATATGAAGCCAAAATGGAGAGTTTTTTAGTTGTTTTCGAAGCGTTTTTGAGCCATGGGAAGCATATGAAGCTAAAATTGATGTTTTTAGCGGTTTTTAAAGAGTGTTTGGGCCAGGGGCAGGATATGAAGCCAAAATGGAGAGTTTTTTAGTTGTTTTTGAAGCGTTTATGGGCCAGGGAAAGATATGAGGCCAGAATTGATGTGTCGTGGGTGCCTTCTTAGTCTCAGGTAGTGATGGTATTATTCAAATCTCAAATCTAATTTGCATCCGCCTAATAAAATCTGCCGATTTGCTTTGAATAAGGTTTCAGCACATCAAATCAAATCGATTTGATTTGGACTTTCGAGGTTGAGTTCGAATTTGAAGATTTGAACGAGGATTTGAAAGGAGTCGGTAAAATCAATAGCTCATTACGCGGATGCTAATTTTATGATGGCATGCATAATCAAGATCATTTCCGGTTCGCGGCAGCTCGGGCCATAGCGATTTTCTTATGTTTTGCATGCCAACATCTCCAGAGAGGGCCAGGGCTGTTTACGGACGGGCCGGGCCAGCCCGGGACGGGCCGGACGGGCTGACTACCCAATTTGCATAAAATTAGCGGACGGGCTGGGACGGGCTGGGGAGCGGGCTGGACGGGCCGGGCTGAGCGGGCTGGAGCGGGCTGGGGTTATGCAAATCTGCTATGTTAATCATCCCGGGGTAAATTAACACAGAGAAGGCAATGTGATCAGATGGCGTTTTATGCCCTTGTTCAGGGACGTAGCCAGAAAAAAAGGCAGCAAAATTTTTGAGAAAATAAAAATCATAAGGGTCCCCCTTATGAAATTTCCGGGCCCCGGCCGATTTCGGGGGGGGCGGGCCCCGGGGCCAGGGGGCCCACCTTACGCTACGTCCCTGCCCTTGTTTAATAAAGATTTATGGGATGTTTATTGTTTTCAGGTGAGCCGGACTCTCATTTTGGTGTTGTGGGGGGAGAGAGCCAAGTTTTATTTTTATTTTTATTTCATTGATCTGTTAAAGATACAGGTGTATTGTTACGCTAATTTTAGTGGTTTTTGATTGCTTTAACTAACAACAACAATCGTACAAATTTTTGAAAATTGGCTAATTTAGACTTTTTTGGTAATTTTTCATAGTTTTTGACCAAAATAAATCAAAAATTTGCAAAAATTTGATAATTTTTTGCCGCAGGTTTATATTTAGAAAGTGTACAATACTATGAAAATAGTTTCTATTTCCCCGCGCTAGGCTCTTGCCTCATCCTTGGATGTAATTAACATAGCAGATTTGCATAACCCCAGCCCGCTTCAGCCCGCTCAGCCCGGCCCGTCCAGCCCGCTCCCCAGCCCGTCCCAGCCCGTCCGCTAATTTTATGCAAATTGAGTAGTCAGCCCGTCCGGCCCGTCCGGCCCCGGACGCCCGCGGGCCGGGCTCGAAATGACCAACCCTGGAGAGGGCTGACCCGTAAAGCCGTATCCCAATGAGGGTTACCAGTGCAAGCAGCCGGCACGCCTCATGGCGCCGGCGTGCCGCGCTTGTGGTGATGGGAAATCCACTTTTGGCGACGGGCCGCGAAGTAAGGTAAAGATATTGGGGCGGACCGTCCGCTGGTATAAATGCACGGCATATGCATTGAACACTACAGATGGTTTTTAGCGGTTTTTAAAGTGCTTGGGCTTCATGAGTCGATTAGACTATTGAAATGGGCTACAAAGCTATTGTGCGGATCGATTACGCAACGAAAACAGGACAAAAAAAATCGATCGATTATGACGGGAAAATCCGCAAAAATAATCTATTACGTTGGGAAAATCAGCAAAACAAACGGTCAGGCTAGGACTCTCCCAAAAATCGATCTTTTTCGCCATGAAAAACCCTCGGAAAAACCGATTACACCATGAAATAGGAGTTTACAATAGATTCCGCCATGAAAATGGGGCCGTCCAGTCGATTACGCTATGAAAATGGAGCTCTCGAATTGCTTACGCCATGAAAATAAGCTTTTTACAATCGATTACGTCATGAAACGCTAAGATTTAGATGTCTTTCAAGAGGCACAAAATTTATGTAAAATCGTTTAACATTAACGATAAAGGTAAAAAAATACAAATAGCAGCATGATCCATCAAATCGCATTTATATGGCGTCATCGATTGGACGGGGGCCACAGACATCGCAATGCCGGCATCGTTTCATTGCGGATTCGCTGAAGAAAAATGCGTACACATAATCGCTTTTACACATGAATTCAGCGTCCAAAACCCTGGCCAAGTGGTTAGTGGTCGCGCTTGCCAAGCTGGGGACCCGGGTTCGACTCCCGGCCATGGCAAGGTTTATCTTTTGGCTGTGATCAGAGAGCCCCAAAGCTAGAGAGAGAGAGCGAGAGAGAGAGAGCGCCAGAGATAGAGAGAGAGCGAGAGAGAGCCAGAGATATACAGGGTGGGTCATAAAAAAGCCAAATTTTCGCCAGCATATCGTTTGAACGAAGACGAATTGAAGGTACATTACCATGATTATCAGACTTCTATTGGCTATCAGAATCTCGAAAGTTCAGAATCTCGAAAATCAGACCCCCGCCCTCGGCCGCGGCAGATCTTTTGATTTTGCTCGAAACTTTTAGAAGCGGCTAATTGACGGTCAGGAAGCGAGAGAGAGCGAGAGAGAGAGAGAGAGAGAGAGAGGGAGAGGGAGAGGGAGAGGGAGAGAGGAGCGAGAGAGAGAAACGTACCGTATCCGACTGTAATATCTGTGCGTAGACCTGCCACGACGACCCGTAGTTCTGGGCTATAATCAAATTGGCCGTGGTGGGAGTGCGTGAGCGGCTGTAGTACATCCATAGACTCGGCAGATTGGCTTGGTACAGCTGGAAATGAACAAGCTCTTACTCTCTCTCTCTCTCCCTCTCTCTCTCTCTCTCACTCTCTCACTATCTCTCTCTCGTTACCTGTATGTCATTAAGCTGGGATCGATCCATCATCGCACACACTTCCCTCATCAGTTTTTCATATGCAACGCTCAATTCAGGCATTTCAACCTGAAAAACGGGCAGGCTAGCAGAGATTCTTTGAGGAATTGGAGGGGCAGGCTAGCAGAGATTCTTTGAGGAATTGGAGGGGCAGGCTAGCAGAGATTCTTTGAGGAATTGGAGGGGCAGGCTAGCAGAGATTCTTTGAGGAATTGGAGGGGCAGGCTAGCAGAGATTCTTTGAGGAATTGGAGGGGCAGGCTAGCAGAGATTCTTTGAGGAATTGGAGGGGCAGGCTAGCAGAGATTCTTTGAGGAATTGGAGGGGCAGGCTAGCAGAGATTCTTTGAGGAATTGGAGGGGCAGGCTAGCAGAGATTCTTTGAGGAATTGGAGGGGCAGGCTAGCAGAGATTCTTTGAGGAATTGGAGGGGCAGGCTAGCAGAGATTCTTTGAGAATTGGAGGGCAGGCTAGCAGAGATTCTTTGAGGAATTGGAGGGGCAGGCTAGCAGAGATTCTTTGAGGAATGGAGGGGCAGGCTAGCAGAGATTCTTTGAGGAATTGGAGGGGCAGGCTAGCAGAGATTCTTTGAGGAATTGGAGGGGCAGGCTAGCAGAGATTCTTTGAGGAATTGGAGGGGCAGGCTAGCAGAGATTCTTTGAGGAATTGGAGGGGGCAGGCTAGCAGAGATTCTTTGAGGAATTGGAGGGGCAGGCTAGCAGAGATTCTTTGAGGAATTGGAGGGGCAGGCTAGCAGAGATTCTTTGAGGAATTGGAGGGGCAGGCTAGCAGAGATTCTTTGAGGAATTGGAGGGGCAGGCTAGCAGAGATTCTTTGAGGAATTGGAGGGGCAGGCTAGCAGAGATTCTTTGAGGAATTGGAGGGGCAGGCTAGCAGAGATTCTTTGAGGAATTGGAGGGGCAGGCTAGCAGAGATTCTTTGAGGAATTGGAGGGGCAGGCTAGCAGAGATTCTTTGAGGAATTGGAGGGGCAGGCTAGCAGAGATTCTTTGAGGAATTGGAGGGGCAGGCTAGCAGAGATTCTTTGAGGAATTGGAGGGGCAGGCTAGCAGAGATTCTTTGAGGAATTGGAGGGGCAGGCTAGCAGAGATTCTTTGAGGAATTGGAGGGGCAGGCTAGCAGAGATTCTTTGAGGAATTGGAGGGGCAGGCTAGCAGAGATTCTTTGAGGAATTGGAGGGGCAGGCTAGCAGAGATTCTTTGAGGAATTGGAGGGGCAGGCTAGCAGAGATTCTTTGAGGAATTGGAAGGGCAGGCTAGCAGAGATTCTTTGGGGAATTGGAAGGGCAGGCTAGCAGAGATTCTTTGGGGAATTGGAAGGGCAGGCTGGCAGAGATTCTTTGAGGAATTGGAGGGGCAGGCTAGCAGAGATTCTTTGAGGAATTGGAGGGGCAGGCTAGCAGAGATTCTTTGGGGAATTGGAGGGGCAGGCTGGCAGAGATTCTTCGAGGAATTGGAGGGGCAGGCTAGCAGAGATTCTTTGCATTCTTTAGAGGGGCAAAGATACACGAAATTTCTTTCCAAACCCGCGGCGGTCTGGCTCCGTATGGCAGAATCGCCGTGACGAAAGTCTGAATATCGATGATGACGAGACGACGTCCATCTGCTGTCTCGGATCTTGGCTGTAGTTTGTTTGTCTATAGATATCTCTCTGGGTGTAGATTACCGCTTTGATGATTTGTTCGAGAAGTGGCGGAATGGTGGGAAGAGATTCGATGCACTCCGCCTCGTTATTGTAGCACTGCATCAGACGCACCACCGGGCAGTTGATTAGCTGTAGTGAGAGTGAGAGCGAGAGAGTGCGTGAGAGAGAGAGAGAGAGAGAGAGAGAGAAAGCGAGGGCGTTAGATAAAACAAAGTTAAGCGAATTTTCCTAACGTAAATGGTGCGAAAACCCGTGGCGAAGTGGTTAGTGGCCCCGCCCGCCAATCTGACGACCCGGGTTCGACTGGGCCAGCCTTTTGCTTTTGGCCTCAAACTTTCCGGATCCTCTATCTGGCAGCCAGTCAAGCGAGTAGGAGTAAAGAATGAGTGTTTGGATGCAGTTTTACCTTCTGGAATGCGTCCAAGTAGACCTCGAGATAGTCGCCAGGCCGGGGACCACTCGAGCCAAGATACGCCTGATCGGGCTTCAGCCCCGGCCATATCCATGAGTCCATCTCGAAATATCTAAAAGTTGCGAATTTATGGCGTAATCAATTCGAGAGCCATATTTTGATGGCATAATCGACTTTCTCCCTCCTTCTCCCTCCCTCTCTCTCTCTCTCTCTCTCTCTCTCTCTCTCTCTCTCTCTCACTCTCTCACCTCTCTCCGACGGCCAACCCGGCACCGAATTCGGGGTGTATGGCCAGGTTTCCGCGGCGAAGCATTGGCAATGTGGTGAACGGCGGCGAGGCCTAGGTTGCAAGGATTATTGATCGAACAGGTGCCGCTGCTATACCTCAGCCGGGTAGAATTCGCGACATCGGACACGGCGCGTCAATCTGTCGAGCAGGCGCAATTGGGCCGGGCTCCCCGCCGGCATTCTATAGACAGGGGAGGGTGTAGAGCCACAGCAACCAATTTTCGAAAAGCCAGTCAGCACCCCAAAAAAGCCGTGCCCCAAATGGTTAGCGGCCCGGCCGCGGCTGACTTCTTATTTTTTTTTTGGCTGCAAGCTCTCAGATTCGGAGGGAGAGAGAGAGAAAGAGGGGAGAGAGAGAGAGAGAGAGAGAGAGAGAGAGAGAGAGAGAAAGAGAGGGGGGAGAGAGAGCGAGACAGAGACAGCGAGAGATATAGAGTAAGAGATGAGATATCGATATCCCGTACCTGAGGGCAATTTCCTTCGTGTAGTGACCCTTCCCCTGAGGCGTGTCGATCGGCCTGGACGCGTCGCTGTAGCTGCACGCAAAGTCAGGGTAGATGGCCCCGCGTTTGTCGCGTGTAATGGAGATGATGATCCATGGTAGATGGCGTTGATCGACGGTCCCATCGGCAATATGCACCCGAATTCCGGTGTTCACGTCATCCGGCCATGGCTGCCAACGTATCGTATTTCTTTATATTCCAAAATTTTCGTAATTAAAGTGATCTAAGTAATTTTTCGCGAAACTTTTATAACACTAACAAGGCGACGTTTTTGAGTGTCGTCGGGACTTTGACATGGGACTAAGCCTATTTTGTGCAAAATTTTACGCTGATTCCGAATATGGTAACCGTTTTTGCGGAATAGCCATTTCTGGAATGTTATGAACGATTTAAACCTCAAAACAGCACAAAATCGGCTACTTCCGATAGTCATAAAAGGCTTCGGAATAGGTTTTAGACAAAACCAGATAGTGCATCTTGTTCAGAAAAAAATTCTCTATAAAATGTACCATCTTTTCCAAAATCATTCAAAAGTTAGAAAAATTTGATAATTTATTTGATTTTGACCCCTAATTTTACAAAAATTTTGAAAATTCCAACATTTTTGAGTTAAGCAACTTATTTTATAGAGAATTTTTTTCTGAACAAGATGCACTATCTGGTTTTGTCTAAAACCTATACCGAAGCCTTTTATGACTATTGGAAGTAGCCGATTTTGGGCTGTTTTGTGGTTTAAATCGTTCATAACTTTCGAGAAATCGCTATTACGCCAAAACGGTTACCATATTCGGGATCAGCGTAAAATTTTGCACAAAATAGGCTTACAAGGAGTCGTTTTTAGGTGATATTGGAGTTTTTGAACGAGGCCTAGCTAGTTCGATAGAGAAAAAAATTCTGAACAAGATTTCGTTTTCCAAATCTGCTAACCGTGTACGCTGTTCAATAAAAATTAATTTGAAAATCATTATTCTAACCATCATTTTCCGCCTGATCCGCAGATTCTGCGCTTTGGGTGCGCGTCAACATAGCCCCCTTTAGGCCTCCCTCCAGCCATGACCAGCTGGCCTATTGGTAGTGAGCTTGCTTCATAAGTTTTTGTCTTTTTTGCCAGCGGGTTCGACTCCTCGCTAGTAAAACTCTTTTGCTTTTTGCTCGATAATGCCAAATTCGATTTGAATGGCATGAAAAACCAAAAAGCAAGACAATAAATCACAATAAGTTCCGAACCCTGGGCATAATTTTGCAAAAGTTTGATAGGCGCCGGCACTATCCACTAGGCCACGATCTCATGCGGATGCTGGTTCGCGCTGTGGGCTATGTCCCGGGCCTGATCCATGGGTCGCAGCCTGACGTCCGGGAATTTTTTCATTAAAATTAATTTTTATTGAACAGCGTACACGGTTAGCAGATTTGGAAAACGACATCTTGTTCAAAATTATTTTTTCTATCGAACTAGCTAGGTCTCGTTCAAAAACTCCAATATCACCTAAAAACGACTCCTTGTTAGTCCCAGGCCTAAATCCCGACGACACTCAAAAACGTCTCCTTGTAAGCCGAAGCCCAGGCTGAAGCTAAACTAATTTTAAAGGCGCTGGGACAGATGGCCGGGTTTTTTTCAACAAGATTCAGTAAAATTTAGCCATCTTGCAACTGGAAAAACAGCCAGAAAAATTGCAAAATTGCAAAATGTTGCTGAAAAATCTGCCATTATTTTGAGATGCAAATTCGAAAGCTTGAAGATCGGTTCTATGACAGCTGGAAGAGTTGTTGAAAACCTGAGCGAATTACCCCCTGGGTGTGGCAGCGCATTTTCTGGTATCGTCCGTCACAGAGGAAGTCTTCGGCGGCCAACGTCGAAAATAGCTGCAATAAATTTCGGGGGTAACTATAGCATAAATTTATAGCCCGCCAGCTACAGTAATCTTCGAGATACCACGAAAATAAACGTTATTATCCGTTTTTCATATGGTTTTCGTCGACATCGACCCTTCGAATACTAAGTGAAAATGAAGCGGCAAGCCTGCTTTACCCCTAGAGATTTTTTTGCTGATAAAAGTTAGCGAAATAACCGTTGATTTCAACAATTTTTGTAACGCAAACCCACCACCGATATTAAGCAAAAAAGCGAACCGGAAGTCGATGCAAATCGATGTAAATTCCAAAAAGAACTGTTAAGAACCGCGTAAAAAAAAGTCTTTTTGCTATAACTTGACCACCACTATCCAACTCAAAAATTTGGCAAAAAAAATTGACGATACTTGGGGATGGGGCCCTTTTTCTGGGCCCGAACAAACCCACCCTCAGAATTGGCTGAAAATTCGCACACAAATAGAATCGACCACGCTGAGCATCACCCCCGTTCTCCGACTTCGCCACTGACCCACAAAACTCGAGCTAATGACGTTTTAGTGTCAGTTTTCGCACCCGTTGGCCATAGATTTGCTTTTCAAAAATCGGCCGGGAAGATCAAAAATAAAGGTGTGAATTCGAAGTGTGAAGTTTTTGACTTTTGAAAAGAGTCACTTTCAAAGTGACAGTGACGGTTTAAAGATCAGTAGCAAATTTGGAGAACGAGGTGATGCTCAGCGCGGTCGATTCTATCCGTGTGCAAATGTTCAGACAATTCTGAGTCCGGGTTCGTTCGGGCTCCCCGAGTTTGATCCAGGCTTTTGCGTTATTGAAACTAGGCGGAAAGTTGGAAAAACGAATGCTGACCTGGTTGGCGCGGCGTAAGCGGAGCTTGACACCAAATTCTAGATGGTCATGGACAAGTCGCTGTAGACGATCTGGCAATTTGGCATACTCAAAATGGACGGCAACCATCATCTAAAAGCCTATCGAGAAGTGTGTGGGAGAGAAAGAGAGAGAGAGAGAGAGAGAGAGAGAGAGAGACACACAACGCTACTAGCGAAGCAATCCACCGTCTATTTGAATTGGCCCCCAAATGACCCTCTCCCTTCCGAACGGCCCCTCAGGCATCAAGGCCCCGCCCACTTTTCCCGCTTTTCCCGCAAACGTCTGTGGCGCTCTCTCTCTCTCTCTCTCTCTCTCTCTCTCTCTCTCTTGACCATTTTCACACACACACACACACACGGCAATGTTGATTTTACGCTGGTTTTGATAATTAACATACGACGTTCTGAAATCCTTTTTTGAAAGAAACGTTTGGCAATCAGACCCTTCCGCAACTTGCGAAAACATATTCGGAATCAGCGCGAAATTCCGCACAAGACAGGCTGGGGGTCCCCCGAATCGAATTCCCCGCCTTGGTGAAAACACTTTAAAGCCATGTGACATTTTGGCCAAAAATCGGCCATATCGCCGAAATCGATAACTTTTGTATTTTTTTAGTCAAATCTGTAAAGTTCGGATGGTTGGCGTGCAATTTGCGTATGCGAAATTGCCGGATAGTGTGCAGCGTCTCGTCCACGATCATCTAGAGTTTCGGGACAAGCGCCGTCTGCGAAGAACCACCCAGGTAGACCATCAATGACCATCCACCCTCCCCCCCCCTCTACTATTTCGTTGCGTAATCGGTGCAAGGCTAGATTCTAGGAGCGGCGATCGGCTTCCTGGCTGCCAGTTACTCGAGACCGCAAGTTGGAGCAAAAAGCAAAAGCCCCTACGCGGCGGGGAGTCGAACCCGGGTCACCAGATTGGCAGCCGCCGCTAGTCACTTGGCCAAATGCCGGGGCGTTTTTCCTGGCCGCCATTTGGAACAAAATTCTGGCGCACCATGCCGGTTCTGCGCAGCCTTTTTCCACGCAATTGCAGCGATTTGCGAGATTGCCGGCCGCGGCGTTCCTCATCGACGGGCGCTACGAGAATATTCGCTGCCGCACCGAGCCGGTAAGCCATTTACAAGGGTTTTTTTGCGGTCTGTGCAGTCGTCTTTGCTAATTTTTGCGGTTCTTTCGCATTAACGGGGGGGGGGGGCGGAAGGAGGAAACGGGGATGGGTCAGCAACTCGAAAATTAGACTCGTAGATGGTTTTTTTTCCCGATTCCTAAGCGTCAAATCTGTACAAAATTTTAGGGAAAATGCCAAAACTCTCGATTTTTCGACGAAAAATGGCCGATTTTTGGCCAACTTTTTGTCCTAGAGTTTCTTAACAAATAGCGTATACGTCTGCGTATTGTTTTGCCCGATCCGCGGGTATAAAAAGGTGACACATTTTATTCAAAAAAAAAATGATATTAGGCCGAAAAATTGAGTTGTTTCGTCCCGAAATGATCAAATTTTCGACCTGGCCAAACGATTTTCAAACTTTTTTTTGACAGTTTTTCGACTCTAAGTGTAGTTGAAAACGTATTAAACACAATGTAGAAACACTTGATATCCAATTAAGGACCGCCAGGGAAAAAGTTGGTCCCCCCCCCCGATAATGCGAAAGAACCGGATTTTATAAGCACATTTGTTTACAGTCATTTCCGGGCGGGATCCAACGGGACGCCGGCATGCTGCTGTTCATTTTTAATGGGACACCCGAGTTGCCATCAATTAGCGTCAGCGTTTCGCTCGACAGGGAAGGAACTATAGACCGAGACTTTTCATTGGCATACAGCGAAACCCGCTCGGTCGATGCCCCACCAGGAGAGGATTCCTACGAGCGGAACATTACCCTCAGGTAATTCTCACGATCTCTCTCTCTCTCTCTCCCGCTCTCTCCCGCTCTCTCTCTCTCTTTCTCTCTCCCGCTCTCTCCCGCTCTCTCTCTCCCGCTCTCTCTCTCCCGCTCTCCCGCTCTCTCTCTTTCTCTCTCCGCTCTCTCTCTTTCTCTCTCTCTCCCGCTCTCTCCCGCTCTCTCTCGCGCTCTCTCGCGCTCTCTCTCTATCCCTCTCTATCCCTCTCTATCGCTTTCTCTCTCCCGCTCTCTCTCACCCTCTATTTTTCCGGGTTGTCTCGCCGGCTAAGCCTCCCCTTTTTGTTGTAGAATGCCCGGAGGCAGCGATGCGCAATCTCGATTGCTCGACAAATTGACGCGTGGCGTTCGATGTCGTGAATTCTACCCGGCACAGGTATGTGGAAGGCGGAGGGATTCCGGAATGTTTTTGGTACCTTAGGCTCCACCGCAACTTACCGCGTTGCCCATGTTTTGTCGCGGGAATCTGGCAATACATCCGGAATTGGGGCCTGAGACTAGGTTGGGAGAGAGGTGAGCGAGAGAGAGAGAGAGAGGGACAGAGAGAGAGAGAGAGAGAGAGAGAGAGAGAGAGGGGTGTGCGAGAGAGAATTTACAGGTATTTCGAGATGGATTCTTGGATGTGGCCTGGATTGAAGCCCGATCAGGTAGACGGTCCTCAATTAGCTGTCGTGCACCGTTAGGGAACGTCGAGCAAAGGAAGACAACTTTTCAGGCGTATCTCTTCTCGCGAGATCTACGACCCGAAGAATATCTCGACATCTATTTGGATGCATTCCAAAAGGTAGGGCCTCTCTCACACCCTCTCTCGCTCTCTCTCACTCTCTCGCTCTCTCACACCCTATCTCGCTCTATCTCACTCTCTCGCTCTCTCACACCCTATCTCGCTCTATCTCACTCTCTCTCGCTCTATCTCGCTCTCTCTCACTCACTCTCGCTCTCTCTCACTCTCTCGCTCTCTCTCACTCTTTCGCTCTCTCTCACTCTCTCGCTCTCTCTCACTCTCTCTCACTCATTCTCGCTCTCTCTCACTCTCTCTCGCTCTCTCTCACTCTCTCTCGCTCTCTCTCACTCTATCTCGCTCTCTCTCACTCTCTCTCGCTCTCTCTGACTCTCTCTCTCTCGATCTCTCTCTCTGTCTCTCTCACTCTCGCTCTCTCTCCCTCCCTCTCACTCTCTCTCTCTCTCTCTCTCTCTCTCTCTCTCTCTGGCTTTCTGACTGCCGGATAGCCAATTCCAAAATTTGGAGCAATAAGCAAAATCGTTGCGAGGCCGGGAGTCGAACCCGGGTGGTCAGATTGGCGGGCCGGCCCACTAACCACTTGACCACCGGTTTCGGTTGTGCTATTTTTTCTGTTTTTCAGTTGATCAACTGCCCGGTGGTGCGTCTGATGCAATGCTATGAAAATGAGGCGGAATGTATCGACGCTCTTCCGACCATTCAGCAACTATTCGAAGCTATTATTCAAGCGGTAGGCCGGCTGATAATTTGTCGATCAAGACGAGAGATTATAGCCGAGGATCGAGAGGGAAGATGGACGTCGTCTGGTCATTGTTTAGGACGGGCCAGGCTTGGCCTTGAAGGGCTAGGCGAGGCTTAGGATTAGAGCGGGCTTAGGCTTAGGCTTGGGCTTGGGCTTAGGCTTAGGCTAGGCTTAGGCTTGGAGGCAGGCAGGCTTAGGCTTGCCAGGCTGGGCTTAGGCTTGGGCTTAGGCTTGCAGGCTTGGGCTTGGGATTGGGCAGCCTTGGGCTTAGGCTTAGGGCTTGGGATTGGTGCAGGCTTGGGCTTAGGCTTGGAAGCAGGCTTCAGGCTTGAGGCTTGGGCTAGGCTTGGGCTAGGCTTAGGCTTGGGCTTGGAAGCAGGCTTAGGCAGGCAGGCAGGCAGGCTTAGGCTTAGGGTTGGGCATAAGCTTAGGCTTAGGCCGATTTTCGACCAAAATTTCGCCAAAAAACCCGCCTTTAGGCGGCTTTTTATTGTTTTGCACCTAGAATCTAGTCAAACTGCACCAAAAACTTGATTAGGGGTTCTTATTAATTATTACGATTACCGGCAAGCCATCAGAAACTAGCAAAAAAATGACCAGGTGGATATGCCCGAGCTGGCTGCCAGATATGCAACAATGATGAAGGCTGTACGTGCGGTGATGGACAGTCGACAGCCAAATGATGTTCCGGTAACAAGATAGGGAGAGCGAGAGGAAGAGAAAGAGAGAGAGAGAAGAGAGAGAGAGAGAGAGAAATCATTGCTATTTCCAGCTGTACCAAGCCGATCTGCCAAGCCCTCGGATCTACTACACCGTCCCTCGCACTCCAACCACGGCCAATTTGATTATAGCCCAGAACTACGCGTCGCCATGGCAGGTCTACGCACAAATATTACAGTCGAATACGGTACGTTTCTCTCTCTCTCTCTCTCTCTCTCTCTCTCTCTCGCTCTCTCTCTCTCTCGCTTCCTGACCGCCAATTAGCCGCTTCTAAAAGTTTCGAGCAAAAGCAAAAAGTCTGCCGCGGCCGGGGTTGAACCCGGGTCGTCAAATTTGAAGGCAAGTCTACTAACCACTTGGCCACGATGGTCGGCACCAATTCCTTTGATCAATTGATTCTTTGCGTTTTTTTTTTGCTCATTCCCATCCCTTATTTTCCTTCAGAGGGACCGCAATGAAACGATGCCGCCACTACGCCGCCTGTGGCCACGCCCAACCGATGACGCCATGTAAATGAGCATTGACGGGCCATGCTGTGATTTCCATTTGTTGTTTTTATCGTTAATGTTAAGCGATTTTGCATAAATTTTGAACCTCCTGAAACGCATACAAATCACCGAGTTTCATGACGTAATCGATTGTAAAAAGCCTATTTTCGGGGACGGAATCTGCTTTCTCTTCTTTTTGGCGCATGAAGTTGGCCGGCGGCCGACCTACCGTACCGTACCTCCCCCCCAGGGATCCGGGCCGCCTGGCTCTTTCTGAGGCTCGTGTTGATTACAAATCTGCTTCTCGCCCCGAATTTCCGGTCGAATCGCCAAAAAAACGCATCTCGCGATTGCCGGAATACGGTACTTTTTGTGTTTTCCATAGGGCAGGCTAGCGGGGATTCTTGGGGAATTGGAGGGGCAGGCTAGCAGAGGTCCTTGCGGAAATGGAGGGCAGGCCAGCAGAGATCCTTGCGGAAATGGAGGGGCAGGCTGGCAGGGATTCTTTGATCGTCGACTCCCAAAATTACCACCTGCCCCCCCCGTGATTACCGCTCAGCACCGTGTGGTTACGGTAGTCTAGCCATCGTGGAATATGGTTGCTAAGAGACGGCTATTTGAGTGACCAACGGGGGGGGGGGGATCCGGGCCACAGGGGGTATAATCCCTTGATTGGCCCCTCAAAGGGGTTTCCAGAGCGCGCAGGTGTAGCTAGCACACAAGCGTAGTGCCTGGGGCCAGCTAGCAGAAATTGTTTGGGGAGCTGGAGGGCAGGTTGGGCTTTGGCTTGGCTTAGGCTTGGCTTAGGCTTGGGCTTGACTTAAGCTTGACTTAGGCCTAGGCTTAGGCTTAGGCAGGCTAGCAGAGATTCTTCAGGAGCGGAAACCGTCTATTTCCCTGGCCTAATCGTGTGTCTTGTAGTCTATAGCCGCCCATTGGCATCCGGCCAGCCCGGCAGGGGGGAGAGTGAGAGGCCGGGAAACGGGAGAGTCCAGTGAAATCAGGGGGATAGACGGGGCGCCATGCCAAGGGGAGGCGGAGCTTGCGGGAGAGAGAGAGAGAGAGAGAGAGAGGCTGGGAGAGAGACTGGGAGTGGGGGGGGTCCTGTCCCGGCACTCGGTCCTTTGGCGCGCACATTCATTCCCACCCCCTCCCCCGGCCAGCCAGCCAGCCAGCAGCAGCAGCTCTCTCTGCTCTGCGTCTCTCTCTCTCTCTCTCTCTCTCTCTCTCTCTCTCGCCTTTTTCTGTGCTTTTTTTGGGGGGCGCCGCAGCACACACACAGAGCGAGCGATAGACGAACGAATTTTTTGACGCCGCCCCGGCCAGGACTGTCGCTTTTCGCCCGGTGAATTTTTGAAGGCTTTCCCTGGCCTTTCTGCCGCTTTTTGACGGTTTTCAAGATCGAGGAGATTTTTGGCGATTTTCTAGCGATTGCGAAATCGCGTTTTTTCGATTGCGGGCTTCTATCGCCCTTTAAAAGGGATTTTTTGACGAATTCCTGTATTTTCTGGGCATCTTTGACCATTTTGAGGCCCTGGCAATTCTCCACCGATTGCGAAATCGCTTTTATTTTGGATTTTGGGCTTTTCCGCTCCTTTAAAAGATGGAGATACCGAGTTTTAACGATTTTAATTACGTTTTTGGGGGCTTTTCTACGGCTTTCCACGGTAGATTTTCGACTTCTGCGGTCCTTTAAAGGGCGCACGAGAATTTCTTGCCGATTTCTACGGATTTCTAGCCCTGCCGCGTCATTTGGAGCATTGCGAAATCGCGACACCTAGCGGCGATTGTTTATAATTTTTTTCTGACGTTCCTGGCAGGAATTCTAGAAAATTTGGGTTTCCTAAAGAATCCCTGCTAGTTGGCCCCCGAGAATCGGGAAACGCCGAAATCCCGACAGCAAAAAAACCCGAAAACTAAAATGCCGACAACGAAAATTCGGAAAACGAAATCCCGACAGCTAAAATACCGACATCTAAAAGATTTACTAGTACCCGTAGAACTCGAAATTTCTGTTGTCGGGATTTTGCCTTGTCGGCATCCCCCAAAATCCCATAATCCCAAATTCCGTCCTAAAAGATCTCTGCTAGCCTGCCCCTTTGCCCGCTTTGTCCCGGATCCATCTCCGCGGATTTCACGAAAGAAAGGGCCGTTCCTCCTCCCCCTGCCCCCCCAAATCCCTCCGTTTTTCCGTCGTCCGTTCTTTGTCCACGCGCGGAATGGCGCGTCCCTTTTTTTGGAGCGCTCTGACAAAGACGGGATGCCCTTTCCCCCCGATTTTCGGAGGCATGCTAGCAGAGATTCTTTGAGAAATGGGGACATTAGAGTTGGCTTCGGCTTAGGCTTAGGCTTCATGTGAGCAACCAATCAACAACCAGCAGAGATTTTTGAGGATTTGTCACGGCAAGCATGCAGGATGTTTTCAAGATTTTCCGGGGCCGGCTAGCAGCGACCCTTGGGGGAATGAGGAGGTGTAGCAAAGATTGTTGAGGAATTACGGGGTAGGCTAGCAGGGCTTCGTGACGATTTTAGGGGACGTAGCACGGATCATTGCGGATTTTGACGAAGCACTAGCAGGGATTCTTAGGGATTTTCGAAGGCCAGCTGGCGGAGATCATTGCGGAATCGAGGGGCAAGCTAGCAGAGATTCTTTGAGACCCATTCTCTAGAAATCGCGCGAACGGCTGGGGCGATTGGCGGGAGTTGTGTTCCCCTAGGCTACAAACTACACCGGCACTCCCCCCTCGACCCGGGCGGCCCCCACTTTTTATGATGACGTTTGCTAAGGCGGGAGTCTATTTTCTTTTGAATTTACAGCGTTTTTAATGCAAATTTTTGCTTAGGCTTGGCTTAGGCTTAGGCTTAAGCTTAGGCTTAGGCTTAGGCTTAGGCTTAGGCTTAGGCTTAGGCTTAGGCTTAGGCTTAGGCTTAGGCTTAGGCTTAGAGTTAGGCTTAGGGTTAGGCTTAGGCTTAGGGTTAGGCTTAGGCTTAGGCTTAGGGTTAGGCTTAGGCTTAGGCTTAGGCTTAGGCTTAGGCTTAGGTTAGGCTTAGGCTTAGGCTTAGAGGTCGACCATGGAAATTGGCCATATCGATAGGCTTACCCAATTTTTTTTTTCGGTTTCGCGAGAAGTCGAGGATTTTAGCGCTCTCCTGGACACAGTTTTTTTCTAAACATTTTCCGGTTGCTTAATTTGTTATAACAATTCCTATAAAGTAAAATTTTGATACCTATAGACGTCAATTTCAGCACATTTTTTGGTTCCAGACGTTTTGGCGCTCATTTTCAGCCCCGCTGAAGCTTTTCGGCCCATTTTTTCGGTCATTTTCGATGCCTAGCCCTATAAACTTTATAAACCAAAAAACAGCGCAATTTCCGTTAATTTTCCACCTTTATTTCCTTTTTTTCGTTGTAAAGTTTCCGATTCTTGGTCTCGTTGAGCCCGAAGGCAACGCTGCGCGCCAATGCACAGCACCAATTTGGTCGCGTAAGCGTTCTTCCAAACCCCGATTTTTGACTGAAATCGAATTTTTAACGTTCCTAATAAATTTTTGTATATATTTTTATGCGATTTTAGTTGTAAAATATCGTTTGAAGGATCGACTGCGCTTTCTGAGCAGTTTTGCGCGTTTTTTCGCTTTTTTTTCTTGACGTGTATTGAGCAGTCTTACATAACTTTTAGGATTCCCTAATTTTTTTGCCCGATTTTCGTGATTTCAAGTAGAATTTCATAGAGTTCTTGTTGTTTAAAAGCATTTCCTGCGTTTTCTAGCGCTGTAAAGTTAGTTTAGAAGTTTTGGGAACATTTTTTTGGCTTTCAAGGAGTAATATATTGTTTCTTTCGGCTTATTCGCTTCATTTCGATCTTTTCGAATCACTTTTCGATGTTTAAAAAAGTAGTCGATTCGCTATTTCTAATGTCTGCGTTTTCTAGCGTTCAAAAATTGGTCAAAAAGGTTTTTTTTGAGTGATTTTAGGGTTAGAAAAAGTGGGCATTTGTTTTTTTGGTTTGTTCTCTTCGTTTCGACCGTTTCAAAGATTTTTCTCGCTTTTAAAACTTCCTCTATCCGTTTTTTTTTGCAGGAATTCGATTCCGCGAGAGCGTCTCCTTCTAGCCGCCAACCATTGGTCCCCACTTCTTTAATGCACAATTGCCGATGCGATGCCCCACGAGTCTGAGCCAGCCGCGAAGACCAGGACTCGGTACGCTTTTCCGCAAATTGTCTCGGCTAGCTGGCCACCAGCTGCTAGCGACAAGCTTTTATAACCCGCTTTTTCAGATGACAAGAAGAAGCACAAATCCAAGAAGGCGAAGAGCGTCGCGTTCGCCTGCCCGGCCAGCCCGCCGCCACCGCTCGCCGCCGCTGGCCCACCGCTTCCGGATGGCGCCGCGGAATGCGCAAAGCGCGCGATGGCGCTCGCCTGTGCGGCGCTTGTTGGTGCGTTTTTGTTTTGTAAAAAATCTCTGATAGGCTGCCTCTGCCTTCAAATTCCCCAAAAATCGCTGCTAGCCTGCCCTCATAATCCCCTCCTTTTCAGACAACCTCGGCTTCACCCACTGCCAGGGCTCCTCCCTCGACACGCTCTCCTCGCTGTCGATCCGCTTCTCGAGACCTTCTGCCTCAAGCTGCACAACATCACCGAGCAGGGCGGCCGCACCCAGTCGACCATCTTCGACGCCGAGGAGGCCTTCCACGAAATGAAGGGCATCGAGATGGAGACGTCGGCCTATGTCAACGCCACCCTTCAGACAGCCGTCAAAAGGACCGTGCCCAGGGTGCGTTTTTGAGCAGTTTCCTCAAAAATCCATGCTAGCTTGCACTCGCCTCATGACGCTTTTTTTCAGGCTCCCCCGCTCGGTTCGTGCTCGAATCGAGGCTTCTCGGCTCGTCCTTCTCGTGCCTGGCGCCTTGCCGGTGACTGCTCTCCCGGATCACATCCCCTCCTGGGCGCCGCCGCTCTACAGCCAGAAATTGAACTGTGAGTTTGGGGCGATTTCGTGGCGTAATCGATTCCCAAAGGATTTCTGCTAGTTCGCCTTGCTAAAATTTTGAAATTTGACGTCCGATTCTAACTTTTGGAGCCTAGGAAATTCTCATGGAATCTCTGGTCGCTCGCCTTGGATAAGCAGGCGAAATTTCAAATTCTAGGGCTATTTTCTGTTCTGAGTTTGTTTCCCAAATAATCTCTGCTAGCTAGCCAGTGTTCGGTAACCTGATGTCGCGGGCTGGGGTCCGGAGGTCCTAAAGGGGAAAAGGGTCCGGAGGTCCTAGAAAAAGGGAAAATCGGCGGAAATGAGGGCGAAAATTTGAATTTGGCTCCAGGGGTACGGGTAAAAACGAGGTCTGAGGGAAAAGCAAGTAAAAGGCTAAAAATGAGAAAGTGCCGGATGGAAAGCGCTAGAAAAGAGAGAAGTGACTGGTAGATGGAGGGGGAGAAGGTATAGGCCCATTTGGAAGGAAGGAAGTGGAAAGAGGGCCATGATTGATGTGTAGCGATCGGCGACATCACCTAAACGGGACTGGATTTAGGCATGAAGCGGAGCATGGGACGATTTCATATTTGGTGAGCAGAAAGAGAAAGGGTTTTGCTATGAATTGAGGGGTCGATCATCCTGGTAGCTCTTGGGAGGGCAGAGCAATGGGGGAAAAGGTGCGGAAAAACAGGCCAAATTTGGGGTGAAAAAGGGGCCCAAAACATAACCTCGGCGCGGTTTTTTCGATTTTTGACCTGAAGAAGAGGTGATGGATGGATGCAATGTATAGAAGCGTTGTAGACTAGACTGCGGGCTACAGACTGGTGGAAAAATTTTGAGAAACGGTAGAATGACGGCTGAGATATGCGGTGTTGAAAAACGAAGGCAAAGGTTGCGTCGGGGAGCGATTTTCAGACGTCGCCACTTGGGAGGTCCTGGAACCACTTTAAATTTGGGTTTAATTTTAACGCCCAGGATATCATTCGACGCAGAATTTTCTGCTCTACATTTCGGTAATAGATATTAAAAGCTAATAGTGGCAGTAAAAAAAGTTAGAGGGAAAAACTGCAAAATTGACCGTTTCTGAACACGGAGGTCCTAGGATCTCGAAAACGAGTCCGATGACCCACCTCCTTTTTTACGGATTATAATGTAGAAGGGTTTGGCACACATTTTTTTAATAGATTGCCTTTGAAGCGGGCGAAGGGATTTAGGAGAAAAAGGCGAAAAACTGGGAAAAAGTAATTTTTTTTTTGGAAAATTGCTCGTAGCTCGAAATCGAGTCGGATGACCCACCTCCATTTTTTCGGATTTTGATGCAATCGTGTTAGGCGCACATTTCTGTAATACATTGCTTTTTAAACCGGCAACGGGATTTAGGAGTAAAACGCGAAAAACTGCGCAAAAACCGTCTTTCTCGCTCCCTATCTGTCTCTCTCTCTCTCTCTCTCTCTCTCTCTCTCTCTCTCGCTTTCTCTTCCTCTGGCTTGTTGATTTACCATGCTGACACTGCTTGCTTTACTCACTGCTTTCTTTGGTCGTATAGTAGGTGTAGTACATATTTATTCAAATAAATGCGAATCTCCATATATTTATTGGTTTATCCAAGCCGGGGGGTTTGTCAGCTTCACATGGTAGATTCCTTCTTGCCGATGACACTGGCTTCATCCTGAAAAATTTTTTTTAGACCATATATCAGGCAAAAATTTTTCGGCCCTCCGGGCCGGACGGAGGTCCATTTTTTGGTACAGGGACCCCGGAGGTCCTAGTGACGTCTCAACGACCACTTTCCGAACACTGTAGCTAGCGCTCAGTTTTGACGAATTTCCTAGCGTAACCGGCTAAAATTTGCCCGGCAAACTAGCAGAAACGCTTTGGGAATCGCTTTCGAATAGGATTTCTGTGAAAGTCTCGCTATAATTTTGCAGGCTTCGTCGCGTAACTGAATAAAATCTTCTTGGCGTGCTAGCAGGGTTTCTTTGGGGTTTTTTTTTGCATAAAAAGCGTCTGATCTCGTTTTGAATGCAAAATTTTAGGCGGAGAATTTTATGGCGTAATCAGATTCCTAAATAAATCTCTGCTAGCACCCCCGCAACCTCCTTTTTTTCAGTTGTCGACCCGTTCGCCCCGGTGCCAGAGCCAGTCGCCGAACCCCCGATCCCGGTCGACGATTTCCCGGATTTTATGGGCGCCGATGTGCGGAGTTTGGGTCAGTTTTCGAGCTTATTTTTTATCTTAGAGTTTTATAAATGTTTTTTGACATTTTCTAGCTTATATTTTGTAGTTTTGTAGATTTTTATCGAAAACCCACATTTCCAGGCATCCTGCCCGACCCCCGGACGGCGCTCGTCGCCCCGATCCGTGTGCGCAAGAACCTGCCGCTGACGGTGGACACCTCTTACACGCAGGTCTCCATCCAGATGCTCGAACGGGACGCCGACCAAGAGCACCCCGACACTTTGAAGGCCCCCGTGCTGCGCATCAAGATCATGAAGGTAAGGGCGAGGACCAGGGGAGGCGGAGCAGGGATTATTGGGGAAATTTTGAGACTGATTTGGATTTCCCAACGCTTTCTTGACGCTTCTGGGGGCAAAATTCTTGCTTTTCGGCGTTTTTGGCGAATTTTTTGATGCGGCGATTTGCGCGGAAGGGGTCAACTAGCAGAGATCCTTTGGGAATTTCAGAAAATCGATAAAGCCGTTTAAATTCTCCGTTTTAGCCGAACTTCTTGAGGCCGAAATTTTTGCGCTTCTGCCACGTTTTTTACGCGCGGTTTTGTTAGAAAGAGGCTAATCTAGCAGAGAAACTTTGGGAATTTCATAACTATAAAGTTCGGAAAATTCCCTCATTTTCAGCCGACCTCGTTCGACGTGTCGTCGCCGATGAACTCGCCGGCCCTGCCCGTGCCGCCAATGTCCGCCCCGCCCGTCCATTCGATGACCGGAGCTGCCGATACCTGGACGAATGTAAGTTTTTCTTTTTTTTTCTTACTAAGCCGGCAGGCTAGCAGGGATCTTTGCGGAATTCTGCAAAATTTATGCGATTTTTTCGATTTTTTTCTACTTTACCAGGCCGACAAGCTAGCAGGGATCTTTGACGAACTCTGAAAATTTTTTATAGCAGTTTTAGCGAATTTAATTTTTCGCTTTTGACCCTTTTCTAGGCCAGCAGGCTAGCAGAGATTTTTGCGGAATGCAGGAAAATCCTGACTTTTTGCGAAATTTATGTCATTTTTAGTCACCGCAACTGCCCACGAAGCCGATGATCTCGCCGCTGATCGCCTCGTCGGCCACAAACTCCGGCCGCAGCACGCCGCTCCACCATCCGTTTACGCCATCAAATGCGCAGCCGCCGCTCGGGCTCGGACAACCGATTACGACGTCAAATGCCGTGCCGGCCAAGAAACGCGGACGGCCGCCGAAGAAGGGCGGCGCGGCGGCGTCGAGGCGCGGGAGTGTCGTCGACGATCCGGTAAGCGAATTTATTCATTTTGCAGCGTATAAAAAACACGTTTTTTCGTTTTTTAATTTACGGTTTTTTAAATTAAAATGCTGATTTTTAAAAATATAAAAATTATCGAAGTTTTTCCAGAACGAGCTCTCGCCGGCCATCGCCTCCATCGTGCAGGCGATCAACGACGACGTGGCGCGGCAGCTGCGCGGCTTCTCCCCGCTCGCCGCCGCCAGCCCCACCTACAGCAGCCAGCCGGCCACCCCCACCACGCCCAGCGCCGCCCCCAAAAAGGTCATCAGGGTGCGTTTTTTTAAGTGGAAGAAGCTGGAAGGCTAGCAGAGAACTTTGGGGAAATTTTCTAGATTCTGGCGAGCTAGCAGGAAACCTTGGGGAAATTGTCTAATTTAGGGTAGGCTAGCGTGGATCCTTCAGGAAATTTTTTACTATGGGGCAAGCTAGCAGTGAACCTAAGCACTTTGAAGAATTTCAGCTTTATTTCTTTCAGCGTGCCTCCTACGTGCCACCCGTGGCCCCGATGGTGCTCCCGGCTCGCGCGAATCGAGGTCAAAACCCCCGGAATCTCTCGCCGCCCCTCGCCACGCCCACCACACCGGCCACGCCGAAAGAGAAAAAGAAGTTCGTCGAGAAGCCGCAGGTATGCAATTTTTTGGGGGCCAGCTAGCAGAGATTCTTTGTGGAATTGGAGGGGCAGGCTAGCAGGGATTCTTTGAGGAATTGGGGGCCAGCTGGCAGAGATTCTTTGCGGAAAGGAGGGGCCAGCTTGCGGTGAAGCCTGGGAAATAGGCAAGCTAGCAGAGGTTTTTGAGGAAAGGGTACTTTCCTTTTTTAGGCAATTATTTAAATTATTAAACATTGAATTTTTTTCAGGCTTTCCCTCCAATGATCCTGAAGTTGCCCGCGTGGCCCAAAGCTCAGCCGGCACCTCCACCACCACCAGCACCAGCTGCTGCTCCTCCCCCCGCTCCGCTCATCCTCAAGTTCCCGCCGATCGCCGTGGCTGTCCCGCCCCCGCAAGTGGTTACGGTATGTTTTTCCGGGTTTTAACGGATCTAATCAATTTTTTAGCAATCGCCGGCCCGTCCACTCCCTGCCCCAATTCCGCAAGAATCTCCCTCGGGCTACCACCTGCCACGCCGTCAGCACCAGCCGCCGAAGAAGTTCCAGGATGTGAGTTTTTGCAGCTGGGCATCCTAGCAGAGATTTTTTGAGGGTTTCCTCCACGATCTCTGCTAGCTTGCCCACGCGTTTTTGTCTAGCCACGCTAGCAGAAATTCTTTGCGCTTAGCGGTTTCTCAAGGATCTCTGCTGGCCTGTTTTGGACCGTTTTTCGATCTAAGCAAGCTAGCAGAGATTGTTTAGGGATGTTAGACTTCCTCAAGGATCACTGCTAGCCTGCCCTGCTCCCAAATTTGAGAGCGTTCAGCTAATATATTGCGCTTTTTGCAGTTCGAGTCGGATCTGCCGCCATCGCTGGGCGGCCGGAAGCGTGGCCCGTCCGAAGCCGTCGAGCCCTCGCCCACCATCCGTGCCCCCACCACCAAGAAGGCCCGCCTGGACACGCCGCAGGTTTGTCGCATTTTTTTAGATCTGTGCATTCTGCGGGCCTTTTAACGAATTTTTTTTGTGGATTTTTGCCTTCAGGGGACCTTTAAAGAGGTTTTCCTATGGATTTCTGTCTTCAATGGCCCTTTAAAAGCATTCTAAAGTAAATTGGAGCTTTTCCTTCTAATTTCCCCTCTTTTCCAGGCCACTCCCTCGGCTCGCGGTTCATTGACGAAGAAGCGGGGCCGTGGCCGTCCAGCTGGTGTGGCCGGTCGGGCTGCGGTACCCAGTCCGCCGAAGCAAACCGTTCCCAAGCTGCGTCTCATCATCCCCAGGACTACGGTAGAAGAGCGTGAAGACGACGACGAGGAGGAGGAGGAGTTTGAAGGTGATTTTTGGCGTGTTTTTGGGCTCTGGCGAGCTAGCAGGGATTATTTGCGATTTGTTTAAGACGAGCAGCTAGCAAGGATTTTTGAGGATTTTTACAGCGGCATACTAGCAGAATTTTGAGGAATTTTTGCTCATCTTCAACTTTCCATTTTCAGATGACGTCGAGGAGGACGAGGAGCCCGAGGCGCCGCCCGCCCGGCTGCCGCTCAAGCTTCGGATATCGTTCGGATGCGATCGCATCGGTGATGGTGAGCGTTTTTCCGCAAATTATCTCTGCTAGCTTGCTAGAGAGTTTTTTTTTGCATTTCCAAAATGCTCTCTGTTGGCTTGCTAGGCAGAATTTTAGCAATTCTTCCATGATATCTGCTCGTTACCCTCGAAAATCCTCCTTTTTAGGCGCCCAAAACTCGCCGGAACCTCGCGTCGCCCTCAACATTGACCTCGGCCAGCGCTTCGGCTTCACCGGCACCGTGAATGGCGATGGTGGCGACGAGGGCGAGGTGGATGGAAGAGAAGCAGACGGCCCGGCGACGGAGAGGATCGACAAGCGCGCCAAGCCGGTAGAAGACCAACAAGGCCGGGACGTCGTCGTGAATGCTCTGATGGACGAGCTGTTGGACCGAATTTCGGCCCAATGATCTCTGCTAGTTGCCCGCCCTTTCCATACCCTGCCCCCCTTCTCAAATAACCCCTGCTAGTTAGCCCCCCGGTCTCTTGCCCCCCGTTAATTTTCCCCGGATTTTAAAGGGACCTGGAGGTGAGAGCCGGTTGAATGCCGTGGCGTAATCGAGTCTGGATTTGGGATTTGCTAGCGTAATCGATTCGACGGCTAAAAATACGTTGCGTAATCGATTCGGAATTCAGAAGTACGCCGCGTAAGCGATTGCGAACTTGAAATTACATTGCGTAATCGGTTGTACTCCACTTTCCGGTCCCTTTAATCTCGCCCCTTCATTATTTTGCCCTTTTTGTCTTTCCCACACCGTAACCCCCCGCAAAAATTCACTTTTTCCACTTTTATACGTTGTCGTCGCCCGTTCCTCATTTTATACAAACAAAAAACCTCCACAATTCCACTCGGGTGTGTACTTTGTACTTTGCGGCCTCCCCCATCCCCTCAAAATTAATTTTCCGCGTCTTTCCCATTTACAAAAAAATGACATAGCGAAACTCCGACTACATATCGCCTGCCTGCCCCTCTAACTCCCTTCCCAGTGCCTTTAAAAATTTTTGCGCATGCTGAAAGGTCGCGCAAAAATGTTGTTATTTTGGGTTCTGGACTGTTAGCGGAGGGGGATGAATTTTTGAAATTTTGGATTTTTTTGCCCCGTTCAAGCAATTCATAGCAATCAAAAACTTTAAAACGATAAAAATAAAACTGCCAAAAATCTCCCCCATTAAAAGTCCAGTGCCTTATTTTGTTACAGATGTTGTTCTTCTTTGTCAAAACGCTATATCGGCCCTCCCTCCTTTCCCCCCGTTGATCTCACATTTCAAAAACAATTTGCGTGTAGATAAACACACGACAATCGATCGATTTGTCCACATTTATCGTCTACGGAAAGCGCGCAGTGACGGACTGCTTGCTTTTTAGGCTTGGAAATCACACTGGAATGACGAACAAATGGAGTTTGGAACCTACAGAAAATTAAATATCGGCTTACATAATAATCGGTACTTTTTCATTATCGGGTGGACAAAATTTTTTTTGTAGTTTGTAAATATAAAGCGCAGAGTTTTTTCCAAATTGTTTTTACTCTTCCTAAATTTTAAAAATTTGAAAACAATACAAAAATTCGATTTATCGACTTAAAATGGCCGATTTTCGGTCTCAATTTGATTTCAATTTCTACTAAGTTTTTTTTAATTTTTTCCGTTTTTTTTAAGTATAGCTAAATTTTACTATAACCACTATTAAAACGCCTTAGCTTTCAAATTATAGAAATCGATGACGTTTTTAACGTGAAAATGAGGCGTTTTAGTTATTTTAGGCGTTTAGAATGAGGCGAAAAATTTAGAAAGCAACGAAAACCACGAGATTTTGTTACTTTTTTAATGGTTGGAGCGTTGCTCGTCGTTTTTTTAGGAGAAGAAGCGCGCGACGCCGGATGAAATGACATTGCCGCCAGGCAGCGCCAATTTTCGACAAGATTCTGTCAGTGTTGCTGCTAGTTTATTGGATTTTTTGTATTTATTAAACTGTAGACTTTGTCGAATAAATTTTTGCCTGCACAACATTTGCCTTAAATCGCACCGGCCGGGCTCTAAAAACCCTGTTTTTCTCTAGCATACTGCTCGCTTGATTTATCATTTAGTTTCTCCTCCAACTTTGCGAGCTAAACTTCTGATTTTCAGTCACTGTCGCCTTTTCTAGGCATGAAATTCGCCGACGCCGCGATTTTTCGGTTTAGCGGACTCAGTTTGGCTTGCCAGCGATCGCTAGTAGGGGCAGTTTGACGCCTTGAGCTCAAAAAAACAACACCTCGGATTGATTTGAGGCCAAAAATTCGGGTTTAGCTCGTTTAGCTAGCTTAGAATCAGTAGAAAAAAAGAAGGAGGAACACACCAGGTCTATAGACATGGTTCCGCTAAACCGAAATAGCCCTCAAAAATTTCTTGTTGAAATGGTACCATTTTCTCAGCTTCTCTTATCGTTTAAAACCGAAAGCCGGATGCATTTCTAATTTTTATTTTCCAGGTATCGTCCATGAAGCGCGCCCATTCTCCTGCGAAGCCTGACCAGCCGGCGAAGTTTCCAAAGATGGAAATCCCGTTGCACAAGTTGCCGCCCAACGTCTTCAACAAGATCGCCGGATTGCTGGATTCATCCTCTCTTCTGGAGCTCGCCAATTCGCATCCGGAAGTCAAGGGGCTGGTGCGCCGCTCGGAGAAGCACTGGCACGTGGTGGACACCAACCAGTACTGCTACGCCCCACCATACGTTACCCACTTCATCGACTACAACTTCCATACTTCTGCCGAAGCCAAGCTTCTCTTGACAAACTGCAAGATCGACCATCTGGACCGAGTTTGCGAAGTGCCCAACGCCCGCGGTCTGATCGATTTGCCGAACGAGTTGATGGTTAAGATTCTCCGGCCGCTCGATAATGTCACGCTCCTGGAGCTCGCACCAGTGCATCGACGATTGAATGTGCTTAGCGACGTGCATATCGAGTTCCTACACCACAAGGCTGGACAATTCGCCGTTTCACGCAACCAATATGAGCCGATTTGGGAAAACGTGGAAGAAGCAGATTACCCTCCGGGTATCCCAATCAAAAATGCGTCCGCCTTGGACGGCAGGCGCGTTATGTTTGTCGTATACGAGGCCGGCGATCAGCTAAAGAAACACCCGCCAAAGAAAGTCAAGCCCGTCTTTAGCTGCACAAACTTCTTCCTGATTGGCGGATGTCCCCACCGAGATGTCTACGGGGATTCCGTCTATCTGGATAAGGAAATCGTCCAGGACATCCTCAAGCCGAAGCACGTCTTCTCGGCCGTTTTCATGCACTTCCTGACCGGCCAAAACTTTCCGAAGGGTTCGCTGTCGATCGGCGACGTGCGCTTGGACGAACTAAACGAAATGAAGCAAGTATACGCTCCGGCGCTGGCTTTTGCCATGAAAAACTGCTTGAAAGAGTGCATCACGCTGATTTTGTACTACATCGATGAGTGGATGGCCGGAACACGGAAGATCAACACGCTGTGGGTTCGATGGGGCGCGACCGCCGTTCGACAATCTCTCATCAAAGGGCTGCAGTTGACCGTGGACCCGAACGGCATCTTTCGAGGCCAGCTGAAGCGAGATGACGGCAAGCTTCTCGATGTTCGTGTCAGAAGGGAAGAAATTGTCTTGCAAGCGCCGGGCACATCCGTTAAATTCAGAAATGAGGCTCTTCGCCGTCAACCAGCACCCGTATTCTGAACGATCCACAAGTTAGCCCCTTCGACAAGAACACTTTTTCATAATTTATTTGCTCAGATTGCTTGATAAATATTTGTTACGAGTTACGCGTTGCTTCACTGAAATATTTGGGTTAGATACCCGGCGTTTTTGTAACCTTTAACGTTTTACGATTTTTAGATTGGCAACTTGAGGGCTGAATGGAGGCTGGGGCGCCCGTTTGCTAGGGCGCGGCCTGGCTACCGAGGCCATTTCCGTGGAGAGGGCGCATTAGCCGGCCTAAGAGGTCCCACAAGCTTCATGAGGCTGAAAAACGGGCTAAAAAGGCTTAATTAGGCTAAAATTCGACTCTAAAAACGTTAGTTCTATCATTCGATCGTTTTGCGCGTCATTTCAAACACTAGAAAACATTTTCAGGCTTTGAAAGAGTAGTTTTTAGACACCAACCTCGGCGTTGTTGAGTTTTTCGACTTTTGAGTGCGTTTTTCTTTTGATTTATTTGCTCTAAATCGTGTTTTAGCAATTGGAAATCCGTGATTTTATGCTAGACGTGGCGCTTTTCCCGTTACATGCTTTTTTGTGGTGTTTGCAGTTCGCTTTCAGCTCTAAAGCTTGTTTTCTCGGTTTGGGAAGGGCGGACCGTTGCGCGGGGGAAAGGGCGGACCTGGAGATGTGCCTGCCCCCAGGCCCGCGCAATCTGGAAAGGGCGGACCGTTGCGCGGCTCTCCGGATTGCGCGGGCCTGAGGGCGGCTCTCGCGGCAAACGGGCCGTAGCTAGGCTTTTCCCTCTTTAAAACGTTTAAATTACGTATTAAACCTGCTTTTTAGCAGGTTCTATTGCCGGGACCGATGCAAGGAAGTGTGATGACTCTTTTGTATTTATATCACGACACTGCATTAGAAAATCACAATAGAACATAGAAAAAATATGGGTATTTCATCCTGCGAGTAGAGTTGCCCGGTGAAGATGTCCTAGAGTTCGCTTACAGGCATCTTCCTTAATTAGCTTGGGTTTCGTCTGGTTTAAATTATATTTTATTTAATTATAAATTAAATATTATTATAAATTTGCGAAGTAATAGATGCCAAGGCAGAATATGTTTGTCGATTTATAGACTAAATTTTAGACCTACTTTCGTCGTGACGGATTTGAAAACTAGAACCCCTGAAAAGCATATTTTCTTATTGGATTCGAATAAGACCTTGACAGACTTGACATCTTGACTTACCCTCAGACGAATGACCTCCTGATAATGCAAAAGCACCCAACAATTTATATTTCACGTACCTGTTTCTCGCGCCAATATCCTGTCGATCCATCGCACGCCCGGGCCGTAGAAGCATCGCTCATTCCTAAAGTCACAAAGAAACTCAATAATTTCAAACAGCTTACCGCGCTTTTTTGCTGTGTCACCGGCCAGCGCCAGGCGGTCGAAATTTGCAGCTCGCCCTTGCCCAGGATCATCAATCCTAAACGCGGCAGCGTTTCCAGAAAACGCATGTTACGGAAGCAAAAATAGATTAAAAAAAAACTAACCAGAAATGCGCATCGTGCTGCGGCCAAGGTAGATCGTCGCGGAAATGGCGCCGCGGCCGTTTGTGATCGCTTCTATTTCCAAAAGCTAAAACAAAAGTACATTTACAACAAGAAAAACTCACTTTTATCGTTCTTTTCACTTTTCAGCCCCATCCGAACATCGATAAGGTTGTAGACCTTTAATGTATCTGGAAACTAACCTCGCAGCACATAGAAGTTGTTACGCTGATCATGCCAGATTGAAGAATCATCAAGTAGCATTATAACTAATCGCTATACGAAGTTAGATAAAAATGAAGTGAATTGCCTAAGTTTTAGTTCTTGTACTTTCATGAACTCTGGACGAAATGCGCGGCCCGCGCTTGCTCCGTCCGCGGCCGATTGCGCGGCTGAAAGGGCAGACCCGCGCAATTAGCCGCAGGCGGGCCGCGCATTGGCCGAGAGCCGCCCTCAGGCCCGAGCAATCCCGAGAGCCGCGCAACGGTCCGCCCTTTCCAAACCGAGTTGTTCGTGAAAAATGATATTTCTGACGCTAAAGGCATTACTAACCGAATTCTGGATTGTGAGCATCGTTTTGAATTCCATTTTCATCTCGAGATATCGTTTTAGTAAAGAAAAGGCTTTTATCTTTTAGATTTTGCACTAAAAAGCCTATTTTGGTAATGAAAAACTATTTTTGACGCTAGACGACTTACGATTTCAATTCTATATTTTTCATCCCGTTTTGTTCCCCATTTTCTCCTCTATATCCTAATTTCACGCCCCTGATCCGCCATTTTCAGGTAACGCCACCTCCACGAAATGCTGGCCGGCCTCGCGAGTATAGCTGGACGTGCCGCGGGCAGTGGATCGTTTCTGGTAAACTTATTTTCATGTTTTTCTCTATTTTCCGGCTCTAGATGTGCAATCTACTGCGAGCGCTGCCCACCACGTCCACCGCCACGCACACCGCAAATCTACACACCAGCGCCCCGGCGATGCGCAACAATTTGTTGCAGGTAAATCTTGCGGTTTACGTAGATTTTTAGGGAAATCAGCTTGGAAAGTGTAGTTATTTATGAGAATGGGATAAATTGGGTTTTCTGTTTTGTAGCCTATTCCAAATTATTTGCATTTGATTCGAAATGACTTTTTAGGTTTTTTAAAACGTTTGATAGACTGGTTTTTGACGATTTACCGCTAAAAATTGCTCGTAAATCGTTAATCGTGTTTTTATTAGCTAGAACAGGCTTAATTAAGTATTTCACGTGATTTTACAGCTTTTTCAATATTTTTTCTAGTATATTTCTGAATTTAATGAATTTAGAAGCTTTTTTTTATCCATTGAAAAACTAAGAAGCGGATTTCTCTTTTTTTTATACGTTAAAACGACCAATTTATTTTTTGCAGTACATGCACGAGAACGGGATGCCGAAGCGGAAGGCGCGGAAGGCCGACAAGTCGCCCATCACCGGCTACAACACCATCCGGGGCATCGTGCTGAAGAGTGCGTTTTTTCGTGATTTGTAGGGCGTTATAGGCGATATTTTGGAGTTTTTAGACGAGAAACCCGGCTCGTTCGATGGAGCGCGAAATTCTGCGCAAAAATACGCTTTTAGGATTCCTGAAAATTTATAGTTTTATCAGAATTTTTCGCTTTATCGAATGGATAGAATTATCGTTTTTAAAAGCTGAAATATTTCCAAAAAACGTGCTCCTTAATTTTATTTGTAAATGAGGAGTTTCATACTGTAATTCGCGATTTTAGCCGTCATCCGCCACCCAAAAAAGCCGAACTCGGGCAACCGAAAGTGCGCCATCGTCAAGCTGTCCAACGGCAACGAGGTGGGTATCTCTCTCTCTCGCTTTTTCGATATTTCGATACTTTACAACCTAATTTTGACATTTTCAGGTGTGCGCCTACATCCCGGGCGTCGGCCACAATTTGCAGGAGCACTCGCAGGTGTGTTTTCATTTATTTGCGATTCTTCTTTCTCTTTTTAGTCTTTCTTTTTATCACTTTTCGTTTCTTTTGACGCCATTTTTGAGAGGGTTGGGTAAAAAAACTCGTAAAAGTCTAAATCCCTAGTTTTAAATCCTAAATAAAAATTTGAGAAAACTTGAAAACTAGGGCAAGAGGGCGAGAGAGCGTGTGAGTGAGAGAGTGAGCGAGAGAGAAGGATAAAAAAGCTTGTTACAACCCTAATTCCCCTCTTTTAAAGGTGGAGGTGAAGGGCGGGCGACGGCGTGACCTGATCTCGGTGCGGGCCAACATTTTGCGCGGCAAACTCGACTGCGCCCCGGCCGGCGGCAAGAAATAACCGGAAAAACACGCCGGACGATAAGCCCGAATTTCTGTTTGTCTGTCGCGTTTTTTGCGTGTGTGCGTGTCTGTCCATTTCTCGCGTTGCATGTGGCCCAAAAATTGCTTTTCTTTCCTCGCTAGTTGTATAGGAATCGTCGATTTATCTGTTTTCGCCCCCCCAGTTTCCGCTGGATTTGTTTGTTCGTTTTGATTTTTGCGTCTTCTTCTGGGAATGAAGATTTTTGAAAATTAAACTATTTCGACGAAATATACACGCCATGAAATTCGGGGAATCGATTACGCGATGAAAAACGGGGCTGGAAACTCCGGAAAATTCGAATTTTGCCGTTTTAAAGGCGCTGGCAAGACGGACAATCGATTACGCGACGAAAATCGCGGCTCAAAATTTTCGAAATTTGAAATTTTTGCTTTTTAAAGGCCTCCTAAAGCCGGGCAATCGATTACGCGATTATAATCGGCGCTTAAAATTTTCATTCGATTTTTTCGTTCTTAAGGGGCTTGGGAAGCCAGGAAATCGAATTTTCGATATTTCTTTATCTGAATTTATTTATTTTAGTTTTTCAAGCAGAAAAGCACAATTTATTTGACAGCAAAAATCTGGCAATACAATGAAAAATATCACTCCGTTTTTCGGCACTCTGGCAAGTCTATTTCTGGGCGAATTCCTGCTTCAGCTTTTCGGCGAGCACTTTCCGAGCTTTCACCACTTCCTCGTCTGCCTAAAATGGAAGTTTTCACGATTTTTGAGCTACCAAAAACCTGAATCGGTCGCGTCTCGCCGCGAAGCGCGTCCCGCGCCGCGCGCGCCGTCTTCGGCCGTCCGTTCGTGGATTTTTCCTCTTCCTAAATAGCCACTGCTAGTTTGCCAGGGGGTTGGGGGCATCCGCAAATGGTCTCCGCTAGCTTGCCCAGCTAGATTGCTGCTAGAATCTCGCTAAAAATCTCTGCTAGTTTGCCTAGATCTCGATTTCCTAAAGGGTCTCTGCTAGCTGGCCTTTGCCATGAGCGTCCGCAAATTGTCTCTGCTAGCTCGCCCGCGTTCTAGCGCTTCCTCAAGGATATCTGCTAGATTGCCCACGCTCTCAGGCGTCCTGCTTTCTCTAAGAATCTCTGCTAGCCTGCCCTGATCCGCTCTTGCCGTTTTTCCGCAAAGAATCCTTGCTAGCCTGCCCCCCCGAACTCACCAACTGCAGCAACCTCTCCCTCTCCTGCTTCTTCTTCTCGATAATCCGGTCCCGCTGCGCCTTCAGGTATTCTGCCCTCGCTGCCACGTCGGCGCTGGCGATTCGAGAGGGCTCTTGCAGAAGAGCCTAAAATAAATAGAATTACGGGACTGGGAAGGCAAAGAATCTCTGCTAGCCTGCCCTGACGAATTGACGCCGAGTGGCAAGCTGGCAGAGATTATTTGAGGAATTCCACAAATCGCCGCTGCGAGCTTCTCAAAGAATCCCTGCTACTTTCCCAGGCGTGCTAGGTGGCAGGCTAGCAGCGATTCTTTGGGAATCTCGACAAATGGTCTCTGCTAGCTTCGCCGTGCCTTTAAGTTGCCGAAATTCCCCAAAAATCGCTGCTAGCCTGCCCCATCCATCAAAATCCTCACATTAATGTCAGCCGGCGTCCTCCCCTTGGCCTCCTCCTCCTCGTCCGCATTCTCCATGCTCTCTCGCTCGTCCTTCAGCTTTTCTGAGATCGGCGGGGCCCCTTTTCCGACTATCGGCTCTCGCACTGGCCCTACCGTAATCTTTTTCTGAAAAAATGACTTTTTTCGATTTTTTAGCATTTTTTACCTTTTCCGGTTGCGCGGCAGGCTCGGGCTTGGGAGGCTTCTTCACCTGACTCGTTGAGGCCTAAAAAATTTGGATTTTCTAGGTGTCACCGTCCCTATAAAAGCTAAAAAAACGGGATTTAAAGCTTTTCCTACCTTTTCCGGTTTTTCCGGTTTTTCCGGTTTCTCCGGCTTTTCCGGTTTCTCAGGCGTCGCGGTGGGCGGCGCGCTGGCTATGGCTAACTTTTCCGTATCGGCTGCTAGCTGATGAGTCTAAAAATGTCGATTTTCTCAAAGAATTTCTGCTAGCTGGCCCCTTCATTTTTTCAAAGATTCTCTGCTAGCTTGCCCCCCAAATTCCTCAAAGAAGCTCTGCTAGTCTGCCCCACGAATTCCTCAAAAAATCTCTGCTAGCTGACCTCGTCGAGCCTGTTTCTCTCGGCTTCTGAAAATCGCCGGATCGCCTCCAAGTCAAGCTGCAGTTGGTGCTGCTTCTCCTCATCGAACTCTTCTTTCGACCTCCTGAGCACGGCATTCAGGAGAATATGATCCATTTCTTCTCGACTAGAAAAAAATAGGTTTCCCTAGGTGTCACGCTCCCTTTAAAACTTAAATTCGTGTTTATAGGCGCATTTTGTAGAGTTTTTCAAGGGCTCTCGAATGGTGTATATTACATTACGATAGCTAATTCCTGGCAAAAGTTATGGCCAGTTGAAGTCTGTAGCCGCTGGCTACAAACTACAATCAACCGTATCTTGGCGTAGTAATGTCAGAATTTCATGATTTTTAGCTGATTTTGAAGCGCTTTTTCAGCGCTATCGGATGTTGCCTGTCTTGCCTCGAATTCAGCAAAGAATCTCTGCTAGCTGCCCCCCAAATCCCCACCTCAAATGGTGGCTTTTCCTGATCTCCTCCAGCTCCTCCATACTCCCAACGCAAGGCAGAAGGCCGCACATGAACTAAAAAATACGTATTAAGCTGAGAATCCGGTTTTTTTTCGATTTTAAAGGGACGGTGACACCTCGATTAATTGCAAAGCTTGGAGTTGCAGCTCCACATTCTTCTTCCGCATCATTGGGATGAAGATTTCGAGGTCCTGGGCGGCCATCACCGGCTCGAGGGCTGCCTGGAAGGCTTGGGCTTAGGTTTAGGCTTAGCTTGGGCTTGGGCTTAGGCTTCAGCTTGGTTTTTGGCTTAGGCTTAGGCTTAGGCTTACCCTGGTCCTGGCGTTGAGCGTCTCCTTCTCGACGGCCGTCAGCGCCTCGGCGAACTGGGAACCCTGAAAAGGTCTCTGCTAGCTTGCCCAGCCTTCCACGGCCCTTCAAAACGTTTTAAAGAAAGGTGACACCTAGGAAATCTGGTTTAAAGGGCTAGTGATGCTGGAACTTTCTTAGGATTTCCTCAAGAATCTCTGTTAGCCGTTCGTTCTCTCTCTCTCTCTCGCTCTCTCCCACCTACCGTAATCCCGATATCCTCACAAAAGCATCCAATTAAGACGTCAACAAGTGCCGCGTACTCCTGATGAACGGCTTCATGTTGGGCGGGATCGCCGTGGTCAACGTCGAATACTGGAAAACGAGGGATCGAGGGATAATACAGAAGAGAGGGCTACGGTACGTTTTCTCGTCGTTTGATTTCTGCTTTTGCATTTCTCATTTTTGATTTTTTGATTTTCAAGAGGCACGACTTCGGGGAGTTCAGGGAATTCGGGGACCTTTGACTTCCAGGGACTTTTAAAGGGAACGTGGCGGCTAGGCAGGACTTACATAACGATTTGTGCTCAATGAAAGTCGAAATCGGGATATCCCAGACGGACGAGTGGATAAAGTCGATGAACCGCTTGAAGATCTGGTTTGGGGTTTGGGAACGGACGGAGAGACGGCGCAGCATTTCTTTTCGTCGTCTAAAGGGACAGTGAAGTAAAATTCCGCTTTTTTACATTGGCAATATAGCAGAGTTTTTTTGAAACGGGCAAGCTAGCAGAGATTGTTGAGGACGATTTGTGAGAGACGGGCAAGCTAGCAGAGATTGTTGAGGACGATTTGTGAGAGACGGGCAAGCTAGCAGAGTTTCTTAGGGAATCGAATTTGCGCAAAAATGGCTTCAGAAAACGCCTTCGTGAAGGCAGGCTAGCATGGATTTTTGTGGAAACAATTTCTCGGATGATTTAGACTAAGGCAGGCTAGCAGCGATTTATGGGGAATTTTTCGAGGGCAGGCTAGCAGAGATTCTTTGAGAAATTGTAGGGGCAGGCTAGCAGAGAAGTTTTAGGAATTTTTGGAGGCTAGCAGAGGTTATTTGTGGAATTTTCGGATGGCAGGCCAGCAGAGAATCTTCACGATGACTTCCCGGCCCTTTTAAAAGCCCCAAATTTCAACAATAGGCCCCCCGAGAATCGATGGTTTCCGGTGTGCGCGGACAGGTGGGTGGGCCGCCGCGCGAAAATAGCCCGAAATGGAGGGGTCCCTGGCCTCTGACGGGTTGCCAGGGGCAACGCTGTTTTCAGAAATCCCTCTCTCACTCTCTCACTCTCTCTCTCTCTCGCTAGCACTCTCTCTCTCTCTCGCTCTCTCTTAAAATCTAGGGCTTCATTGTGGGAATTCACTCGGGAATACATCAAAATTTGCCAGCTCTCTTAATTGCGCTTCGAGCGATCAACGGGTTACGGTAGCCGGGGTGCTTTTTAGGGAATCCCCTGGGGACCCGGAAGGAGAACCAATTTTGAAGATTTCGATAGAATTGCACGTTTTTGGGTGCAAAATGGAGGCGCAGGCTAGCAGAGATTCTTTGAGAAATTCCAAAAGTTAGGCTAGCGCGGATTTTTGTGGAAAGCGCTATTTTTCAGGGCAGGCTAGCAGATATTCTTTGCGGAATTTTGTACCTTGTAGTTTCAGGAAATATTTTATTGATTTCGCCAAGAACTCGTAAAGGAAAGTAGGTACCCGTAATTCAAAAACCGGCGTAAATATGACAACGAAACGCAAAAAAAATGAAAAATACAAATTTCAGATAGCTACGGGGCTCACAAAAATTCAAAAACGCAAAATTCAAAATAAAGTACACCTAAACGAGCATATTTTGTATATTTTGAGCGATTTGGGCCATTGTGAGCTGGTCGTTGGCTAGCAAAACATCGAGCTCAGCTACTAGAGCCTTCTGCGCTTCATTAGCTCCTTGCCACAGAAAATCCCGAGCTATCGATCGATAGAATTTCGAGGCAGTGTCGCGATCGTCTAAAAAACTATTTTATTGAAATTCTTTGCGATTTTTTGGGGTACTGCAGCCCTTAAAAAGGCGGCTTACCGTAATTCCCATCCCCGCGTTCGCTTACGTCATCAAAATCGACGAACAGCGGCTGAGTGTAGGGGTGACCGGAGGGCAGCAAGCGAATCCCGAGGACAAACTGGAAAATAAATGGTGTCAGCTAGCTTACCCTGGGTTTTCAAATATTCGCAGATAGTCTCTGCTAGCCTGCCCAGCCTTCAACGGTCCTTGAAAACGGTTTAAATGGATGGTGACACCAGAAAATCGGGTTTAAAGGGCCGTTGTAGACAAAAACCAGCCTCCGATGGTCTCAACTAGCCTGCCCTGTCTTCAATGGATCTTTAAAACGGCTTAAAGGGTCAGTGACACCAAAAACGGGTTAAAGGACCATTGGAGATAAAAATCAGCCTCGAAGGGTCTTTGCTAGCTTGCCCTGGGTTTTTCAACTTAGCAAACGATCTCTGCTAGCCTGCCCTGCCTTCAATGGTCCGTTAAAACGGTCTAAAGGGACAGTAACACCCGGAAAATCGGGTTTAAAGAACCAGTGAAGGCAACATCCCCAAATTCCTCAAAGAATCTCTGCGAGCTGACCTGCTGCCTGCGCAAATCGCCGAATCTCAGCCCCGGATGCCTTGCCAAGAATTCAGCCATTTTGAGAAAGAGTTCGAGCATGGCATCTCGTGGATATTGCAGCAATTTTAGTGCCGTAATCGGTTGGCCCAGCTCGGTGGCGATGGCCGGGTTGTCGGCCTCGGCGCAGTAGCTGAACAACTGAAAAAAGGAGTTTTTATGGATTTAACGGTCCTTTAAAGTGGCAGAGACAGTTGGGATTTTCTGGATTTTGCCTTCAATGGTCCTTTAAAAGCTAAAAACCGACCCTTGGAACCGCCGGATCTCCCTGCAGCTTCACGAGCCACCGTATCTCGCGTAGAAACGTCTCTCGAGCCTCGCGCATGCAGATTAGATCCTGAAAATTGGGATATCGTTCCTCAAGAACCTCTGCTAGCCTGCCCAGGCTTAGATTTAGGCTTAGGATTAGGCTTAGGCTTTGGCTTACCGTATGCATCGATCCGAACCATCTCCATCTGCACCTCCTCCACCCCTCGCCCTCCATATTCGGGAACTTCAGCGCGTGATTCCGAATCCGGTAGACCGACTTGGACCAGCCCTGACCGACGAGCTTGGCGAATTTTTTGATTCCCTCGGCGTCAGGGCAGCGGAGAAGGGAATCTAAAAGCGAATCTCTAGCCGTTTCTGGCTTCAGTGGGCCTTTAAAATGATTTTTTTGGGTTCCCAGTCCCACTTAAGATTGATTTTCTGCCTTCAATGGGCCTTTAACCATCAAAAATTCAAAAACCTGTATTTCCTTATGGATTTTTGCCTTCCTGGCCCCTTTAAACTTCCAAAAAACCTACCATTGGTGCCTGGAAGCGCCAATCCAGATGACGTCTCGATGAGCGTATCACCGAGAGGCGTTTCGGGGAATTCTGAAAGATTGCTGTAGCTGGGTAAGCTAGCAGAGATTCTTTGAGAATTTTCTGAGCCATTATTTGTCTTCAATGGCCTCTTAAAGCAATTTTCTGGGTGTCGCCGCCCCTTTAAAACGTTCTAAAGGACCGTTAAAGGCTGGGCAGGCTAGCAGAGTCCATTTTGGAGCGGCTTTTTGCCTTCAATGTGCCTTTAAAACCGATTTTCGTGTTTTTAAAGGGGCATTGAAGGCATGGCAGGCAAGCAAAGCTTCTTGAGGATGGTACTTGGCCTTCTATGGCCCTTTAAAACCGAGTTTCGTGTTTTAAAGGACCGATGAAGTAAGGGCAGGCCAGCAGAGACCATCGAGGATCGATAGAGCGTACCATTAATAGGGAAATACTCCTCTTCGATCCACAGCGCTGCTTCGAGGAGTTGAGAGCGAAAGGTGACGGCCAGGAGGGGGAGGAAGAGAATGGAGATCAGCAGCTTTTCCCTCATCGCGTCATGCTGAATTCAGGCATTAAAATGAGGGGCAGGCTAGCAGAGGTTCTTTGAGGATATGGAGGGGCCAGATAGCAGAGATTCTTTGGGGAATTGTAGGACAAGAAACCCGATCGACCTATCGGAAAAGGTGTGAAAATGATGCCATGGGTCGGGGTGCTAGGCGAGAGAAAGAGAGAGAGAGAGAGAGAGAGAGAGGGAGAGAGAGAGAACGAGCTCCTACCCCCAATTCTGACCCGCGCATATCCATATAACCCAATTTGGACCAAGCGCCGCACGAGATAGACCCAAAATTTGGGTATGGGGGTGTATTCCAGTACTTTTGGAGTTGGGCAGGCTAGCAGATCCCATTTGGGTGGTCTTAAAGGACCATAGAAGCCAGTAGGCGAAGGCAGGCTAGCAGAGAATCTTGAGGAACGGGGCGGAGCCTGGGTTTTTGAAGTTCATGACCAACTAGCAGAGATTCTTCAGGAATCCTTCGGCGTTGGAACGAGGCAAGCTAGCAGAGAATTTTTTGCGGAATAGCCGCCTATAGCCGCGGGCTTTGTGTTTTAAAGGACCGTTGCAGTCAAGGTCAGGAGGCAGGCTGGCGGGGATTCTTAGAGAATTTTGACCAGGCAGGCTAGCAGAGAATCTTGAGGAACGGGGCGGAGCCTACAAGCGGGCAGACTAGCAAGGATTCTTTGGCTCCAGGCAACCTAGCAGGGACAATTTTCGACCGATTAAAGGACCTCAGAAGCCATTAAATCATCCAAAAACCCGGCGGGTGTGGCGTTAATTGGTAGGCGGCAACTCGGGGGCCGGCGGGGGGTGCTTGGGCAGTTCCGGAGAGAGGCTGGGCCTTTGGCCGGGTGATTGATGATGGGCAGGGCATATTTGTGAGGGTTGGAGAGAGAGAGAGAAAGAGAGAGAGAGAGAGAGAGAGATCTCTCCCTCCTCCCCCTTGGGTCCTCCTCCTCTCGACCCATCAATCACCCCTCCCCGTCCACCACCTCGATTTATGCACACAAACCCCCGGCACTTCCTGCCGCCTTCAAACACCCCATGCTCCGGCCACACACACCCCCTGAAAGTGACCGAATTTATGGCCCTAGGAGGGCTGGCAGAGATTTTTGGGGAATTTAAGGCGAGCTAGCGACGATCCTTGAGGAATTGGAATGGGGGAGCTAGCAGAGATGTTTGGGGAATGAGGATAGGGCTAACCAGCAGAGGTTCTTTCAAGAAATGCGGGCCAGCTAGCAAGGATTCTTGGAGGAATTTGGGGCAAGTTAGCAGAGATTCTAAGAAATTGGAATGGGCGGGCTAGCAGAGAGAATTTAGGAGGCTAGGGCAACCTAGCAGAGGCCCTTTGGCTAATTCCAGGGCATGGCAAGCTAGCAGAGACGCTTTAGGAATTCTAACGAAATTCCAGGCATTTTTCAGGAATCCGGAGACGGACAAGCTAGCAGAGACCATTTAGGAAATGAGGTGTTTTCGACGGGGACCCGCTAATTTATTGGGTGTTTGCCCGATAAAGCCATCAGGAGGGAGAGAAGGAGCGGAAAAGCCGAGGTGTGGAATTTTGAGGAGGGCTGGCCCCCCTCAAAAAATGAGCTGATAAGGATTTTGGGCTACGAAAGACACGTGCACATCTTCCCGCCCTGTTTTTAGCTTAACTGGAAAATCAGGAAAAACGAAGCAAGCCGAGCGAGATGATTGAGGAATTCGGAGGCGAACAGGGAACAATCAAACAGCTGGAATTTTGAGAGTGGAAGCGAGAGAGAGCGAGAGAGAGAGAGAGAGAGAGAATAAAATTGACTCAAAAATTGGATAAATCGAATTTCATTGGCAAATTAATTACCCTTTACGTCTGGATGGGTTCTTCGTATTCCACCGGCCCTCTGTGTGTCATTTTTGTGTGTTTTCGAAAACAGCCAAAATTGTGGTAAATTTGCATTGCGCACTGGCTGCATCGGTTAGCGTGGAGCTTACTATAAATTTTTCAAGACGTCGATGTACGGTAGCGAGCTGTAGCGTACTCAGGCGTACCGTAGCGTACCGTAGTTTATTATAAAGCGCAACAACGTACTGTCTTGTACTGTTGCGTGCCCTGACGTACTATGGCGCACGAAATCATGCTCTAGCGTAGTGTAACGTAACGTAGGGTACGGTGGTGTATTGTGATGTACTGTGGTGTACTGTATCAAACCACTCTATACCTTACTGTAGCGTACTGTAGCAAGCAGTAGCGTACTGTGACATACCGTAGCGCAGTGTAGCGTATAAGAGCCTACTATAGCGCACCTTGGCGTAAAGCAGCCTATTCTAGGGAATGAAGCGTACCGTATTTCCACAGCATTAGCCTTCAAGACCCCTTTAAAAACGATGTTGAGGTTGAAGGCATGCGAGCAGAGATCCTTTGAGGGATTTTTGCAACATTTCCGCCTCCGCAGTTTTTATTGCCTTCCCCAGGCTCGTAGACCTTGGTCATCCCCTTTTTCGAGATGAAGTTCCTCCTCATCGGCTTTTTGTGGGCCTCTCGACTCCGAAATGCCCCTTTTTCCGGGCGTCTGGGGAACCGTAACCTTTTCTGCAAGATTCTGCACTCTAGTCTCTCGCAGAATCGACAGCTATGGCTAAAATTTCTCGGTTTTCGGCTATTCCTTACTCTTTACTAGCTTTGTGCCAGCTTTCCAGGGTTCCGCAACGGGTCTCTGCTAGCTTGCCCAGACTTCAATAACCTTTTAAAGCGGTTTAAAGGCCTATTGAAGTCAGAAAAAGAGTCTGAAAGTTCCTAAACCATCTCTGCCAGCCTGCCCCACCCATTATCCAAAGTTTTGAGCGCCATTTTCCACCCGCCCATCCGGTTTAATTGGCGGCTTCTATTCCATTTCCCCGCCCCGGCAAAAGGAGGAGGCCCATTGTTGGGTTGGGGCTCATTTTTCCGTGTGTTTTTTGAGGGGGTTGATTTGGGGGAGGGGGGGCAAACGGAAGCCAGCTCGAAATGAGCGTTTCTCGCTCTCTCTCGCTCGCTCTCTCTCTCTCTCTCTCTCGCTTCAACACCACCCACCTCAAATCAAACCTCATTCTCACCCCCCCTCATTCCGCTCGAGGCATACAACACTCTGTTCTGGCGTCAGCGGGAAGACCCTAGGCTAGCTAGCAGTGATTCTGGAGGAATTTTTGGCCTGCTGGTCCCTTAAATGGTGTTTTCTGGGTGTCACTGTCCCTTTAAAACGTTTAAAAGCTTAGTTAAGTGATCGGGAAATTGATTTTTACTGGAATCGGTTTTAAGCACTTTTTTCAAGGTGTCTCCGATCCTTTAAAACGCTCTAAAGGGCCACTCAAGGCTGGGCCGGCTAGCAAGGACCATTAGGGAAACAACTCGAATTCGGCTGGCCCTTTAGAACGAGTTTTTGGGGTGTCACTGTCCCTTTAAAACCAAAAATCCGGGTCAGGGATCGCACCTGGGAAGTTTCAGGCTTCTCCTCCATGTTTCTCACTTGCGCTTTTGAGCCCGGAAAATTTGATTCCCCGGGCGCGCGCGTTGCCCCTTGAAAACCGGCGGCAAAAAATTAGTTTCTGGCTCTTAGGAAAGTAGGTTCCGTTTTAAGGAGGTTTTCGAAAAATTTTCGGGGTACCAGCAGCAACCACGAGGCAAGCTAGCAGCGATTTTTTTGCGGAAAAGTAGAATTTACGGCTTCACTCGGCCTTAAATCGGATTTCCTGCGTTCTAAAGGACCATTGAAGGCAGGGCAGGCGAGCAGAGACCATTTGGGAACCCCTGAATTTCATTAATTGTACACATCAGTGTACAAATTGCAATTTTCGTCTCTCTCACTCTCTCTCTCTCGCTCTTTCTCGCTCGCTCTCTCTCTCGCTCTATCTCTCTCACTCTTTCTCCCTCACTCTCTCTCTCTCTCTCTCTCTCTCTCTCTCTCTCGCTTTCTCTCGAGATCCAGAATTATCGAGGGGGGGATTTTCAATCGCTAGAACGCGCCCCTAAAAACAATACGGGAATGGGCAAAAATGACAAAATGAAGATGGGGATCCACGCGGCTCCAGAGTACAGCCCCTCGCCATTTGGAAAATTCACTGGATCTCGAAATTCATTTCTAGGAATCTGAGTTGTTTTTGGGGTATTACTGTAGCTCGAAAATTCCCAAAATGGCCTCTGCTAGCCTGCCCTTGAATTCCAGGCAGGTTAGCAGAGATTCTTGAGGAAACTGCAAGAAAGTTGTAATAATTGGTCCAATTTTTTGCGCGCTTCCAGGATTCCCGATATACATTTTCCCGATGTGTCACTGACTACAGACCGGCGGCAGAAGGCGGAAAATTGGCTTTATTCCTTTTTTTCAGGGGATTTTCTTTTTTTCTAAGAAGGCGGATATATGTGTTTTGGAGCTAATCATTTGGCTCTAATGGTCTCTGCTAGCCTGCCCAGGACTTAGAAATTTCCTAGTGGATCTCTGCTAGCCTGTCTGGGGGTTCTAAAGGTTTTTAAAGGGATGGTGACATCTAGAAAATGCTAAAAATGATCTCTGCTAGTCTGCCCCATTCCCTAAAATACCTGAAAAATCTCTGCTAGCCTGCCCCAGTCGACCCAGGCAAACTTTATTTCCCGGTTCACATCGTCATCCATTCATTCTGTCGTCCTCTCTCTCTCTCTCTCTCTCTCTCTCTCTCTCTCTCTCTCTCTCTCTCTCTCTCTCGCTCTCACCCTCGCTCTCATTTTGGACCGCCGGGTTTGCGGGGGACTGATTAAGCCAATTTTGGTGCTCGGCGCGGGCAGGCAAAAGCCGCCAGGGCACACCGGCTGAAATAGACAGACAAACAGAAATAGACGAACAGACAGAGGGCACTTTTTGGTGCCCTTACCAGGGGGGAGAAGCCTTGATTTACATGTTTTGCTCCCTGAAACCCGCCTCCTCCTGGCAGTGAAACCCCGCAAAAATTCGGGCCAAAATTAAACGTGCCCTGCGGGGCACGTTTAATTTCTGGAGCCAGACTCACGCTCGCCATACAGCTGATCATATTCTGTATTGTGGTGTCAAAATTTGGGAGGGGGCAGGCTAGCAGGGGTTCTTGAGGAATTGGGCCAGCAGGGACCAATCGAGTCGCTTTTGCCTTCAATGGCCCTTTAAAGGGTTTGTTCTAAGTGTCTCTATCCCTTTAAAATGCTTCTAAAAAGCATTTTCGATCTGGTTACGCGATCTAAATAGGAATCACTAGGACCAGAAGCAGGCTAGCAGGGATTCTTGAGGAATTGGACAAATTTGAGCAGCTTTTGGCTTCAATGGCCCCTTTAATTTATTTTTCTAGGTGTCAACATCCCTTTAAATTGGATAAATGGAGGGTAGAGGACAATTTTTGCATCCGATTACGCCCTCTAAGTGCTCTCCGCCGCATTTTCGAGCTTTCATCGTCCCTTTGAAACCAGGGCAAGCTAGCAGAGTTTCTTTGTGGAAGCGAGTACATACTCCAGCCTTTTGATATTTTTGCTCTCATCTCTCTCCCTCTCTCTTTCGCTCGCTCTCTCTCGCTCTCTGTCTCTCTCTCTCTCTTTTTCTCGCCCTCTCTGTGTCTCTCGCTCTCTCGCGTGCTCTCTCCCCTCAAAATACTCTCTCGCCATCCCCAAATTACCGTTTGGAACCTCATCATTATCAGCCCCTTTAGAACCCTGAAATTAGCGGCATCGGAGGCGGGAAGGCTACGGTAGTTGGGGGAAGCGGTCATTTCTCGCCCACCGCCTCCTAGTTAATTTATCGATTTTTCTTAACTTTATGGCAGGCTAGCAAAGATTTTTAGGGAATTTCTCAAGTCATGTTTTTCTGCCATCACCACCTCTTTGTCGTCATTCCCTTAAAGTCATCATTATTCCTCATTTTTCCCCGATTTTTCGCTTCTTTTATCCATTTCCACCTCCCCGGAATGCCCTCAGCCTCAGGATTGTTTTTATTTACGGAAGGCGTTCGGCTGGAAATATCGATTTGCCGGATGGAGAAAGTAACCTGAGATTTTTAAGGGCCAGGGAAGAGGGCTTGAAGAAAACGAGAGAGCCTTGCCCTCCAGCCCCCAGGGTGTATTTCGACAAATTGGAATTCGTTGATTTTTAGCGCATTTTTTCAAGATTTCTTTAACTTTGTACTCTACTTAGCCTTCAATGGCCCTTTAAAAAGTTTTTCAGGCATTGTGAAACTTAGAAAATTTGCAGAAAAATGTCCACAACGATCTCTGCCGGCTTGCCTTGATTCCTGAATGCTCACTGCTAGCCTGCCTTGTCTTCAATGGCTCTTTAAAGCGACTTGAAAGGCATGGTGACACCTAGGAAATTGACAGAAAACTGTCCCATATGATCTCTGCTAGGTTGCCTTGGCTCCTAAATGTTCTCTGCTAGCCTGCCCTGCCTTCAATGCTCCTTTAGAGCAGTTTAAAGGGATGGTGACACCTCGAAAATGCATCAAATCAGTAGAAACTTCATTTTAAGGGTCATTGAAGCCAAGTCCTCAAAGATCTCTGCTAGCCTGCCCCACATCGCCCAATCCCCACAAATTAGAATATTCTGACTCAATGCTGATCCCGGCGGGGCCCCAAAAAAAGTGCCCCAGGTTTTGGTAGGATTTGGCGGGGGCAGGCTGGCGGGGGAAACCTGGTATAAAATCTCCAACGCCACCCGCCCCCATTCATCCCGGTGCCCCGGCCAATCTTTTCCTGGTTTTGCCCCCTCCACCACTAATCCGATGGTCCTCTCAATGGACTCTTGTCAAAAATCGCACTCCAACGCTGATTTCATGGCTTGAATATTGGGTTTTATCACGTATTTTTGCCTTCATTGGTCCTTTAACATTGATTTTTTCGTATTTAGAGGTGTCATTGTCCCTTTAAAGCAATTTTCTAGCTCTTACCGTCTCTTTAATGCTATTTTCTAGCTGTCGCTGTCCCTTTAAACCTATTTTCTAGGTGTCGCGGTCCCTTTAAAGCTATTTTCTGGGTGTCGCTGGGCCTTTAAAGCTATTTTCTAGCTGTCGCTGTCCATTTAAGACCATTTTCTAGGTGTCACTGTTCCTTTAAGAACAATTTTCTAGGTGTCGCTGTCCCTTTGAAGCTTTTTTCTAGGTGTCGATGTCCCTTTAAAGCTATTTTCTAGGTGTCGCTGGGCCTTTAAAGCTATTTTCCAGCTGGAAATGTCCATTGAAGCTATTTTCTAGCTGTCGCTGTCCCTTTGAAGCTTTTTTCTAGGTGTCACTGTCCCTTTAAGGCGATTGTCCAGGTGTCGCTGTCCCTTTAAAGTGCTTTCAAGACGGTCCGAAGTCAGGCACACCTGCAGCGATCCTTGAGGCATCGATTACGCATTCTCCAAAGGCAAGCTAGCAAGGACCATTTGCGACCAAAAACGGCCATCAGCAAAAATACCCTTTTTTTTTGTTCCCCCGGAACCGGAAGCCCGGCCGTCGCCCCCACCATAACACCGGAAGGGATTTTCGGCATCTGGTCGCTGAAAATTTCCCCACAACTTCTTCTCAAAATTTTTGGGGAAATGATTTATTGATCTAGGCCGGGCTATTCAGAGTCTGGCATTTTTGAGATGCTGCAGATTTTGGCATTGTTTTCCGGGTGTTCCGATTTACGCGCCGACATTTCCGGATGGGTGGAGCGGAAGCGTGGTGGAGTCCGAAAATAGCCTACGGGGACCTTTTTGGGGGTTAGCCGATTCCTAACGGATCGCTGCTAGCTTGCTGGGCTTCGGTATGGTTCCTAAAGGACTTCTGCTAGTTTAGCCGGCATTTAAAGGTCCATTGAAGGCTAGAAATCTGTCCTCAATGGCCTCTGCTAGCTTGCCATGCCTGATTTTTGATCCTCAGAGAATCTCTGTTCTCTTTTCTGACGATTTTCCTCAAGAATCCCTGCTAGCCTGCCTTGTCAAATCTCATTTTTTTAGCCATGGACTACTACGACAACATCACCGACTACAACGGGACTTCAAACTCCACTGAAAATCATAATGACAGCATGGACGAGTTTAGGATTGAAGACTGGGTAGGTTTCTCTCTCTCGCTCCCTCTCTCTCTCTCGCTCCCTCTCTCTCTCTCTCTCTCTCTCTCTCTCTCTTTTTCTCGCTCTCCTCAAAGAATCCCTGCTAGCCTGCCCTTTCCAGGTAGAAGTCTCCCTCTACTCGGTCGCCTTCTTCGTCGGCGGTCCCCTCAACATCATCTCCTTCGTCCGTCTCGTCAAGGCATTACGGAGACTGAAGGCAGGCTAGCAGAGATTCATGAGGAATTTTAGTTTTTTAGCACCCCTCCCCAATTTTGCTCCTTCGGCTGAACCTCAACATTGCCGACCTGTTCACGCTGTTCCTCTACGTGCCCAAGCAGATCATATGGCTGATAGCGCAGCAGGTAAGGGGCTAGCGACGAGTTGAGGGTCGCTGGTTCGAACCCCGGCGGTGACCAGATTTTTGCTTTTTGGTTTTTAAGCTAAGAAATGATTTTTGAACATTAAAGAAATAGCATTTTAAAAATTCTCCAAGAATCTCTGCTAATTCCGCTATTTTTTAGTGGTACGGTGGGGACGTGCTCTGCCGGCTGTGCGCCTTCTTCTCGACGTTCTGCTTCTACCTGCACTCGTTCGTGATCGCGTGCATCGCGATAGATCGACTGATGGGAGCGTGGAATATTAAGTACGTTATTTTAAGCGTATTTTGAAGCAAAAAATATTTTTGGCCTGAAAAATTTCGATTTAGTTAATTTTGGCTATTAAAAACGATATAAATATTTTTTCAGCTCGGTTTCCGGCTGCCGTCGAGCGTACACACGCGTATCTCGGCTGCTCTTCGCCTCGTGGCTCCTCGCCACGATTCTAGCCCTGCCGCAGACGCTGATCTTCAAGGTGTACGAGAACATCGGGATGTTGGACCAGAATATTACGTGGGTTTTTGGCTTTAGTGGCCCTTTAAAATTGGTTTATTGAGAGACGACATTTAAAAAGCCAGTTCTCAATCGATTACGCCTTGAAATTCGACTTTTCCTAACCGACTAAGCGACGTAAATCGTATTCCTGTTCCATTACGCGATCAAATTCCCTCTCCGAAACGATTACGATAGGAAAAACGAGATTTTTGAACCGATTACGCCATGAAAATGAGCTTTTAGAATCGATTACGCCATCAAATTTAATTTTTGCGAACCGATTACGCGATAAAATTCTGGCTTTTCTAATCGATTACGTCATCTAAATCCCCCATTTTCTGACTTCCATGGCCCTTGAAAACGACTTTTTTCAGGCAATGCGCCTCGTTCTGGATGAAGGCGCGCTACGACGCGAACAACATCTTCTTGGACCCGGATATCTCGGACATGTTCAAGACGCAGGTGAGGGGCTTTCCGCAAATTCTCTCTTCTAGCCTTCCCTGCCTTCAATGGGCCTTGAAAGCGTTTTAAAGGGGCGGTGACACCTCGAAAATTGTCTCTGCTAGTCTGCCTTGCCCTCACACGCCTTTAAATACGCTTTCAAGGGACGGTGACACCTCGAAAACCCAAATTTCCAGGTAGCGATGGAGATGCAGCTCCTCATCCTCTACGAGCGATGGTATTCCGTTGCTCATCTCGTGTTCAACTTCGTGCTCCCGACGATGACCATCTTTTTCTCGTACACGACGCTGCTCTTCGTCCTCAAGGGGTTCATTAAAGGTACGTAGAAGTCGGCTCCCTCTCTTTCTCTCTCTTTCACTCTCTCACTCTCTCTCTCTCTCTCTCTCTCTCTACTCTCTCTATCTCTCTCTATCTTAATTTTTTCAGAAACTCGAACCGGAAATACGCCTCGGCGATCCCTCCTGCTATTGACGAAACATCAATGTTCTGAAGATGAGGGTAGTCGAGGTATACTGTAGCTTTAAAAACTAATTTTTATTGTTAGTTGGTGCTCAAGTCGTTGCTGATCCGGGTTCACCAAGGAGGAACAGTCAGCAAACACTGCAGGGGGACCTCCACGATGATGTGTCGTCACTGGGAATGTCGAAGGGGTGAGAGAGCAGAGAGAGAGTGAGAGCGAGAGACAGAGAGAGACAGAGGAGAGGGTTAGAGACAGTGAGAGAGATAGAGAGAGAGCGAGCGAGAGAGAGGTGGCAGGCTAGCAGAGATCCTTTGAGAAATCCTTCTTTTTTAGTGATGGCACTGAAGTCTCGATGAGCATGGATGACATGCGCCCAAAACGCCCGAAAAAGAAAGAGCAGCGCGCCTTCATCACCCCGTTTGCGGCCGGGAAGATTGCCAAGGCGAGAAAGGTAAATTTCTAGGTGTCGCCGTCACTTTAAAATGGTTTAAAGGACCATTGAAGGCTGGGCAGGCTAGCAGAGAGCATTTGCCGCACTAGTTTTGTCTTCAACCGCCCTTTAAAACAGATTTTCGAGCTGTCGCCGTCGCTTTAGAGCGTTCTAAAGGCCTAATGAAGGTGGGGCAGGCTTGCAGAGAGCATTTGCGGACCTAGTTTTGCCTTCAATGGTCCTTTAGAGCCGATTTTCGTGGTGTCACCATCCCTTTAAACCCGATTTTCAGGAAGCCAAGCGACAAGCAGCTCTGATTCTTCTCGCTTTCCTCGTCTGCTGGAGCCCCTACTATGTGATGTCAATTTTGAAGGTATCAATTTTCTCCAGTTTCCCAAATGGCCTCTGCTAGCCTGCCCGGGCCGCTAGAGGCTTTTAAAGGAGTGGAGACATCTAGAAAATATATTAAGACACTTTTAAAGGACCGTTGAAGTCAATAATCTCTCCCAAATGGTCTCTGCTAGCTTGCCCCGGCCTCTAAAAGCTGCCTAAAGAGTCTCTGCTAGTTTGCCTGACCTGAGGAAGCTTTTAAAGGGGGGCGACACCTAAAAAGTTCTGAGTATCAACTTTCAAGGACCATTGAAGGCAAAAAGCTAGTCTAAATGATCTCTGCTAGCTTGCCATGTCCTGTAGGTGATTTTAAAGGGATGGTGACACCTAGCAAATGCGTTTTAAAGGTCCATTGAAGGCAAAAACCCCTCGATATTCAGGTGGCCGGCGTATTCCACAACTCGCTAAACCAATATGAATTCCTGAACAGCCTCATCACTGCCAATCCCATCATCAACCCAATTATCTATGGTGTCTTTAGGGCTGTATAGTATTTTGTGTTTCTTGTGACTTCACTGCCGCTTTAAAATGGTTACGTCTTCAAAAGCGTAAAAATTGATGGATTACGGCACCAAAATCGGGATTTCGGACCGACTTTGCCATGAAAATCACGTTTTCGAACCGATTAGGCTATGAAATCCGCGTTTTCCAACTGATTACGTCAGTAAAATAGCAAAAATTTTTGATTACGGCATGAAATTTCACGTTTCGAACCCATTACGCTATGAAAATAGATATTTTGAATCGCTTACGCTACCAAAATCGAACCTTTTGAATCGATTACGCTCTATAATTTGGAAGATGAATCGATTACGCAACGAAATTGTCAAAAATTAAACGATTACGACATCATATTCAAAAATCTGGTGCATTACGCCATGAAAATTCGGGATTTCGAATCGATTACGGTATGAAAACCCCGTTTTAGAAACCGTTTGCGCTATGAAAATCCCGTTTTCCAAACCGTTTACACCATTAAATATCTATAGGAATTTCCTTATGTTCTTCCACATATCAAATTGCCAAAAAGCAACGATTCTCCAGTGATTTTCGAACCGATTACGCTATGAAAATTTCCGATTTAATTTTTGTATTTATTTACGTTTTTAAGTTTTTTTTCGATGTATTCCGGTTTTGTCATGTTAAAGAACAAGAAAAATATTGAAAAACATTCTTAATTCAAAATACACAATAATGGCGGGTACGGTAGACAGACAGACAAAAAATGCAAAAATGACAAATACAGCAAAAAACACAAAAGTGGAGATATGTAGGCAAAATGGCGTCTAAAAATTACCCGAGACCGACCATCGTATTAAAAATTCGGAAAAGCGTTTTAAAGGGACAGTGACACTAAGGAAACGGAAGCGCATAACTGATTAGACAATGAAATTCGGGTTTCGATGCGATGACGCGATGTAATTTGGTTTTAAAGGGACAGTGACAGCAATCCAATTTCCATCTGCTTACTGTGACATTTGGGGTAAATCCGATGGCCCATCAAACATGGTGCGCCAGATTTGCTTCCGGGTGGAGACGCCGGTGAGGTGGGAATTCACGTCCAGGACCTGAAAAGTTGGCTTAGGCTTGGGCTTGGCTTCGGCTTAGGCTTAGCTTAGGCTTGGCTTAGACTTTGGCTTGGGCTTAGGAATAGGCTTAGGCTGAGGTTTCAGCTTAGACTGAGGCTCACCAATTTCTTGACGTTTTTCCACTGCAATACAGCGCAAACGAGCAGCATTGCCGTCCCGACACCCACAAATGAGCAGCCAGCGATGATGAATGGGGTTTCCTGTTGCTAAAATTTGATTTTAGAGGCCCATTGAAGGCAAAATTCGTAGAAATAGGGCCGTGGGTTCGAACCCCGGCCGCGTCAAATTTTTTGCTTTTTGCTTGGAAGGTTCTCAGAGGGCCAAATCTTGTTTTAAAGGAGCATTGAAGGCAAAAACCCACCAAAATCAGAACCAGTACTCCAGATGAAAATAGCGCCACACCGCATATGAACAATCCGGACATGGCCAAGACGGTGCCGGTCGAGGAGGGCGTCTTTTTCATCGTGGCGAGCTCGCGCTAAAAAATTGAATAAGCGCGAGGCATAAGCCTAAGCCTAAGTCAAAGCCCAAGCCGGCTTACCTTATTAAAAACCGGCGTCTGCATCCGCTCCAACGGATCGCCGCCTATGGAGTAGGCACGCTTCGGGACCTTGATCTTCATGCTGAGCGCTGGGGAATGCTCCTGAAAAGTGAAAACTCCTCAAAGAATCTCTGCTAGCATCCCCTGACTTCACTGGTCCTTTAAAATCGGTTTAAAGGTGTGGTGACACCTGGAAAACCCGGTTGGATCGTTTTAAGGGGAAGTTTTCTGCAATCGGCCTCAAAGAATCTCTGCTAGCTTGCCCTAGCTACTTTGGTCCTTTAAAATGAGCTTAAAGGGGTGGTGACATCTAGACAATCGATTTAAAGGACCCTTGAAGGCAAGAAGAGTATAAAGAGCAAATAAGTCCCGCCCTTTTCCTCAGGGATCTCTGCAAGCTACCCCGGATCCTTAAGAATCTCTGCTAGCCTACCCTAAACCTCAGAAAAATATAAAATGTAAAAATGCTAATGCTAACCACCAAAAAAGTGGCCGCAGGGGCTGGCTATGCGCCGGCGGCGATGAGTCAACAATCGGCGAGCCGGGGCCAGGAATCGATGGCCATTTTTGGGGGGTGATAAGGGCCGTATTGTTAGCTTTTCAAAAGGCCAGCCGAGGCTAGCAGGCAAATATTGAATTCGGAAAAGCGCGCGTATTTGGGCCTCAAAGGCCCAAAAACGAGGGGCATTTCATGCTAAAATTGGCAAAAAATCCGAAAAAAAATCCATGGAAAAATTTGGGCAGCTAGCAGAGGCGCTTTGAGGCAGATTTCCCTGTCGTAATTGGTTAGGAACTGGCAATTACATTGCGTAATCGGTGAACAATGTATAGGCAAGCTAGCAGTGACAAATTGCGGAATAATTTGATGCCGTACGCTATTGGCAAAAACGAATTAGGGTGCGTAATCGGTTTGAAAATGGATACGCTACCTAGCAAACGCAATTTGAAGAAAATTTTCTGGCGTAATTGGTTAGGAACTGCTACTTTCCTTGCGTAGCTGCTCGAAAATTTAGACGGTAGCTAGCAGAGACAATTTGCCCGATATCTTCACGTTGTAATCGATCAAAAGCTGATTGTAAAATTAGGGCAAGCAAGCAGAGGAAATTGAGGAAGATTACCATACCGTAAGCGAATAGCAAAAGCAAATTACGTTGCCTAATCGATTCAAAATCTGATAGGCAGCTAGCAGAAGTAATTTGCAGTACAGTTTCATTTCTCAAACTATTGGAATTGGCGAATTACGTTGCGTATTCGATGATTGACCTACCGCGTAGACATTTAACGGGATAGGGGTCAAAAAGTTGGTGTCGAGGTGGAGGGGGTGGAGCAGAGGCTCACCGCCTGGATGGTCTGGTCTGGTGACGTCCACCACCTCGTTTCGAGACATTTCTGAAATCAGAATTTATGGAAATTCCGCAAAGAATCTCTGCTAGCTACACTTATCGCAAAAAAATTCTGCTAGCCTGCCCGGTTAAGTTTTTAAAAGCTCGGCAAGCTGAGGAGGGAATTTTTTGGAGCTTTGGCTTAGTTTCTATAAAAGAATGATAAAAACAGACCTTTCAGCATTCCAACCCCGCAAATCTCGAATGGCAAAATTCCCCCGGGTTTGTCGCCCCCTTCAATAACCCCCAAAATTGGATTTTGACGAGCTTTTGATGGACATACGAGGTTTTTTGGGGTCACTTTTAAAACCAAGCGACGATTAGGCAATTTAAAAACCGAAACAGAATAAAAATTTACCTGTCATTTCCTGGGATAGCGATGAAGTACTGGTATTTGGGGATGAAGCCGCCGAGGAGCTGAAGGAGTCACCGGAAGAATGAGCAGAAATTCGGTAGCGTGGGACGGACATTTTCCTGAAAATCGGATTTTAAAGGGACGGTGACACGAGGCAGGCTAGCAGAGATTCTTTGAGGAATTGGAGGGGCAGGCTAGCAGAGATTCTTTGAGGAATTGGAGGAGCACGCTAGCAGAGATTCTTTGAGGAATTGGAGGGCCAGGCTGGCAGAGATTCTTTGAGGAATTGGAGGGGCAGGCTAGCAGAGATTCTTTGAGGAATTGGAGGGGCAGACTAGCAGAGATTCTTTGAGGAATTGGAGGGGCAGACTAGCAGAGATTCTTTGAGGAATTGGAGGGGCAGACTAGCAGAGATTCTTTGAGGAATTGGAGGGGCAGACTAGCAGAGATTCTTTGAGGAATTTGTGGGGCAAAGTAGCAGAGATTCTTTGAGGAATTTGTGGGGCAAACAAGCAGAGATTCTTTGGGGAATTTCATAGAATTGGTGCTAGAATCGATGACTAGGGCTAGGTGTGGTGGTGGATGCCTGAAAACTGGTGGGTAAATATTAAGCGGAGGGAGCGGGTATAAGAGAAGATGATGTTTACACAGCAGCCAGCAGAGGCAGTGCCAGCTACTATTGTTCATCAATGGCAGCCAGCGGGCAGGCTAGCAGGGATACTTTGAGGAATTCAGAATCACGAAAAAAGGCATCTAGCAAAGATTCTTGAGGAAACTGCTGAAATTTCAAATTTTTTGCTTAGAAAAGCGTAATTTTTATCTTTTTCAGGTTCTACGGCGCCGCCACGATGGAGAATTCCTCAAGGATCTTTGCTAGCCTGCCGAAAGCCACAGAAAGATGAGAAGTGAACTGGGTGTGGTTTTTCTCTTGTTTTTCTGGCTCTCAAGGGCCATTTGAGTCATAGCGTCAACAAATAGGCTAACTGGTCTCTAAGTTTTCTCAAATGATCTCTGCTAGCCCGCTGGGTAAACTTAGAATTTTCCTAAAGCATCTCTGCTAGCTGACCTTGCCCTTTTTTGACTAGCATCCTAAATAACCTCTGCTCGTTAGTCGCATTTTTTCCGGTTTTTTAGATGTCATCGTCTCTTTAATAGCAGAACTCGCATTGCAAATGGTCTCTGCTAGCTTGCCTAGGCTCAGCTGCTATTTTCCTCAAGAATCTCCGCTAGCCGTATCGTATTTTCCTAAAAAATCTCTGCTAGATCGCCGGCCAGCTCACGAATTTCCTCAAAGAATCCCTGCTAGCCTGCCCCTCCTCCCTCCTTTGTATGTCCCATTGGTCATGGCCCTTGCCTGTCCGCCACTCAAGAAATGGCCCATCAACGCGTCCGTCCTCTCGCCCCTGCCCCCCTCCGTGCCATTCCGTTTCCGCTTGTCCCCCTCCCCCCTCCTCCACTCGACAACACTTTTCCGCGCCTTTCCAAACTACGAACGAGCACGCGCGGTGATTTCGCAAAGGATCTTTGCTAGCTTGCCTTTCTCAAGGCTACATTAGATCGCGTAATCGAATCCCCAATTATCTCGGCTACGTCCTTCACTTTCAGTTTCATTTTTCCCGAAATTTCCTCTGTTAGCCTGCCCGCTCTCGATACGTTTTTTCCGTTCTCCGGATCCGGAATCGGCCACTGTAGTCCGGGGGAGCAATAAATTAGTAGCTCATCCCGGTTCCAGCTCTTCCTCCCCCTCCCTCTCCTCGATAGTCTCATTTGCCCCCAATTAGCTCTTCATATTCCTATCCTCATCCTCCTCCTCCTCATCCTCCCCTCATAAGTGAAAGGGAACATCCCCCGAAACTTGCGATTTCCGAGGCGCTACCCCCTCGGGGCGAACGGCCGTTCCCTTTCCCCCGTCATTATCACCGTTTCGTACTGTCAAATTGGATCAACGGACGTCTGGCGATCCCTAGGGGGTCTCTGCTAGCTTGCCTTGTCATCGAGCTGCTCCTAAATGATCTCTGCTAGCCTGCCCTAGTTTTCTTCAGCGCTTACGGTATCCCTGCTACCCGCCCAGTGCTTGAATCGTTTCCGAATGATCCCTGCTAGTTTCCCTTGGGCGGAGATGCTCCTAAATGATCACCGCTAGCTTGCCAAGTGCCAAAAGCCTGAGCTCGATGATGCCGTAGGGTAGGAAACTGGTTACTGTCACTCTGTCTCTCCCTCTCTCTCTCTCTCTCTCTCTCTCTCTCTCTCTGCCTCTCGCTCTCCTTCTCTCTCTCTTCCGATTTTATGAGGCAACTAACGGTCGTATTGTCACGACACAATACTGCTAGGGGCAGGCTAGCAGAGGCCATTTGCCCCTGTCCTTTTCTCCTGATCCCATTCAGGCTAGCTGATTTGTTTACGGGCGCCTCTAGACAGCCGCCTGTAGCCTCCGGGCATGTCCGAGTTTCGCTTCCCTCTCTCTCTCTCTCTCTCTCTCTCTCTCTCTCTCGCTTCTGATATGCTAATGTGGCACCGTTCTCTCCCCGAGACCTAGTGATTTCTCCTTTCCCCATTCCCTTCCGCTGATCCTCGAAGTCAGACCCAAATTCAGATTTCTCCCCGTCCGTCTCTCTCTCTCTCTCCCTCTCTCTCACCACTTGCTCGCTTTCCATTTTGCCCTATTTCCCCATTTCGAGAGCCGAATTTCGGAATGATAGCCGATCATTCTCGGGCCTTGAACGGCGCTAGATGCTAATTTCCCCGACCGCGAGATGATAATAATCTCGGATTGGGCTGTCTGGCGTCTTTTCCTCGCTTTAATGGTCCTTTAAAATGATTTCCTGGTTCTCAAATGGTCTCTGCTAGCTTGCCCTGCATTCCAGTCTTTCCCAAATGACCTCTGCTAGCTTGCCAGCATCTGAATGGCTTCTCAAAGGATCTCTGCTGGCTTACCTTGCCCTCCAGTCCTTCCCAAATGATCTCTGCTAGCCTGCCTGCACCATTTGCCGAGTTAGGGACCTGTCAACTGGTATCTCTTTGCCTGTGTGTGTCGGTTGGGTGTTGAATAGCCCCCTCAGCTGTGGGGCAACAAGTCAAAGCCAGTTTCGGGAATAATAGAAGAGAGAGAGAGAGAGAGAGAGAGAGCGAGAGAGAGAGAGAGAGAGAGAGAGAGAGAGAGATAATCTACAGGTTCTGCCCTGCCCACACCCCGAAAATGTGCCCCCGGGCTCGGAGCGAGTGGACAAATCGGATTTACAACCCTTATTTTGGCGGGGCAGGCTAGCAGAGATCATTTGAGCGGCAAAATTCCTCAAGGAAACTCTGCTAGCCTGCGCTTCCTCAAGGTTTTCTGCAATCCGGTTAAGCGATGAAATTCTCTTATTCCGATTCCTCAAGAATCCCTGCGAGCTTGCCCTTGAAAAGGACAGTTTTTAAAGAACTCCTGCTAGCCTGCCCGTTTTTTTCAATTCCTCAATGATCTCTGCTAGCCTGCCTATCACTTCCAGCCCCACAAAGCCCCCGGAGTCTCAAAAGGAGGGCACCTAGCGCAGCTGGAAGCCCAGATCAGACCGCTCTCTCTCTCTCTCTCTCTCTCTCTCTCTCTCTCTCTCGCTCTCTCTCTCGCCAGGTGAGCCCCCAGATTTTGGCGGATTTATTTTCTCCCTGGGCAGGGTTTAAGTCGGAATTTAGCGGGTTAATTCCTCCCACCCACCGCCTTGAGAATTCCCGCTAGCCTCCCGGATTTTCGCTCCGGGACCTTGGAAACCATTTTTTCAGCTTATTTTTCCCGGATTTAGACAATTTTTGAGGGCGCCAGCTAGCAGAGATTCTTTGTGGAATTGGAGGGGCAGGCTAGCAGAGATTCTTTGGGGGAATTTCGAACTCGGTTCCCACCCGATCTTCCGGCCAATTTCCCCCACCCCTGGCCATTGGCAAGGCCAACAGTAGGAATGGCCAGTTTGCACCCTACCAGCTGGTACCCTCCCTCTCTTTCCTCAAAGAGTCTCTGCCAGCCTGCCCCTCTCTCTCTCTCTCTCCGACCTTGGGGCACAAACCACCGGCTAGCCTTGTAAAAGGTTGGAGATCCCATCTATCCCTCACTAACACACAACGGACACCTCAACCCACATTTTGCTTTGTATTAGTCATCAAAGGGTTTCTGCTGGATTGCCAATTCCTCAAAGAATCTGTGCTAGCCTGCCCCCATTTCCTCAAAGAATCTCTGCTAGCTAGCCCCTATATTTCCTCAAAAACCTGTGCTAGCTGCCCTTTCCTCAGATGCTCTCTGCTACCACTTCCTATTTCATTTTTTCAGAATGCGACAAAATTCACGACTCGCCAGGGCCCTCGTTTTTCCGCTTCTATACGGATTGGCAGCCGCTGACACCTGCCTGAGGTGAGCTTTACGACTTCCGCAAGGGTCTCTGCTAGCCTGCCCTCATATTGGCAATTTTTACCTTTTTAAAGAAACCGGGAAGTCAGAAATTCTTCTGGATTTTGCGTTTCCTGATTTTCCGGTGCCTTTAAAAGGTTTTCGAGCTCTAAAAAGTTAGATTCCGAGTGTCACACTCCCTTTAATAGCATTGTTTTAGTCAGGGAGAACTCGCCGGAGTCGTGTTCGGCTCCGTCTTCGGCACGCTCGTCATTTGCGCGTGCATCGGAGCCGCGCTGTACTGCTTCCTGTGGCGACAGCCGAAATGTGGGTTACGGTAGCTTTGGCTTGGCTTGAAATTGGGCTTTGTAGAGTTTTTTAAGCCCTTTCGACTGATGTATAAATTATTACGTTAGCAAATTCATAGCGAAAGTTAAGAGGGGTTGAAGTTGAGTCTAGACTACAAAGTACAATCGTTCGCTGTAGGCTACAGATCGACACTCAGGGACATTCGCTTTGGACTCATTTTGTAGAGTTTTTCAAGGGCTTTCGAATCCTGTATAAATCGTTACAATAGCTAATTCCTCGCGAAAGTACTGACGGCTTGAAGTTGTCGCCCAGGAGAGGTCGACCCGCGAAATTGGCCATATCGATAGGCTTACCGACATTTTCGATTTTTTGAGATTGCCGTCATTTTGCTATTTTTAATACAGGGCTTTGTAGCCATTTTCAAGCCCTTTCGAATGGTGTATAAATCATTACAGTAGGTATTTCCTGGGGTAAGTTATAGCTAGTTAAAGTTGAAGCTTAGGCTTAGGCTTAGGCTTAGGCTTAGGCTTAGGCTTAGGCTTAGGCTTAGGCTTAGGCTTAGGCTTAGGCTTAGGCTTAGGCTTAGGCTTAGGCTTAGGCTTAGGCTTAGGCTTAGGCTTAGGCTTAGGCTTAGGCTTAGGCTTAGGCTTGGCTTAGGCTTGGCTTAGGTTAGGCTTAGGCTTAGGTTAGGCTTAGGCTTAGGCTTAGGCTTAGGCTTAGGCTTAGGCCTAGAGGTCGACCATGGAAATCGGCCATATCGATAGGCTTCGCCAAATTTCTGGATTTTTTGAAGGGCCGGTTTTTTTTATCCTACTATATATAAAAAAATAGTGTCTGTGTGTGTGTGTGTGTGCCACTTTGCATGCAACTTCCGTCAGCGTGTCCGGAGGATATCTCAATAGGGAAAGGGATGAAGGGGGCGTATGATACGTCATTAGACGCGTAATGGCCTGTAGATGACTGCACGCATATCAGATTTTGCAAAATCAATTGTTTTCGACATTAAAATTAAGTTTTTCCTTAAAAATCGGACACCCTCTTTGTTAGGAAAAAATTAGCATACGCCGGAAGTGGGAGTAGCCTATATAATCGGGGAGAGGACGCGAATTTGATTTTTTTGACATAAAGCGCGGAAGGATTATGCAAATCGACGGATTCATAGGGTTGGACGGGGGCCAGGGTTGAAAAGTCGCGAAGCGGCTTTTCAACCCTGGTTAAGGTTTAAATTTTTTATAGGCTTTCTGATAACGTTTTTAATTGGCTTTTTAACCATATTAGGTATTGCTGTAGCTAATTCCTAGAGTAAGGTAGAGCTAGTTAAACTTAGCGCTTGGGTTTAAGCTTAGGCTGATTTTTATCGTGTTTTTTCAGCAAAAATCGCCAACGCCAAAACGAACCACCTACCCCCGACCGCGACAAAAACAACGGAGCGTGGGTGCGACCCGGAAAATGTGCCTCATTCTGATAAGGTATACTGTAGCGCTACATTAATCCTGAATTTTCCGTTTTTTTTTAGTTCACCCTCATCGACTCGTACAAGCTGAGGCGAAAGTCCGATTTTGCGCAGCAAAAGAGCTTCTCCAGCGAGGATGTCAATGAGGTTGGCCAGCTGGGATTCTTTGGGGAATTTTCGGGGTGGAATTTTGCCTTCACTGGTCCTTGAAAATGGATTTTCGGGGTGTCACCATCCCTTGAAAAGATTCTAAAGGGCCATTGAAGGCAGGACAAGCTAGCAGAGGACCCTGGGCGAGCTAGCAGAGACCATTTTCAACCCCTCTTTTCTAGGTGGAGGCCGTGGCAGCCGTCGACTTGTCCTCGAAATCCCTGCAGGGCCTCGGCTTCTCGGTGCGAGGCTCAATGGGTGAGGGCATCTTCATCAGGGAGGTCATCGAGGACGGGCCGGCTGATACATCGAAGAATGTGTTCCCAGGTCAGTAACAGGGCTGGCTAGCAGAGATTTTTCAGGAAAATCCGGATTCCTGGCACGCTCCCTTTAAAATGAATTTTTTAGGTAATTGATTCAGGGAAGGCAGGCTAGCAGGGATTCTTGAGGAATTCCCACTAAGCCACGCCCCTTTTTGCAGGCGACCGCATCCGGGGCCTATGGATCAGCTTCGACGAGATGGTGTTCAGCGATGCGGTGACGATACTGTCGTATGCTTCTCCGTATAAGGTGCGTGCCTTCACTGGCCCTTGAAAAGGGGCGTGGCCTTTGGAAGCTGGCTTTAGCGGTCCTTTAAAATGGCGTTTTAGGTGAAGCTCGAGCTGGAGCGGAAGGTGGCCGAGACGCCGACGCTGGAAATTGACACTCAAGGTGAGGGCGGGGCAGACTAGCAGGGATTCTTGGGGAAAGGGTAGGCTAGCAGAGGTTCTTGCGGAAATTTAGGTTTTTGGGGGCTCGGGGCAGGCTAGCAGAGACCATTTAGGACCACCAGGGCATGCTAGCAGAGACCATTAGCGGAACCTAACCCCAATTTTTCAGCCCCGTCCACCTTCCTCCACCACCCCCTCTTCCGCAGTAACTCCCTCCGGCAGCGCGTCCAGTTCAACCCGACCTCATGCTCCCCACCAATTCGCGTGGAGTCCGAGTCTACCACCCAGAAGTTCGCCCTCCCCTCCCCGAGAAAGGAGGAGAAGCCGGAGCTGCAGCGCGAGAAGAGCTACGAGTCGATCACTACGCCGAGGTAGGGCTTGGGTTTAGGCTTGGTTTATGGTTAAGCTTAGGCTTAGGCTTGGCTTAGGCTTCGGCATAGGCTTAGGCTCGGCTTAGGCTCGGCTTAGGCTTGGCTTAGGCTTGGCTTAGGCTTGGCTTAGGCTTGGCTTAGGCTTAGGCTTGGGCTTGGCTGCTTGGCTTAGGCTTGGCTTAGGCTCAGGCTTAGGTTTGGCTAGACTTAGACTTTGGCTTAGGCTTGGGCTTGGGCTTGGGCTTACGTTTATAGCCTCTTTTCCAGGGATCCAACCCCCGAGCCCGAACCCGAGCCCCAGCAGATCGACGAGGAGAAAGACGGTAAGTTTCCGCAAAGAATCCCCGCTAGTCTGCCTTGACTTTTAGTCTCTTCGAAGCAACACTCAAAAATGTCGTCTAGCGACTATTCGTCGACTTCGGATGTCTCGTCGATGAGCAAGGAGGTAGGGAGAGAGAGACCGAGAGAGAAAGAGAGAGAGAGAGAGAGAGAGAGAGAGAGAGAGAGAGAGAGAGAGACTTTCCCATTTTTCAGGAGCAAAAAGAAGACCAACGATCCCTAGGAGAATCCCTCATCTCCAGCACGACCACCGACGACGAAAAGATGCAAATTTCGGACCATTTGGAGGTGAATTCCTCAAAGAATCTCTGCTAGCCGGCCCCTATGCGCTTTTAAAGGGACAGCAACACCCAGGATTTTCCAGGCAGTGCCCCAGCCCCCGCTCGAGCTGTCCGTCAGCCCAACGCCTCCCGTGGCCGAGATCTGCGCGCCAGTGCCGAGTAAAATCTCGAGGCTTTGCGATCAGGTTAGTGGCGATTTCCTCAATGATCTCTGCTAGTCTGCCTTAGCGAATTGAGTTTTTTAGTTCCAAAAACCGCGAAGTCACTCCTCGCCCCCGACGACGCGGAAAACGTCAGCGAAGAAGCCGCCGCTATCCGGGCGGCCGAGCCGAATCGTGGGTTTTTTTGGCGGAGTCTTACGTCATGTAATTCGGTTTTTAAAGGGACAGTGACAGGAAGAATTTGCGTCTTTTTCCAGCCCCCTCCCCAAGCCAAGGCACCCGATTTCACGGAAGCGCGCGTCTCGCGGATACCGAGGAGGGACAGCGAGAAATCTATTATTATCGGTAGGGCTTTGAGAGGTTTTAAGGGACTTGCAAGTGCGAAAATCGACCCCTAACCTTGACTAGGTCTCGACAACCAAGAATCTTAGATTCCTAAGCCAAAATAAATTTTTTTGGCTTTTAAAAAGTCCATTTTCGGGCGAGATGTGGTTGTGGAGACCTAGTGAACGCTAGGGGTCCATTCTCGAACTTCCGAGTCCCTTTAAAAAGGCAGGAAATCTGGCGGACCAATGGAAATCTAATTTTCAGAACGAAAACTTCCTAGAGTCCCCTCTGGCTCGTTCAATAGGAGCAACACGATGGAGGTCAGTTCTTAAGAGCAGGCAAGCCAGCAGAGACCATTTGGGAGCCGGAAAACTCCTTTTTTCAGCAAGACGCCACCATCTGGAGCCGCCTCTACCAGGAGAAGAAGGGCCAGCTGAAGAAGACGCGCGAAAAGGAGGGAAGAGCAAAATCCGAGGATGCCATGTAGGTTTTTAACATTTTAAAGGGACAGCGACACCTGGAAAAAATGAATTTTTTGGGTTTTGGAGCTTTTAAAGGGGTGGTGACATCTAGATAAATCCAAAAATTCGGATTTCGAAGATTTTGGCGTTTTAAAGGGATGGTGACACCTAAAAAACCCCATTTTTAGCCGCTACGTGTACAATTATTAGCCCGCAAAAAATCTGGTAAGTTTCTGGGTGCCCTAATTTGCATAAAAACCCATTAACTAAATTTTTAAAGCAACTACCTCGGCATTACCGAGAAAAAGGGCATCAGATATCTGTATTTTGACGAGCATGGCGTGAGTTTGATGGAAAGTAACATGTCGTAATCGATTAAATGGAGTGTCGTCCTTTTCTAAAGAATTTCTGCTGGCCTGCCCCTCCAATTCCTCAAAGAATCTCTGCTAGGCTGCCCCTCCTTCACTTCAATGGTCCTTTAAACGCATGCCCATCCCTAATTCTCTCTGCTAGCCTGCCTCTCCCAATTCCTCAAAGAATCCCTGCTATCTACCCCTCCCATTTCTAGCTACGGCACCCTCCGCGGCGACCATCGACGCCGACTGACGCAGAATGAGGAGCAGCTGGAGCGGCAGATTGCCGAGCTCCGGCAGCTGGGCGTGTTGTAGTTTGTAGTCGACTTAGGCTGGGCTTAGGCTTGGCTTGAGCTTGGCTTAAGCTTAGCTAGACTACAGACTACAAACTCCGAATCCATCCTGAATCCGCTTCAAAAACCATGATCTGATCCCTTTAAACCCCCCAAATTCCGATTTTTCCACGAAAATTACGATTTTTTTGGTTTTATCGATTTTTATAGCTTAAATTTTCCGAAAATTTGGTATTTTCGATTTTTAAAAGGTTAAATAAGTTTAACAAAATACGAATTAATCTTTTACACGAGATTAGGGTGCTTTTATTCTTTTTTTTTGTCTCTCCCACTTGCCCACGTGCTTGCTCTTTTTCCATACATTCCAAAATCCACGCTTAACTATACATTATTTCGTGTGCTGTTTTGATATTCACGTTGTATTCTATGCGAAAATTTATCTGCAAAATATCTATGCTACAATTTCTGTGTGCAAATAACACGATGCTAAGCAATAAAAGTGAAATATCGCCGAAAAATGTACGAAACTGCACCCGAAATTTTTTTCTCTGGCTGTCTCTCCACTCGCTCGCTTTGTAAAAATTATTTTGAAGCGTATTCCGACGTAGTTTTGTGCTTAGATTCCGAAAATCATGGTGAAAATTACTGTATCCACGAAAAAGCTTTCGAAGTGGCTCCAACGCCACCTGATGTGGTAACACCTTTCTCTCGCTGTCTCTCCACTCTCTCGCTTCTTAAAAATTATTTTGTAGCAAATTCCGACGTGGTTTTGCGCGTAGATTCCGAAAACCATAGCCAGAACGGCTCTTTTGGGAGATCTTAACCTTAAAACAGGCTTCAAACGGCGTTTCCGGTCCTACGGTTTCCCAAATAATCTCTGCTAGCCTGCCTGCCTATTTCCGGACCGGAAACAAATTATTTTTCCCCGGCCACACGATCGCTGATCTCGGCTCTCGTGTTTTTCCGCAAAGATCTCTGCCAGCCTTCCCCCTCCCCCTCTCTAGTGATCAAGAGCCTGAGGTGGGGCTCAAAACGACACTCCCCTGCTGCTGCTCCCCCTCAGGCTTTTCGATCAAAAACGTGCCCCTGCCGCTCGTGCTCCCCCCCTGAAAATGCCGACCGACGGTGAGTGTTTATTGGGTTTTTAAGGGCCTTAAAGGGAGTGGGACACCTCGAGGGGGATGGGGTTGCTAGCAGAGATTCTTTGGGGAACTTATTGGCCGTATTTTGGGCGATATTTGGCATTGGACAGCTAGCAGAGACAATTTGGGAAGGCAACGCACCTCGGGCAGGCCGGCGGTGACTATTTAGGAACGAAAAATCCGGGATTTTATGGTTTCAAGGGATTGGCAAGGCAAAAATTGACGCAAAAGAACTCTGCTAGCCTGCTTTGGACCTGTTTCTCATTCCAAAATGATCTCTGCTGGCCTACCTGTCCGCTGGTGGTTCCTACAGGATCTCTGCTAGCCTGCCTGAGGTTCGGGATCCAATTACGCCAAAAATTCGAGGCGCCTTCGCAGGAATCTCTGCTAGGTTGCCGGGGTTCCAAATGGTCGCGGCTTGTTGTTTCCGGTTTCCTCAAGAACCTCTGCTAGCTTGCCGTCGCTCGGGGAACCAATTATGCCATGAAACCAGGGTCGCGCTTTCGGCAAGTGATCTTTGCTAGCCTGCCTCCTGTAATCGATTACGCTATCAAATCTCGAAAGCGTATTTCCTCAAATGGTCTCTGCTAGCCTGCCACTCCAGTGAAAATACACGTTCGCTCGCCCCCGCATTGTTTACCGGCGTTTCGGGGGTCCGGCCTCTCTCTCTCTCTCTCTCTCTCTCTCTCTCTCTCTCTCTCTCTCTCGCTCTCTCTCTCGCCCGGGCCCTCCCGATAGTTTTTTCGGTCCTCTCGAGGAGGGAAAAGCCGAGAAAAGCCCCCCCATATCCCTTATTTCTTGTCGCGATTGGGAGGGGGGCTTCTCCCTCCCTCCCCGCTAACAGCTGACCCCCTTGCCCAACAAGAAGATCTCCATCCACCTCCCCCCGACAAATGCTCCCCACATCACCCGCCTATAAAACGATCTGGGGATCGAGAGGCAAGCTGGCGGAGGTTCTTCAGGAATTGGAGGGACGTGGCAGGCTAGCAGGGATTCTTTGCGGAAACTGCGCATCGAATTTCATAGAGTAATCATTTAGGAATCGGGGAGGCTAGCAGAGGTTCTTGAGGAATCTGAGATTTTCATAGCGTAATCGATGCTATGAGTACTGGGCGAGCTAGCAGAGATTCTTGAGGAAGGCCGGAGGGGGCAGGCTAGCGGGGATTCCTTGCCGAAACGAGACCTAAAACAGGCAATCTAGCAGAGACCATTTTGGGAAAAGAAGACTCTGGGCCGGCTAGCAGAGTTTCTTAAGGAATTCGGGATTTTCGTAGCGTACTCGGTTCTTTGGGAGTCAATTTTGGATGGCGGCAAGCTAGCAGGGATCGTTTGCCAAGCCGCTGACGGAAAAACATGGCGTAATCGATTTTCGGGCTAGCTAGCAGGGATTCTTTGCGGATTTAAAGGGACTGGGACGTCAATTCATGATTTTTTTCAGTTTGGGCCAAGGCCGACGGCACCTCTTCGGAGGAAGAAGAGGAATCGGATGATGAGGTAAGATTGGGCTTAGGCTTAGGCTTAGCACTAAAAATAGTGTTTTCTCGTTTCTAAAGTGCTTGGAAAGTGGATATCCCCCAAACTGTTCCGCGGCACTCCAAATGCCCCTCTCGCTTGGCGCGCAGCACCGAAAAAAGGTGGATCGCGCAAATAAAGGACAGCAAAAAGTTCGCCCGGCCCAGGGGATTTTCGATGTGTTCCGCGTCGATTTTGGCGTCTTAATTTAGTGCTTTAATTGATTAAGGAATCAAAATTAGACTATTTAACTTTTTTTCAGCCGGCCCCACCACCTCGACGCGCCATGTTCCGAATTGCCGGGCAGGTAAGAAGTTTTGGAGCTCAAAAAATCTTTGCTAACTCGCCCTCGTAAAGAGTCTCTGCTAGCTTTCCCTCCTAAAACATCTTTCATAGCTAATTTTTCTCAAGAATCCCTGCTCGCTTGTTTCCTCAAGACCCTCTGCTAGCTTGCCTCGCTTTTTGTTGCCTTGCCAGTCCCTTTCAGCCCTCGATTCCGCAGGAATCTTTGATAGCCTGCCTTCCTCAAAGAATCTCTGCTAGCCTGCCCCCCCTTTTTCGCTTCCCAATCCCTCTAAACCCGCAAAATTTCCAGTCCGGAGCCCCGGCCGCCACCACCCAGGAGGCCAAGTCCCAGGTGCTGCAGGAGATCAAGCAGGTCACCCATCAGTGTAAGTTCTTGCTGTCACAGTCCCTTTAAAGTGTATAAAAATTCCTTTAAAGAGCCATTTAAGGCAAATTTTAATAGATGTCTGAATTTTTTGGGTTCTTTCGGGGTTTTCTAGCTTTTAAAGGGTCATCGAAGCCTAACAATTTCAGCCGAAGCCGTGGCCGCCCCGGCTCAATCCGCCGAAAAATCCGAGCAAGAGAAACGGGCCCTCGAGGAGCGACAACGACTTCTAGAAGCACAGAAAGCCGCCCAAGCTGCCCAGGCTGCGGCCATGCAGCAAGCGGCGGCTTCTCGACAGGTGAATTGAGCTGCTTGCTCTCTCTCTCTATCTCTCTCTATCTCTCTCTCTCACTCTCTCTATTTGAAATTCTCTCTTCAGGCCCAGCAAGCCGGCGATGACGAACGTGCCCAGGCCGCGAAACGACAACAGGAAGAGGCGCTGAAAAAGGCGCAAGAAGCACAGCAGAAGGTAGGTGGATTTTGCCTTCAATGGCCCTTTAAAACTTGTTTTAGGCTCAAGCTGAAGCGAAAGCCCGCCAAGAAGCCGCTCTCAATCAGGCGCGGGAAGCACAGGCCAAGGTTTGCATTTTGGCGTAGGCTTAGGTTTCGCTTAGGCTTAGGCTTAGGCTTGGCTTAGGTCGGATCGCATCTTTAATTTGTAGGCCCAAGCCGAGGCCAAGGCACGACAAGAAGCTGCCCTGAAGCAAGCCCAAGAAGCCCAGGCCAAGGTTTGTAGTTTGTAGTTGCTAGGTATTTCTATGTATTTCAGGCCCAATCCGACGCCAAAGCGCGCCACGAAGCCGCACAAAAACAAGCCCAAGACGCCCAGGCTAAGGTAAGCGATTTCATATAGTTTTTTGTAGTTTGTAGCCTAGCCCGCTTGTAGTCAGGAATTTGTAGTCTGTAGTCTGTCGTCTCTAGCTAAAAGTCCATTTTCCAGGCACAAGCCGACGCGAAAGCCCGTCAGGAAGCCGCTCAGAAACAAGCCCAAGAAGCCCAAGCCAAGGTGAGCGCTAGAATTTGTAGTCTGGTGTTTGTAGCTTGTAGTGTAGCTTAATTCCTAATTTCCCGCCCTTTCAGGCTCAAGCCGACGCCAAGGCTCGCCAGGAAGCCGCTCAGAAACAAGCCCAAGAAGCCCAGGCCAAGGTTATAACTTGTAACTCGATTTGTGTAGCTTATAGTTTGTAGTCTGGAACCATTTGTAGTCCAGGGTTTGTAGTCCAGCTTTTAAAGCTATTTTTCAGGCTCAAGCCGACGCGCAAGCCCGCGCTGCCCAGGCCAAGGTAAGGAGCTTAACTTCGGAGTTTTAAAGGATGGTGACACGTAGGATTTGTAGTTTGGCTAGACTACAGACTACAAACCCCATTCTAGGCCCAGGCCGACGCGCTGGCCGCACAGAGGCAAGCCGCCCAGCAGCAGAGGGTTGCTGCACAACAGCAGAAGACGGCCCCCCAGCAGCAGGTGCGTGTCTATAGGCTACAAACCACAAAATACGCTGGGCTACAAACTAACAAAAGCCGACTACAAACCATCAAAACTGAATACTGTATGTATACACATGTAGTGACAACTACAAACTACGCTAAACTACAAAAAACATAGCAGGCTACAAACTACAAGCTACAAATTCCAGGCTCAGCCCCAGCAACAACAACAACAGCAGCAACTTGGCAAGGCGCCAGCCGTCAAGACCCAGGAACTGAACCTCGGCTCCCAGGCTACCAGCCATGCCGTCAAGCAACCGCTGAAGGAGCCAGGTACGTAGACTACAAACTACAGACTACAAAGCTAGGCTGCAGGATTTAGAGTTTGTAGTTTGTAGTCTTGAAATTCACTCTTGCGCTTGCAGTTTGAAACGAAAATTTTGAACTTTTGCCGTAAATTGAGTAGAGTTTGTAGTCTGTATTCTGTAGCATGTAGCCTGTCGGCCTTGGTAGTTTGTAGTTTGTAGGCAAGCTCGCCGCCCCAGCCCCCGCCAAACCCGACGCCCCGAAGGAGGCCGCCCAACTGCCCGGCAATACGGCCCTTCGGCAAACCGCCAAGGTGTAGTTTGTAGCTCGCACTTTCAAAGCTAGATCTGTAGTTTGTAGCCCAGGTTTTGTCGTCTGTAGTTTGTTCCGTCTAGCTTCATTTTTAGGCCCAAGAATCCTCAATGTCCGACGCCCCGCTCCATCCCGTTCACACGGCCGCACTTGCAGGTGAGTGGTTAAAACTTTTGACTACAAACTACGAGCTACAAGCTGCATTTTTCTGAATTCCACCATGATCTCTGCTAGCCTGCCCTCAGCTTCCGCAGCAGCATTTTTAGGAGTCAACGCACAGAAGCCGCAGGTGAAGCAGGCCGGCGTGGAGGAGCGATTCGCGGAAAAGTGGGTGTTTGTAGTTTGGGGTTTGTAGTCTGGCCCTAGACGTTGTAGTTTGCCGTCTAGTACTATTGTTTGGAGCTCTGTAGGCGTTGGAATTCGTAGTTTTGATTCTCAGTTAATGTTGAGAAGAATCTGTTGCTTTGTTCAGTTGTTCCTATTTTGTAGCTTGTAGTTTTTAACTCCCTATAGTTTGTAGTTTGCGCGCCAAAGCGGCCTACAGCCTTAGAATTTGTAGTTTGTTGTCTCTTATATCTCATTTTGAAGCTATTTTCTACAAACCTCAAGCAAAGCAAAAAACAATTTTTGTAGTTTGTAGTCTGTAGTTTTAGCCCCTGTAGCCTGGAGTTTGTAGTTTATACTTTAGTGCGGGCTATATGATTGGAATTTGTAGTTTGTGGTCTCTCGAGACGGGTTTCGCATTTTGATTATAATTTTGAAGAATTTTTGTAGTTTGTAGTTAGGATTCTGGCGATTTCTGTAGTTTGTAGCCTGTAGTCTTTAGTTTGTAGTCCATAGTGTGCACTTTCTCAATCAAAAAACCGCACTTTCTTCGTGATTTCTTCGCGGTTTCCCCCCGGTAAATTAGTCACTTTTCTTTCGCCAAAAATTCCCCCCAATTTTGTAGCCCGCGAGCACTAACACATGGGCCGCCCCAAAACAACAGCAGTCATCCCAAAAAATTGGAAAAAAGCGAGAAGCGTGCCTCCGCGGATATTTGACAGCCAATCGATCAGGCGTTTGGCGCGATTTTTGGGCGTTTAAAGGGACTGGGAAGGCAAAATTGGGATCAGGCAGGCCAGCAGAGATCATTGGGGATGGCTGAATTTCATTTCCAAATCAATTTTCTGGCTTTTAAAGGGAATTACAAGGCATAATCCGGGCCCACACCCTTTGAAAACGCTGAATTTAATGGCATAGCCAATTTTTGGGTTTTTAAAGGGACTTGGAAGGCAATTGTCTGAATATCTTTCCAGTTTTTGGCTCGTTAAGTCACTTGAAAGCCAAAATTTGAGTCGGCAGGCTAGCAGGAACCGTTGGAAACGCTGAATTTCATGGCGTAAGCAACTAGAAGAAGCTTAATTTGATCGCGTAATCAATTATGTGCATTTTTCAGGGTCGAGCAGCAACCGGAAACCCAGCGAGTGCAACGCCAGGGACTGCTGAACGGTGCGCAGAAGTGGGAGCAGGACTCGGCGCAGAGGTACCGTATCTTGGAGGGGCAGACTAGCAGAGATTCTTTGAGGCACTGGGTCTTACAGAATTTTTAAAGAGCTTTCCAATGGTGGACGTTTCATTACGATAGCTAATTCCTGGAGATAGGTTATCACGTTTTGAAATTGTCGCTTAGGCTTAGGCTTAGGCTTCCTCGTTCCGCTCGTGCTCAAAGTTCCAAGAAGCCAAAACCTGGAAAAGCGCCCAAATTCTCTCACCGTAATCAGCGGCGTTCCCCGTAGCCCTAGTCCTCTATTTCCAGCCCCACCCAGTTACCTGGTGTTTATAGGGAGGTTAGGGAGGAAGAAAATGAGAACCAGGTGCTGGAGAGGGAGCGGGAGGGGGCAGGCGAGCAGAGACACTTTGCGGAAAGAGGGAGGGAACCGAGAAATCTTACACTTTGTTGCTCCAGCCGCAGGCGGGTGGGGGGAGATTGACCGCCAATTTCCCACTCGGCGAGTTATCGGATTTCCAAAACTTCCGCAAAGAATCCCGGCTAGCTTGCCCCTCCAATTCCTCAAAGAATCTCTGCTAGCCTGCCCATTTTTCAGGGAAGAAGTCGCCCAGATGACCCTCGAACGTGGGCCCGCCGGAATCCGGCTCCAGGTACGCCAATTTCCATTTTAAAGGACCATTGAAGGCAAAATCCATAGCTCCTTTTCAGGACGACACCTGCTGGCAAACGCAGAAGCGCGTCGCGCCCGAGATCGACGTCCCAGCCGTCGGAAAGGTGACGATCCCCGAGTTCAGCGATGACCACGAGGTCATGGTGGGTGTCACTGTCCCTTTAAGACGAAAATCATGGCGTAATCGGTTCGAAATCCCACATTTTTCCAGCGAACGATCGTCGCCCAGCCGGCCGGCTTCCAGAAGGTCGCCTGGAACGAGTTCCCCGAGGAGAAGCAGGTAATTTTGGCCAGAAACTACAGACTGCTGGAATACGAGCTTCAGACTACAGAAAATTTAGACTACAGACTACAAAAACGTTTCTAGGTCGAGCGCATCCAGGCGCCGCGCGTCAAGGCCCAGGAGTGGAAGCCGGTCAACCAGGTGGGCTTGGCTTGGGCTTGGGCTTACCAAGATTAGGCTTGGCTTAGGCTACAAACGATTTCCGGGCTTGTTTTTCCGCCATTTTTTTATGACGCGAGCCCTTGGCGTGGGCTGGGGGCTGAATTTAGAATTTCGTAGCCGGCGTGCCTGCATAAATTGACGCTTCAGCGACACCCGGCTAGTGGTGTCGATTTCCTCAAAGATCTCTGCTCGTTGGCCCCTTACCTGAAAACCTATTTTTTCAAATGATCTCTGCTAGCCTGCCATGACCAGGAACTCGGGGTCCCTCTCTCTCTCTCTCTCTCTCGCCGAAAGTTCTGGCCCCCGGAACGGGTCCCACGAGGATTTGAGGCCCGGCTTGACCTTTCGCTAGCCACAAAATGCTAATTTTATTAGCGTTTTCAAGGCCTCTGTCTGGCCCAGGGCCTTTTCCTCAAGAATCTCTGCTAGCCTGCCATTCTTAATTTCCTCAAATAATCCCTGCTAGCCTGCCTTCACTCTGGAAGCCTAGCAGGGATCGTTTAGGGCCAATTTTATGCATTCAATGGCTCTTTAAAACGTGAAAACTGAGGGCAGGCTTGCAGGGACCCTTTGAGGAGCAAATCCATGCCTTCAATGGCCCTTTAAACTCCAAAAACCCCGATTTTCAGGAAGAAATGGAGGTGCTGCGCACAAACTACAACCCGGGCCGTGTGAGCGCCGTCTGGCCCCCACCACAAGAAGAGATCGTCAAGGACAGGTGAATTTCCGAAATTTCCGCAAAGAATCTCTGCTAGCATGCCCGAAAAAATAAAAAAAAACTTAATTTTTAGTGGAGCCGTGACGCGCGTGCGTGTTGGAGACGATTTGGGATGGATCCAGCAGGTAGGGTGTCGGAAATTTCCTAAAAAATCTCTGCTAGCTTTTCTAGGCTTCAATGGCCCTTTAAAAACATAAAATATATTTTAAAGGGTCTTTGAAGGCAAATCCGAATCGAGCCCGCCTTTTCATAGCGTAACCGAATCCATAAGAAGGCTAATTTGACTTCAATGGTCCTTTAAGCCGTTTTAAAGGCTCAAGGACAGCTGGAAACTCGCTTTAAAGGACCATTGAAGGCAAATCCACACCTAGGACCTCGATTTTCAACGTAAATTGACGCAAAAGCTAAGCCTATGGATTCCTCAATGCTCTCTGATAGCCTACCCTATCCCTTGCAGGAACAGCACGAGGTCCCTCGCTTCTCCTCCCGCACCTCCCGGATCAACCGTGCCTGGCCGCCGCCCGAGCACGAGGTCCAGACCCAGGATGGTGAGCCTGAATTGCTTAAAGAATCTCTGCTAGAGTGCCCGGCAGCTCGCGAGAAAGTTTCTCAAGAATCTCTGCTAGCTTGCCAAATTTTGCTATGTCATCATTAAGCGCCAATTTTCTCCATTTTTCCCTGCTCGCCGCACCAAACTAACCGCATCTAAATTTCCTCAGGAATCTCTGCTAGCCTGCCCTGTCTTTAATGGCCCTTTAAAGTGGATTTTCCAGGTGTCACTGTCTCTTTAAGCGAATTAAAGGGATGGAGACACCTCGAAAATCGACTTTCATGGCCATTGAAGGCAAAGGGCCAGCTTCTAAAGGATTTCTGCTAGCCTGCCCTGCCTTCCATGGACCTTTAAGGTCGATTTGTTAAGTGTCACCGTCCCTTGAAACTTTTTAAATAGCGATTGCAGGCAAAAAGCATATTCCTAAATGGTGTCTGCTAGCCAGCCCTGCCTTGAATTGGCCTTGAAACCACTTAAAGTGACTGTGACACCTAGAAAATCGCCTTTAAAGGACCATTGAAGGCAAAAACAAAGAAAACCAGCACACTTTCCCCCAATGATCACTGCTAGCCTGCCCCTCTTTCAGTGCACGCCTCCCACCTGGGCCCCGTCGTTTGGCCGCCGCCCGAGTTTGAGGAGAAGGAGAAGGAGGTCGTCGACTCGCTTCACAACACCCTCCCCGTCGGCCATATCGATCGCCAGTGGCCGCCGGCGGCTCCCGAATACACCAGTAGGTGTCACGGTGCCTTTAGAATGGGATTCTGGGAGGCAAAGGGTCTCTGCTAGCTTGCCCTGAGTAGAATTTTGCTCCTAAATGCTCTCTGCTAGCTTGCCTGGGACCGAAATTTCTAAGAATCTTTGCTCGCCTGCCTGAAAGCGGCGTTTTCACTCTCAAATGATCTCTGCTAGCCTACCAGCGTATTGAGCTTTTCCTAAATGTTCTCTGCTAGCCTGCCCTGACTCTACTGGTCCTTTAGAACTTTTTAAAGGGACAGTGACGCCTAGAAACATAATTTAACGGATCATTCAAGTAAAAACTACTCGTATTTCCGCAAGAACCCCTGCTAGCCTGCCCCTTTGCCTCCCAAATTCGTCTAAAAAGCACCAAAACCCTCCCGCATGACTTCTCTATCCTGTTAAACTGAATTATAGAATTTTCCAGGAATTTTGGAGTTTTTAAAGGGACGGCGACATAATGAAAATCCTACCGTAGCCCCGAATTTTCAGTGGTCCCGCAGCGTTCCCCGGTCGTCGACACCCAGCACGGGCCGCAGGAGGTGAGAGAGAAAGAATGAGAGTGAGAGAGACAGGCAGAGAGAGAGAGAGAGAATTCCATTTCAAAGGGAGAATGACACCCCCAATTCCAGATTTCCGAGACCGTGGTCACGACAACACAAGTCGTCCGCCAGCCCATGGCCGCCAAGTAATCCTCATCCCCATTTTTCCGTGTGTAATTCAGCGTGAAATTGTCATTTGTAAATTTCCGTATTCCCCCGATCATTCACTAGCCCTGCCTTGCTTGCCCCTTTAATCCCAACCCCCACGAATTTCATGGAGTAACCGGTTGATCCTATCCTTTTTTATTTCTTGACCCGCCTACCGTACCCCGGCTTTTCATTTGATTTTTGTCCCGCGTTGCGTGTAGAATAAATATTGCTTTTAGAGAACAGCGAGAGTTTCGAAAAATCGAATTTTTAGCTCGCTGGATTTCGGCCATCTGGAGACGGTCTACGACTAAGAAAACAAACAAAAAAAGTTTTATGTTGAATTTTGGGTGCATAAAGCATTTAAAGGGATGGTGACACCTAGAAATTTTACTTTAAAGGGCCATTGAAGGGAGAGAAACTTCGCAAATGGTCCCTCTTCAAGGGAACTTTAGAACTTTTTAAAGGGACGGCGAAACCTAGAAAACCCATTTTAAAGGACCATTGAAGGCAAGCCAGTGATTTAGGGAAGAGCAAACTAGCAGAGCTCATTGCGGAATCGTTTCCACGCCACTTATAGAGATTAATCAGCTCAAGAAAAACGTAACAAGACGGGAAACCCCGACAAAAAGCCGCCATTTTCACCTGCCAGCCACACCCGCAGTTTGTGCGAGCCCAAATTTGTAGCCGGCCAAATTCAGTCTGAAATTTCACATTTTCCTCTTTCCGCATCGAGTTTTGGGTCCCAAATGGTCTCTGCTAGCTTGCCAGGGCCAGAAAACAACTTTAAAGGGCCTGGCAAGGCAAATCCATAGCTATTTTTGCGCAAAATTAGATTTGTTCGTAATTTTTCGCGGATTTCTTCATCAAATGATCTCTGCTAGCCTGTCGAGCTTGAAAATCCTCTTTTAAAGGAACCCATACGCCAAAAATCGCCTTATATTTGTCATTTACAATGCCGGAAATGTAATTAATGGCCCGTGAACATACTCCATTTCTTCTACAGACCGACGCATTCTCCGCTTTTCCCTCCTTGTCTTTCCGATTCCTGGGAAAATGAGTTTTGTCGCCGCCTAATTGCGTCGGAGCCAGCCGCAGGGCGAGAGGGTGGCCGGAAAGGCCACCCAGTTTACTACCCGTTTTTGAAGCCGGTTTCCGGATTTATGGGCCCGCAAAGATCACTGCTAGCTTGCCTTGGACGCTCTAAATTTCTCAAAAAACCTCTGCTAGGTCTCTATCTCTCTCCCTCTCTCTCTCTCTCTCTCTCTCTCTCTCTCTCTCTCTCTCTCTCTATCTCTCCCTCTCGCTCTCTCTCTCTCTCTCTCTCTCTCTCTCTCTCTCTCTCTCTCTCTCGCTCTCTTTCCCTCTCTCGCCTCTCCCCTCTCGCTCTCTCGCTCTCTCACTCTCTTTTTCGCTCTCTCTCTCTCTCTCTCTCTCTCTCTCTCTCTCTCGCTCTCTTTCTCTCACTCTTTCTGTAGCCCGTAGCCTTCAGAATGCTCTCCACAGCCGGCCTAACCTCCATCGACCCCCACGACGAATACGCTGAGCTACTTCCGGTCCTGAAGGTAAGTTCCGCAGGCAGGTTAGCAGAGATTCTTTGAGGAATTGGAGGGGCAGGCTTGCAGAGATTCTTTGAGGAATTGGAGGGGCAGGCTAGCAGAGATTCTTTGAGGAATTTTAGGGCAGGCTAGCAAAGGTCATTTGACAAATTCCAGCTCCTCGAATCCCTACTCATCTTCGCCGTCTGCATCTCTGCGTACATCTACCGTAAAGTCCTCTTCGCCAAGCAGGTTCGGAAATTCTCACTTTTCATCTGCCTTCAATGGCCCTTTAAAACCGTTCTAAAGGGACAATGACACCTAGAAAATTTCAGTTTTGCCACCCAAACCTCCGCTTCCTGCTCATCGCCCAGCCATCAACGCAGATACTACCTCTAACCATTCGGGTATGAGGATTCGGGTACCGTTTTAAAGGGACAGAGACACCTTCAGGTGATCGTGCACGTCATCGCTGGGGTCGGGATTGAGGCCGGGAAGGCGTTATTTATCATGGACCTCATCGCGGATACGGGTAAGCTTGCTTAGGCTTAGGCTTAGGCTTAGGCTTAGGCTTAGGTTAGGCTTAGGCTTAGGCTTAGGCTTGGGCTTAGGCTTAGGCTTAGGCTTAGGCTTAGGCTTAGGCTTAGGCTTAGGCTTAGAGGTCGACCATGGAAATCGGCTATATCGATGGGCTAAAGGGCTAAAAACTTGAAACGGCTATATCTCGTTCCAGGGATCTCGGATTTCGATGCTTTCTAGCTCATTTTAAAGCATTTTTCGGGGGCTATCTAGCAGAGATTCTTCATCTGATTTCAGCAATCGTCGTCTCCACCCAAGCCATGTTCATCATGGCCATCGAGCGCTCGTGGTCCATGTGGACGGCTGTGACTTATGAAGACAGCCGATCGGCAGCATTTTCGCTGTGTTTGTACCTGGGCCTGGTGAGCTGCGACTTTCGCTCGCTGTCTCTCCACTCTCTCGCTTTCTAAAAATTATTTTGAAGCAGATCCCTACGTAGTTTTTTACCCTCTATCCGATTACGCTATGAAAACACCCGTTCAGGTGGCCTACGCTATCACGCTGGTCGTTCTTTGGTACCTGGAAGTGATCGACGCGACCCTCGTCTTCCTCATCTCCTACATTATCATGTTTTTGGCGTGTATTGTGAGTTTTTCAGCCTAGTTTGCCTTCACAATCCCTTTAAGCCGAACTTCCTGGAATACTGAGATTTTCAGGTTTTTTGCCTTCACAATGCCTTTAAACGCAACTTCGAGATTTTCTACGTCTTCAGCCTATTTTGCCTTCACAATCCCTTTAAAACCGAATTCCAGCTGTTCGCCGTGTTGCCGTCGATCTGCCGCCGCGCCCACAAGACCGTGACGCAGGCGCGACGCGTCACGCTTGCCCAGCGGTGAGTAGGAGGCTTTAGATCGCGTAATCGAATGCGACCAAGCGTTTTTAGACTTGAACGGCCCTTTAAAACGCTTTAAAGAGGCTGGGACAGATAGGAAAACCTGAAAAATTAGTTTTCAAGGGCCATTGCAGTGGACACTGCCGCCATGCTTAGGCTAAGGTCTTACGAAACTTTAAAGGGACGGCGACAGCTAGAAAATTACCTTTAAGGCCCATCGAAGGCAAAATTCATCACTTTTCAGATTCCGGGCAGCCAGAAATCTGCAGGCGGCGCGGCTATTAATGTATCTATCACCTTACAAATGTGTGACGAACCTGTTCTCCCTCTGCCTCTACATTGCCGTCTTCCAGCAGACCGAGCCGAGGCTCCGCCCACTTTTCGTCGAGTTATATTATTACTACAGTGTTGGGCAGGTGGGGGAATTCCTAAGAGGTCTCTACTAGCTTGCCAAGTCCCTAAACGGTCTCTGCTAGCTTGCCAAGTCCTTAAACGGTCTCCGCTAGCTGCCAGGTTCCTCAATGCTCTCTGCTAACTTGTTCAGGGTCCTAAATGATCTCCGCTAGCTAGCCCTTTAAAGGGACGGAGACACCTAGAACGCGCCTTTAAAGGACCAGTGAAGGCAAATCCACAACATTTCAGTGCTTCCTCTTCATGGTGTTGACCTGCCTGCTTCACGACTCCCTCCGCGAGACACTAATAGACGAGCTCGGCTTCAGGCTGCCACTTCCGGATGGGAAACAGCCGAAAAGAGAGGTGGGAGTTTCCCAAAGGGTCTTCGCTAGCTTGCCCCGACTTCAATGGGCCTTAAACCCCGATTTCTTGGGTGTCACCGTCCCTTTAAAACCCCGAAAACGGTTTTAAATAGCATTTTAAAGGACCCTTGAAGGCAAAAACGCCTGTCCTGGCTTCAATGGCCCTTTAAAAGTTCTTAAAAGTGCTCTGACACCCCAAACCTTTAAAGGCCCATTGAAGGCGAAAACGGCTGGGGCAAGCTAGCAGAGACCAGTTTGGAATCAAAATTCTTCAGATCCTCTCTGTAGACGGGCATCGGATGATGTTCAACACGGGCGACGAGATCAGGATCCATTTCGACCAGCTGGCCCGGGACTGGGAGACGCCACCGGTGGGTTACGGTGGCGGCAAATGGTGTTTGCTAGCTGGCCTTGGGGTCGCAAGCTATAGATCCTCAAGGGCCTCTGCTCGTTCACCAATTTCCTCAAGAATCCCTGCTCGTTACCCTCCAATTGCCCCCAAGAACTTCCGCTAGCTTGCCGAGCCGATTCTCCTCAAGAATCCCTGCTCGTTTGCCCTCAATTTCCCCAAAAAGCCCCACCAGCATGCCGTTCATTTATTCGTTATTAACAGATCGGGGCAATCAACAGCACGAAGTATCACAATAGTAGGCGTCGAGTGAGAGCGAGAGTGATGAGCACAAGAATTGGAGAGTGAGCATCGAGGGGAGCGAGAGGGAGAGATATACAGCATTTGAATTAGCACGCGCGAAAACGGATATATTCGATTTTAAATGGGAAAAGAGGAGTGACGGGGCCAGGTCATTTCTTATGGTGATGAACGTGGGGCATTTGGACGTAGGCCGACGTGTTCGAGATGGAAGCGGAAGAGCACGCCGATGAGGTACGGCCACTTGGAGGGCCCTTCGAGGTGGCTGTGCGGGGAGTACGAGCTGAAAATGGGGGTTGCTAGCTGGCCCTTGCTCCCCTTTCCACAAGGAATCTCTGCTAGCCTGCCGCTGACTTAGGCTTGGCTTAGGCTTCGGTTTCTGTTTTAAAGGGAGTGTGACATCACGAACAACCCCTCTTTCCTAACCGATTACGCCATCTAAAAATCCCTAAAACCCCCCAGCTAGCCTACCTGTTTAAGCATTGCACAAAAACGTCTTCCCAGAGGAGCGCAGCCGGGTGAACAGCTCGACAACTTTAAAGGGAATTTTTAGAGGAAATCTGGGGTTTCGCAAAGCGTCTCTGCTAGCCTGCCTAGTCCCCAGGCGTCTGTGCTAGCTACCCTGGGGCTTCCTGGCTCTCAAATGATCTCTGCTAGCTTGCGCGCTAGTGTCACGTTCCCTTTAAACCGCAGTTTTCCCTAGGAATCCCTGCTAGCCGCCCCAATTCCCAAACGCTCTCTGTCCGTCACATACCCTCCGGCTCGGGGGGCGGGGCGTAGGCGCTCTTGCTCCCGGGCTCGATCTCCTCGCCCTGGTGGAGGGCATCCTCGGCACGCGGCTCGAACTTCTTCGTCTGCGCAAACTTCTCCATCCAGCCGGTCACCTGGAATTTGATGATGATGATTCAGGACTGAACGGCTTGCGGACGGCAGAATTCCATGTCGTAATCGTTTTAAAGGAACGTTGAAAGCTACTTTTCAGGGCGTAATTGGTTTCAAGGGCCGCAGAAGCTAGAATTTCGCGCCGTCACCCATTACCTCGGCCATCGACGGGCGCTTGTCCGGATTCTGGTGCCACAGGTGCTCGCGGATGAACAGGCGCAAATTCGGCGGCGCGCAGTCAAAGTCGAACGTCTTGCCGTCGAGCAGCTGTTTGCGCACCTCGCCGTTCTTCATCCCCGGCCACGGTTCCTTGCCGTCGGAGAAGATCTGGAGAGAGGGCAAATAGTCTCTGCTAGCTCGCCCTGGTAAAATTCCTCAAAAAAACGCTGCTAGCCTGCCTTTGCCCAGGTATAACCGATTACGCCCTGAAAACGACCTCGTAGACGACGATGCCGTACGACCAAATGTCCGTCTTGTGGGAGAAGGTCAGCGTCTTCAGCACTTCCGGGGCGAGCCATTTGATCGGCATCTTAAGGCGGAAAATTAGGCTTAGACTTAGACTCAAGCCTCACTCACCTTCGACGTCACTTTCAGGGCGTACAGATCCCCGTGGCGGGACAGCCCAAAATCAGAGATCTTGGCGACGGGCCGCTGCCCGGGCTCCTTGTGGACGAGGCAATTCCGGGAGGCGAGGTCGCTAAAAATCGCAAATGGCCTCTGCCAGCATCCCCATGCTTTCCTCAAGCATCCCTGCTAGCCTGCCCCTCCCCTACCGATGCAAAATGTGCTTCAGGTGGAGAAATTCGATGCCGGCGGCGGCGTCGAGGGCGAATTGGGCCTTCAGCTCGACAGGGTGCGGCCATCGTTCTTTCGCATGTAGCTGTCCAACCCGCCGGAGGAGGCCAGCTCGAGGACGATGAGGAGGGGCTGCCGGAGGACGCCGATGCCGTACATGCGGATGACGTTTGGATGGCTAAAAAAGTCAAGAAATTCCGCAAGAATCTCCGCTCCGTACCCCAAATATCGCATCAGCCGCGCCTCGTTCATCATCTGCACGCGCTTCGCCTTCGACAAGTCCGACACGCCCTTCGTCATCTTGATCGCCACTTCGACCTCCTTGCCGCGGAATTTCAGCTTGCCCGCGCGCACCTGGAAGGAGGCAAATGGTGTTTGCTAGCTTGCCCGGGGTCAGATATTCGACCCAAATGGTCTCTGCTAGCCTGCCCTGCCTTCAATGATCCTTTAAAACGCCTTAAGGGGATCATGACACCACGAGATCAAATTTAAAGGAACACAGAAGGCTAGTTTTCCATCCCAAATTGCCTCTGCTAGCTTGCCTCTCCAAATTCGCCGTGGCCCAGCTGCTTCTCGAGCTTGATGTTGTCGTAGTGCAGCTCCCAGGTGGCCCTGGGTACCGGGCCGGACAGCTTCAGGTCCTTGTCCTGGTCGCCCTGCAACCGGAATCGATTACGCCATGAAAATCCAAGAAAAAAATGGATCACGACAAATAACGGATTACGCCATGTAATTCCAACTGTTCCGCCGATTGCGCCATGTAATTACAACCGATTAAGCCATGGAATTCCTCCGCTGCCGTATACCTTTTGCGCTTGCAAACTGTTGGTGCGGTAGTGATCGATGCAGTCCTTCAGCGAGTTCATCTTCTGGTCCGAGTACAGCCACCATTGGCCCCGCTCGCCCTGGTACATCACCAGGTTGCGCGTCACCTAGGAGTACAGCGTTTTCTCGCTCTCTCTCTCGCTCTCTCTCTCTCTCGCGTTCTCACTCTCTCTCTCTCTATCCCTCTCTCCCTATCTCTCTCTCCCTATCTCTCTCTCTCTCTCTCTCTCTCTCTCTCTCTCTCTCTCTCTTTCCCCACCATATTGCTGGCATCAAAGAACTGTCCGGTGGCCTTGTTCTTCTTCTCCTCCCCGGTGCACACGCTGACGATGACGTTCCGCTCGTCCTCCTTGCCGGTCTTCTTGTTCTCCACCTGGAAAGGACCTGTCACCATCCCTTTAAAATAGATTTTGCGATTTTACAGGGACGCGGAGGTCCAGAAAAAGTGGGCGGGGCTTAGAAACTGGCTTCCCGGTCCCGTTAAAGCCGGCTAGACTCTTTTAAAGGCGCAGTGACAACTAAAAGGGGGCGTGTTTTCGTAGTATACCTCGCTCATCCGGACCAGAAAGTCGCCGCGCTTCTTGAGCAGGTACGGTAGCTCCTCGCGCGGCAGGAACCCATGGTAGTACGGTAGGGACTGGAATGGGAGGCTAGGCCTGGGCTTGGGCTTAGGTTTAGGCTTAGGCTTCTGCTTAGGCTTAGGCTTAGGCTTGAGAAAAACCCACGAGAAGATGTTGATCCACGGCTGCTTTCTGTAGACCCCTCCGGGTGGACATGAAAAATCAAAATAGGCGGGGCTAGCAGAAATTTCTTATGCTTCAGACTTGGATGCAAATTTTGGCCATTTCCGGGATGCTAATCGCAAAAATTCAAAGCTGACGGGAGTAGTACACTATACTACTGACGGGCTAGCAGAGACCATTTTTTGTCAATTTCCAGCTGTCCCCCACCTTTAAAGGTCCAGGCAAGCCAGCAGCTTCCCTTTAGGACCCAGGCGAGCTAGCAGAGATCATTTTAGACCTAGGCAAGCTAGCAGAAAGCTTTTGGGATGTCTGGCCAGCTAGCAGAGACCATTGCGGAACACAAAATTCCAGGTCGACCACCGAAAATGGGCCATCCGGCATCGCCAGACGCAGCGCGAGAAGCCGAGCGGAAACCCCGAGTTGAGCTGGTCGAAGGTGGAACGGACGATGGGGAGGTAAGTGGAGGGGCAGGCTAGCAGGGATTCTTTGCGGAATTGGAGGGTAGATAGCAGAGGCCATTTGTTCGTTTCAGACGCCTCGAAGACGTCGAGCTCGTGAAGAACGGTAGAGTGCGCTTCGAGCCTAAGAACGAGGATACGGCGGCGGAGGAGCAGCTGCGTTACGATACGATACCAGAGGAGGAGGGGTCGTTGGGGGAAATGTCGATAGAGAGACAGGTGAGAGAGAGAGGGGAGAGAGACAGGTGAGAGAGAGAGAAGGAGAGAGACAGAGAGAGAGAGAGAGAGAGAGAGAGAGAGAGAGATAGTCAGCAAGGGCTAGCTAGCACAAACCCTTAGGTTTTTTAGGCTTCCGAGGAGAGCGAGGGTCGTGATCGTCTTGGCGATATGCACTCGATGAGGAGAGACAGGTAGGAGACAAAGGCTAGGTGTCACTGTCCCTTTAAACGTGGTTTTGGGTCCTAAAGGGACGATGACACCTCGAAAAGGGGCGTGCCAGAGGCTGAGGACGGAGTGTCCTTGTCCCTTCAAAACGCGTTTTTGCATTTTTAAAGGCGCCGTGATTTCCAGATACCTCCAATCGACGACAATGAGTATGGACAGCGAACCTCGAGGGGATATCATCCCCCAACGCGACAATTCTCTGGATCGATCGATCTCCCCTTGGGTGACGGCCCTCGTCACCCCGATTCGGACGAGAAGCCAGCAGCGGAAGACGCTGATTACGGCGGTGTATCACGGATAAATGGTCTCTGCTCGTTGTGTTCCACAAAGAATCTCTGCTAGCCTGCCTGGGGGTGGTTTTTATTGCGTAATCGATTACGCTGGGTTATTCTGCATGTGGTTTGGCATTCAATGAACCTTTTAAACTCAATTTTATCGTTTTTTAAGCGCGTAATCGATTACGCAATGTTCTTCTGCCTGTAGTTTTGCCTTCAATGGGCCTTTAAACTCGATTTTTTTCGCTCTTTTAAGCGCGTAATCGTTTACGCAATGTTATTCTCTTCCGAGATCCGTATGGCGCGTCTTTTAAAGGGACCAGCAAGCCAGCAATCGATTACGCTATGTTATTCCGGCCGAAAATTGGGCTTTTTGCCTTCAATGGTCCCTAAAAAACCTCCTTTGGTTCCTCAAAGATCTCTGCTGGTATGCCTAGCCCTGCTAAACCCCAAAAATTTATTTAAATCTGCGGAATTACGGGGGCAATACAGTATCACATACAAATGCGGAATGTTCGAGATCCAAAAATCAGAAAATTTTTTAGGGGGATTCCTTAGATTTCCAACGACTTGGCGGTGGTCGTCTCGGCGGAGGTGGGCTGAAAAAAAAGATTGTGTTGGTTTAAAGGACTGTTGAAGGCAAAATCCACAGGAATTTGGCTTGAGTCGGCCTTTAAGGGGCAAAAACCAAGGTTTTGAGCTCGATTTTGGCTTCAATGGTCCTTTAAAGCGGAAAATAAAAAGTTTTTCAGCTAAAATCGCGTTTTAAAGGCCCGTTTAAGTCAAATCCATAGCTTCTTTGCTTTCAAAGGCCCTTTAAAGCGGAAAATTTAGCGCTTCTCGGCTGAAAGCGCGTTTTAAAGGACCATTGAAGTCAAATCCATAGCTCCTTTGCCTTCAATAACCCTTTAAAAGTGAATCGCAACTACCTTGGCGGTGGTGTTGCTCTTCTTCTTGCTCTTCTTGTCCTGCTCCTTCTTGCCCTTCTTCTGTTTCCGCTGCTGGCTCTTCTGGGCGAGGGCATTCTTGTGGGCGGCCTGCCTGCAGCTCTTGTTCTTCTCCTTGATGTTCTTCCGGAGGGAGACGATCTCCGCCTTGAAGCCGCCGTCTTTTTCGCATCTGAAAAAGAGTTTATGTTGATTTTTAGAGCTTTGCGAGGTGTCCCCATCCCTTTAAAACGTCGTAAGCGACTGGGCAAGCTAGCAGAGACCATTTGGCAGCTCGTTTTTGCCTTCAATGGCCCTTGAAACCCCCTAAGCCCCCTTAAACTCACTGCTTCACAGCCGGGCAGCACTTGCTCAACTGGATGCACTTCGTCCGCTGCTGACGCGTCTCCCGCAAGCAGGCACGGTGCTGCAGCTTGGCGACTTTGTTCTGGAAATGGGGGCTTAGGTTGTGCTTAGGCTTAGGCTTGGGCTTAATCTTGGCTTAAGCCTAGGCTCACTCACCTTTTGCCCTCTATTAATGGCCCGCTTGATCTTCTCCGACTCCGTGGTAGCAGAGGGCGCAGCCGGGGTGGTCGCATCGATTTTGGCGAGGATCTAGAAGCCGGAGTTGGGTTTAAAGGACCATTGAAGGCAATGAAAAATTCCCCAATGAGCTCTGCTAGCTCCCACCTTGTCGCACTTATTTTTTCTAGCCCCCGTCAGCTCCACAGCATCAGCGGCTTTCTCAGAAACGCATTTATCTTGGGTTTCGGCTTTCTAAAAATTCTTTAGCTATTTTTCGATTTTCCCGACCTTTTGGAGCAGTTCGGTCATCTTCAGGTGTTCCTCCTTGGCCGCGTCGCATTCGGGGAGCTTCTAGAAACAGAAGGATTCAGTAAAATCCAGATCCAGCCTCTCTCTCTCTCTCTCTCTCTCTCTCTCTCTCGCTTACCGCGTTCCTCAGCGCTAATTCTTCCTGTGCTGCGCATCCCTGCTGCTTCGTGCGCACGGCGGCCATACATTCGACGTACTGCTCGCAGGCGGGGTTCTAGAAAATCGAGGTTTTGGGTGTCGCTGTCCCTTTAAAATATCATAATCATGTTTTTCTAGCTTTCCGAAGGTTTCCAATCCCTTTAAAAGGCACCAGAGAGTCCAGAAACACCGACAACGCGATTTTTCAAGTGACACCATCCCTTTAAAAGCAAGAAAAATCGTAGTTTTAGAATTTTGGTCGGTTTTAAAGGCATTGGCAAGTCACAAAAAACGTACCGAAGCCTCAACGGCATACCAGGCAACTACCAAAATCACGAGCAGCCTCATCGTTTTGCCGGCTTCTGAAAGTAGGAATATAGGCGACAAAAATCGCTTAAAAAAGATAGAAGACAAAATTAAAGAAATTCCTCAAGAATCTCTGCTAGCCTGCCCCCCGCACCGGAAGTTTACTGCCGCTTTAGAAGGTTATAAGCGTGGGAGTGGGAGGGTGAGTTGTTGGGGTTAGAGGGACAGTTGTCGATTTGGGGGGCAACATCTATCCATCTCTAATGGAAGAAAGAGAGAGAGAGAGAGAGAGAGAGAGAGAGAGAGAGAGAGTGAGGAGAGAGAGAGCGAGAGAGAAACAGACAGCTGGCCTGCCGAGAACCCCCACACCCGGCGATCCCGGGGATCAAAAAAGCCCTAAAAAGGCGGGAAGATCGAGGACCGGCCCGGAAATAAACCTCGATTTATGGTCCCTGGAAGGCTAGCAGAGATTCTTGAGGAAATTCGGTCTGGCATTGCCTCAAATTCTCTCTGCTAGCACCCCGAGCCTCTCCCCGTGACCCCAGAACAATCGAATCGCCACGACAAAAAAGCCAAAAATTGGCCGGCCGAGGGCCCGGGGGCCCTCGAGGGCCATGTGGAGAGGGCCCTGGAGGGCCCTTGGCCCCCGTGGGCCCTAAGCCCACTGGGGCCCATCCTCAGTTGGCCAGTCAGGGGGCGGAAAAACTTCGACTCGAGCAGGAGGGCCCTACCCGAATCCATTTAGCCCTGGGGGCAGAGGGCCCCCAGGCAAAAAATGGGCCCAGGAGGGCGATGTTTTCCTCAAGGAACGCTGCTAGGCTGCCTGGAGAATTCCTTAAGAATCTTTGCTAGCTCTCAAAAGGAGGGCCAGCTAGCAGAGATTCTTTGAGGAAATGGAGGGCAGGCTAGCAGAAATTCTTTGAGGAAGTGGACGGAGCCAGCTAGCAGAGATTCTTTAAGATTCACTAGTCCATCCGCGTCCAATGTTTTCCATAGCCTCGAGTGCCCCTCCGAGGGGGTCCTCCCCCTCCGATGGCCCTCCGAGATTAGTGAATAATTGATGGCGGGACTAAATGAGGGCCGCCGGGGCCATTTAAAGGGACCTGGAAGGGAGAGGGAAGAGCGATGGGCCTGGGGGCATCAAATTGGGAAATCGAGAAGAGTGACACAGAGCGTGGAACGGAGCGGCACGGAATAATCCTGGTTCAGGGGACAAGCTAGCGGAGATTTTTGAGAAATTTGGTGAGGGCAGGCTAGCGGGGATTCTTTGAGGAATTTTGCGCTCAGTTCGAGCGGGTGAAATGGCCTGGGGCTATCAAAAATGGGGACGGGTGGGGGAATTGGATGAGCCCCCTGGAGGGGTTAAGAGGACAGGACTGGATAGCCGGAGGGCATAAAAAGACGACAGAGAGAGAGAGAGAGAGAGAGAGAGAGAGAGAGAGAAACAGCGGAATAAATGGGTGCTTGGTGCTTATGAAATTGGGAAGCGGGTGACCCGAATTCAGCGAGTTCCGCGAGGCTACAAATTTCAGAAGGGGGAGGGCAGGCTAGCAGAGATTTTTGAGGAAATTTGTGAAGGCTGGAGCTGGCAAGCTAGCAGAGATCTTTGAGGATGGCGGAGGAGCGGAGATTCTTGAGGAAAATTGGCTCGGCAAGCTAGCAAAGATAGTTGTGGAATGATCCAAGGTTAGGGCAGGCTAGTAGAGTTTCTTAAGGAAAAATTCGAGCCGGGCAAGCCAGCAGAGATTCTTAAGGAAAAGCGTTGGCTAGGGCAAGCTAGCAGAGGCAATTTGCGGAAATTGCTGATCATTTGGGGGTACCAGTTGAGTGGCTGAGTACTGGGTATGTTGGGGTGTGAATGGTGAGGGTGAGAGGAGGTTGAGGTGTCACCCACATTCATCATCCACGCCCTCCATTGTATAGCCCCGGAGGGCATTTTGGTCCTCCTCCTCTCACCCACAAACACTCATCCTCCTGCTCCCCTTTACAAGGACCGGACTGTCACACATTACCTAGCAGAGGCGCTTTGCGGAATTCGAAAAAAGGGGGAAGTAGCGAGTATAGCGAAGGGCCAAGGGTCTCTGCTAGCATGCCCTAGGAGTGGGTGTCCTAAATGGTCTCTGCTAGCCTGCCCCACTAGCTTTGCGTCCGAAATAGTCTCTGCTAGCTTTCCAGAAGTGTTGTTTGCCTCCTAATTAGCCGCTGCTAGCCTGCGACTCGGATTTTTCATTCCTAAATGGTCACTGGTAGCCTGCTCGCACTTTTTCTAGTTCCAAAATGATCTCTGCTAGCTTGCGTCAATAGGTTAACGTCCATAAATGCTCTCTGCCAGCTCTCACCTATTTTCCCCTCCTAAATGGTCTCTGCTAGCCTGCCCTTAGTTTTTTGCCTCCTAACTAATCTCTGCTAGCCTGCCAGCCCATTTTTTTCCATTCCTAAGGGCTTTATGCTAGCTTGCCCTCCATTTTTCTAGCTCCAAAACGATCTCTGCTAGCCTACCATCCCATTTTTTTCATTCCTAAGCGTTCTCTGCTAACCTGCCCTAACCAGTTCTGGCCCCCAAACAATCTCTGCTAGCCTGCCAGCACCCTAAAACCAGCGAAAAATGCCATTTTGTGACCCCAGGGCAATCGAGAGGCGTTTTTCGGCTTAACCTTCGGGTTGGCGGAACAGTGACGAACGCCGTGGGGGGTTAGCGCTACCCTAGGCTCCTCTTGACGGTTTTCGGCTCAAAAACCCCCAGCTGTGGTGCCAAGAAGCAATTTGTAGGCTAGGGCGGGCTAGCAGAGGCCATTTGGGAGTTCGAGAAAGTTCAGGGCAGGCTAGCCAAGGTTTCTGAGAAATGTTCAAGCCAGGTTAGTAGGGATTTTTTGCGGAATTCCCGGATTACTGTAGCTTCCATTTAAGGCGCCAAAGCTCCAAAAAGCCGGACCTTCAGCCGCGTAGCCCGGGGGCTCAAACTCGCCTGCTGCTGCTCCCCATTTCGGGCGGCGCGAGCGGCTCCCCCCATGAAAACCAATTAAAGCTAATGAGAATTCGTGCCCCCAGGCTATGGGGGCTCAAAATGGGCAGCGAAACGGGCCGGCTATAGGATCGTTGCGGAATGGCCGCGTTAAATGGGTGAAAAGAGGAATGAAACGGAATGTGAATGAAGCAAGATATTACGATAGGTGTACTTGGCTTAGGCTTAGGCCGAGGCAAACTAGCAGAGATTTTTTGAGGAATCGTTTACGATATGTATTTTTCTAGATTTTCGTGAA